TTACATAATAAACGCCACAAATTCCTGGTAGTCTTGAACGACTATAAATTAGTAAAATCATCCCATTTTGGTAAAAATTTTCAGAACAAAATTATTTTAGTAATTTTAAAAAACTATTATTCTGATAAGTGAGCCATAATAATCTTTTTACCCAATTTAAAATTAAAAATAATATTAGAATGATGCTCTCAAATTCATATTTGCTATTCAAAATACAAAAAAGAATATGATTTTTGTCAATATTTTTATAATCAAAACATAATAGTTTTTAATTTGTAATCCTTTATTCAAAAAATAAAATAGAAAAAAATTTCCTTAATTTTCCTTAGAGTTCAAGAAAATAATAAAAAATTCAAAAACTCATGTGAATAATTTATTTCCATAATTTATAGTTAAGGAATAAAAAAAATTAAATACTATTGTTTTTGGATTAAAATAAATATTGCCAAGTTTAATTAAAATTTGAAAGATAAATTAGGAGGTAACCTTTTTTTTAACAAACATTATATAGTATTAATACCTTTTCTATACATAAATAACTATCAAATAAAAAAGATCCAGCTTTTCAGATCTATTTTATTTTATTTAAAGTTTCTTTAAGTTTTTTTTTTTTTATAAACTTTGGCTGTGATTCTTATTTATTTTAAAATAATTTTGTGTATTACAAGTTACAACAGATGATATCTCGATCCAATCACAAATAGAAAATGAATGAATAGTCACAGGAATTTTTTATGATTTAAATTATATCTAATTAATTGTGAAATTTTAATTTTGTTTATAGTCTTTTTACTCCTCAAGTTTACTTCTTTGTGTATATCAAGGAAATATTTATTGTTTAGTATGTAATCTTAAATATGTGACGTTTACTATTGAATTAGACCATCATTTTTTTACATTTTATAGTATGTACTTTTGCATTATACATAGGGTTAATAAAATAAGCAAAAAAGAAAAGAAATATTTAAATACATCATATACATTAAAAAAATGTTCACGAATGTTTCATTTAGTTTAGGCTTATAGAATAAGGCCATCTATTAATTTCTTTTTGCAAAAATCATCAAATGACAATCCTTCTCTCAGGTCTTGAGAAAAAGGTTAACATTCCGATTAGATAGTTTGGAATGGAAGAAGTTGAGTATACTAGCACTGGAGTTGGAACTAAGAAGGGTTTCGGGGTGACTGTGGGTATCAATCAACTAGACAACTTAGAGAGAGAACATTGAACCTTATTTAACAATAAGTATGGAAAAATATTGGACTTGTTGCCCGTAAGACTTGAAGCGATTGTTTTGTCAACCCTGGTTCAACATTGGAACACAACCTTAAGGTGCTTTTAAGAAAATAAGAACCATTGAGTGGCTTGGAAGATTGTTAGGGCTTGCAGCAAGCCAACTCAAAATAAGCGAACATGCTGGTTCGTAAGGATTGGCCAAAGAAATGATGTAGCACAATAAAATAAATGGATGATTTTCACAAAAAAATCAGCTTTGTCAATCTATTGATTGGTGCTATCTCCATCTGTAAAGAACATAATAAACCTAGCAGCAATAGATGTTTTTCCATACTATGGACTCAAGGGCAGAAAACCAGTACTCGCTATATTAGCTAAAACTTTCCTAACATTGAGTTTCTGCCAACAAAAACGAAAAAAAGGAGACTTCAATGTTGCAGACAACTCCTCTACATATGGGCTGTCACATATATTTATATGTTGGTAACCGCAAGGACAAGTGAGCAAGACCATTGCAGGATTTTGGTAATATTCCTTTGGAGTGACATGATAAGCTTGTCAATGTAGGAAAATGGTCATTCAGATGGATGTGCCAATGATACAAGCTAAAACTAGGTGAATCCATAGTCTTACCAGACTTAGATATTAGTTGAAATATTTTTTTTAAGGTTTTCTATTCTGAAATTACAATAACTCTATTCGATTTTAAATTTTATGGTACTCACTCAATATGTTAAGAAGACTTACCAGATTCCTAGTCTTTCTTGATGTGTTCTATTTGATATCTTTAATCTCTTAGAAACTGGTTACTCAAATCTTCTTGTTAATCTTATGGCATGAAAATACATCATGGTTATGTTGTTATTGTAGACAACATCTAATTGCTGTTGAGCAGAAATTGGAACGTTATTATAGAACATTACCTTAGTGGATTTAAAATCAATCTGCAGATTGGTTGGCAAGAAAAGAAAAATATTGAATAATATCATATAGAAGCTATGGGAATCTAGTCCCCTAACTTGAGTTCCACTATTTTAACTTTTGCTATATTTTAGTTGATGCTATGGGGTGTATTTATCTTTGCTAATTGTTGTCCTTTAATGTCTAAAGCACCAAAAGAAAATGTAAAGAAATATAATCAATTCGTGACCAAATAAAAAATAAAGTCACAAAGCCAACATTTAATAAAGAATATTTATTAAAGCCAAACAAATTTTTTATACCTACTCACTATCATTTTAAATAAAAAGGTGATGTTAAAGTAAAGTTTTTTTTTTCTCGAAGCAATGATTTAAAACCTAACTTGATATTGTATATAAATGGTAAGTGCTTATCAGTGTTCCTAAGTTAAGGAACTATTTTTCTTTTATAAAAAATATAATAAATAATTTTTTTATAATTTACAATACAAACTGACATTTAAAAAAAATATTTTTTAGTTGATGGTTAATAAGATTTGTATACAACTTACTCTAAAATTATCACTACAAGAAATGTGATATTTGGCATTAGTTTATTAATCGCGATTATAGATAATTGTCAACAAAATATATGGTGAATAATATATATATCTAATATATATATATGTTGTGATGTTAAAAAAATTGAATGGAATGTAAATTCAAATAGAGAAAGAAAAATATAGGGAAAAAAAATGGGAGAAAAATGTGGAAGTCAAAACTCAAATGGGGTGATGTTTCTTATTACTTAATTTAGTATTTGAATTTTAAAATTTAGGGACTATTCATAATTGTCAATAAATAACTGTCACAAATTTCAAAATTTAGTCACTCAATTTAACATTTAAATTTTAAAATTTAGTGTCGATTCAAAAATGCACTAAATAACTGTCACAAATTTTAAAATTTTGTAGCTGTTTAAAATCGCTACTAATTTAATTTTGTATTGCAAAATTTAACATTAGTATTATAATTGCAAAAAAAAAAAAAAATTCTACAGACAGGTGAAATGCACCGTTTAAAATTGCTACAATTTAGTTTTGTATTGCAAAATTTAACATTGATATTATGACTGCAAAAAAAATCTACAGACAGGTGAAATTGTTAATTGATAAATTTAACCATCGTAAATAAATGATGTTTTTGCCGTGTATGTTTAGATCGATGAAAATGATAAAATTTTAAAAATATGGATTAAAATGAAATGGAGTAAAGTGAAATATAATAGAGTATATATTACTCCATTGTTAGATATGTTATGACTAAAAGAAATAAAAGTTTCATCTCATCGTTTGAAAAATGGATGAACTTAAATAAATTATAATATTTTTATTTTTTTTATTATCTTGTATAATAAAAAAATGAAAGAGTCAGATTAAAACGTTATAAATATGAGTTAAAAACATATTGATATATAATTTAATAATTAGAAAAATAACATTAATTATGATTCATCACATACTCTCAAATTGAAAGAAAAGAAAAAGAAAAATTGAAGAAAAAATAGAATTCATTTCATTAAATACCACCTTATTCTATATAAAAGAAACTCAACTTGGACTCGAATGGTGGAGATTCAAAGAAACTCCGGTTCAGTGGCAAAAATAGCATCAATCTCCGACGGGTGCAACAAAAACATACACGAATGCAAGCACAAAACAACCAAGTTAATTAAACTCATTATTGAAAAGAACCCAAACCATTAAGCATAGAGTGGTCCTAAACCATTAAGCATGGGCCATCTCTTTATAAACATTTCAACTTATCCATGTCCCATCTCATAAAAACATATCAAACACATCCCACCAACAACTATTTATTTCATCCTCGCAGGTGACCCGTGTTATTAATATTGCGTATATCTTGAAATAAAATTAAATAATTCAGTTACTTATATATTGTATAAATAATGTTTTTGTATCTAAAAATGTATTGCGTATATCTTGAAAGAAATAGATCTACAAATTTAGATTATTTTTTCAACCCCGTTTTATCTTCATCCAAAAAAGCTCAAAAAACAATAAGCTTAGAATTAGATAATTTTTTAATGGAACATTGTAATTTTAAAAATATTAGTCTTTGAAAACCACGTTGTTAGTGATGTTGAATGGTTTCTTGCATTTATCATGTATTAAAAGGGGGTGAACGTGAAATGAGCAAGCGGTGCTAATTCATTGAGCATGGGGCAAAGTGCACAACACTTGGTAATTTGTCCTCACAATGAACGGATACAAAACAGAAATCTCCATAATTTCAAGTTCTTGAAGATAACAAAAATTACTTAGAGTAAGTTCAATGAATTGGAAGATGGAAAATGATAAAACAGCATGAAACTATAAATTTGTGTTCATTTCTAAGAAAGTGATATTGATGGCATGAACAAATAAAATGAAACTGACAACGTTTAATACTAGTGTTTTAGCAAATAAAAGAAATCGCAAATATTAGCAAACAAAACGTGAAAATACAGTATGTGTTGAGTAATAATACACGAAACCTGTATACTGAGAATGAAATAGAAACAGAACATTGATGGCCATCAAATCCGTGGGCTTGATGAGTTTAAGAATATAACGTCCAGTTTTACACTAACCGACAATTTGGCTTTACGGTTTGGTAAAACATTCTGAACTGGCATTTCTACATTATTTTCTCAGCATTTGAAAAATGAAAAAACAGGACCACATCTTCATTTGCAATTCAAGATTCTTTATGTCGTGCCATTGAATCCTTTCTTTCTCTTTATGATGGCACCTTTGTCGATAGCCTTTACTCTTTACCTTTCTATGCCTCCATCGCCGCAATAATATATAATAAAGGTTCACAACAAAATAAGAAAAAAAATAAAACAACTAAACGCTCCAAAACCAAATCCAATTCAACAGAACCATCACCCACATGGGTAGTGGGCATTGGATTCGTAGGATTTTGGGTTTCATTCAAATTCTTCAAATTTTGGGATCATTCCAAACCATCCATGGCATGGTACCGCAGTCCCCAGTTCAATGCGACCAATCTGGGTGTACCCTCTACAACTCCTATGGCGCGTGGGGGGACCGCAAGGACTGCTCTGCCCTCAACGTGACTTACCCCACAACAGAAGAACAACTTCGTTTGGCAGTTTCCTATGCTGTCCAGAACAAACTCAAAGCCAAGGTTGTCACAAAATTCTCACACACCATTCCCAAGTTGGCGTGCCCACAAGGAAATAACAACAACATCAATAATAATAACATTGGAAATGGGAATGCTACTTTGCTGATCAGCACAGAGAAGTATGACTCTGGCATTGAAATTGATGGTGCCAATTTGGCTGTGACTGCTGATGCTGGTGTGGGGCTTCGTCAATTGATTGATGCGGTTGAAGATGCTGGGTTTAGCTTGGTGGCTGCACCTTATTGGGAAGGTGTCACTATTGGAGGGCTCATTAGCACTGGAGGACATGGTACCTCTTGGTGGGGCAAAGGTGGTGCTGTTTATGATCATGTTCTGGGGATTAGTATTGTTGTCCCTGCTTCAAAATCTGAAGGCTATGCCAAGATTTTAAGGTTGGATGCACAGGATCCTCTTCTTAATGCAGCCAAAGTGTCCCTCGGAGTGTTGGGTGCCATCTCCAAGGTATAATTTCTTTCTCTTTTTAAATTAATTACTTTGTATGTTGAGTTTTATTATTCGAATACTTGAAAACTAACATTTTAATATGATGTTATGTAAAAATATTTTATTTTTTATTACTTTTTTTTAAACGCGTATCTTGAAAATATAAAATAATAAAAGAGACACTTCAAAATTATTCATAAAAAATATTGTTTCATTGTTTAATGCTTTCATCCACTATTTAATCATGAGATTTCTCTTAAACCAAGTCCTTTAATGAGAATCATGAATATTATTATCCTTAATAGGTGGAAACATTCTTGGTATGATTGATTGTCTTAAAAACTGTTAACCTTTTTGACCAAAATGGTAAGAAACAAATCTTCACCTCCTTTTGATGCGGCGATATTCTAAACCAGACGAAGCTAATAGGTGACATATTTAATTAATAGTTTATGAACATTATTTTCAGATCGGTTCAGTTAATATTCCTGTCATATATATATATACACACACACACGCTATCAAGTACCCATTCAAATTTCAAATTTTGATGAAATGTCAACGTAAAAGTACAGGTGAAGTTATCACTTGAACATAGGTTCAAAAGAAGCATAACCTACAATTTCACAAATGATACTTATATAGAAGATGTGTACATAGACCATGCAAAGCAATATGAATTTGCGGATATAACTTGGTATCCATCAAGGCACACGGCTGTGTACAGATATGACTCCAGGGTTCCCATAAGTGTTTCTGGTGATGGAGTCAATGACTTCATTGGATTTCAAGCAATTCCCAATTTGATCCCCGAATCAGTGAGAGCAGCAGGTATATATTCTTAGATTAAATCCTCTAATAAGCAGTACTCCTATTGTTTTTCATTTATTTTAGTGTCCTTCTTAGATTTTTATTTTTTTCAAATTATATTTTCATTAAATGATTATGATATCATATCACATATAAGGTCATGTCGCTTTACAATAATTACTGTTGCAGAATTACTCATGAAGATGTGGACTGTTTTGAAAAAAATAGCGATATTTCCTGTGAAGTTCGTTGTATGAAAATCAACGAATTAAATATTTGATAAGTTTGTACATGCACACACTCCTAAATATGCGTTGTTTTTCATTGTTTTTTTTTTTTTGCTACTATTAATCATTTTTGTTTCAAGAATTTTAAATCTTACACAAAGATGCTAAAATTAATGAAAACAAAAATTGAAAGACCAAAAGAAGGTAGAATCATATTTATTATTGGATTAAGACCTATATTTTTATCCCTAAAAGTTTTAATGAATGTCATAAACGTTGGCACGCAGAGAAATTGCTGGAAAGTACAAGAAACGCAATTGGGAAATGCTTAACGGCAACTACTACTTTGGAATTCAAGAAATTAGTAGGTAATGGGTTGAAGAACAATGGCCTAATCTTCACTGGCTATCCAGTAGTGGGTTATCAAGGAAAAATGCAAACTTCAGGTTCATGTTTATATTCAACAAAAATGCATATCACATGTGCTTGGGATCCAAGAATCAAAGGGCTATTCTTTTATGAAAGTACAGCAATTTTTCCTGCATCCAAATTTGGAGACTTCATTCGTGATGTTAAAAAACTAAGAGACCTAAATCCTGAAAAATTCTGTGGGATAGACAACTATAATGGGATGCTAATTCGCTTCATCAAAGCCTCAAATGCATATCTTGGACAATCTGAAGACTCTGTAGTGATTGATTTCAACTATTATCGTGCAAGGGAGCCTTCAACTCCAAGATTAAACCAAGATGTGTGGGAGGAAGTGGAGCAATTGGCATTCTTCAAGTATGGGGCTAAGCCACATTGGGCTAAGAACAGGAACGTTGCTTTCTTAGGAGTACAACATAAGTATCCCAAATTTAACATGTTTATTGCAGCCAAACAACAACTGGATCCCAAAAATGTGTTCTCTAGTGAATGGTCAGATGATATACTCTATGGAAGGGAATCAGAAAAATTTGATGGGTGTGCTTTGGAGGGACTATGCATATGTAGTGAAGACAGACACTGTAGCCCAGATAAGGGGTATTACTGCAGCCATGGCCTTGTCTACAAGGAAGCTAGAGTTTGTAGATGTTCAGCACCCTCCGTATAATCATCATACCATGAATTTCCTTTAATTATATCGTTTCATGGCTTTAAATTATGGTTGCCGTTGAATAAATCGTCAGAAATTGTGGACAAATAATGGGACTAATGTCTAATATCACTGCAGTTTCTAGTCACAAATAGACTGTAAAGACTCCAAAAATTGCAATTTATGATTGATTCTTTTTAACGTCTCTAATGATATATAATAAAAATTAATAGATAATAAATTTTATAAAAATCATAACTCTTAATATTATTCATTTCTGTGATTTCTAATATAAGCTTATTACTTTAAACAATTTTTAGAAAAAACCGTTTTATGACAACAATTGTAGTTGGAGAGTCCAATTTAAAAGCATATACCTTAATACATCTTTCATATAGTTTATACTAACAAAAGCTTTTGTAATACTTAATAAATTTTTATTTTTTAATTAATGACAATTTTCATATAGTGTTGAGTAAATCTACTTTGAAAAACGGTTTTTTTACAGTATTATTACTATTATTATTATTCACAAAACTTTAACTTGCAATAATTAAAAGTTAGACTATATTAACATTTGATGTATTAATAATATATAATGATTTTCAATAATAAAATTATTTGTTGCTAACATTTAATTTTTGTCAAAAAAGCCTCTATAATAACAAAGGCTAATTTCACAATAAATTGTTAGTAAATAGTTTTCATTTTTTTTCGACGTACGTACGTACTTACAACCACACATATATGTGTAGGCATGTATCACTAGTGACTAGTTGCAATCAAGGAATAAATTATAGCACACCTAATTAATTAGTGGGACAGAGATAAACACAAACACACTAAGGATACGTGAAATGCATATATTTTTATCCCTATTCCACTCAAATTTTTTATAAGATCTTTTTCTTACACTTAAATACAACTCAATTAAAATTCAATGATATAAAAAATAAGAATGAGTTAACCAAATTTATTGGTAGAATATATTAATCTTAATATTATATAATTTAGTCTTAAAAATATTAAATATAAAACTAAAATTATAATATATTTTAAAGTATAAATATAATATTATGATACGTAAATCATTGTTTATTATTATTATTATCATTATTATTATTATTTCAACCATGCTATTCTTACAAGCAACAACAAATTGTAACCACAGGCATTACGCGTCCCTTTGAGTGGAAGTTTCATATGTTCCGCATCATCAATTGCAATAGGAAAACACGTCTTAATTTGTTTTCCTTAAAATATAATTCATTAGATAAATTATATTTAATTAGTTTTTTCTTCTTCTTTAAAATATAATATATATTTAGAATTCTGTGATGTTCCAAAAAATCGAGATAATTTGTATAAAAAAATTGTTATTCACTCATACTTTAATAGTGGATTAATTTTTGTTATTAAAGATTTTTTGAAAAAGAAATTGTTAGTATAGGTAATTTTAATTTATACAAACAATTTAATATATTATACTAACAAATAATCTATATTTTAAAAAAGTTACTTCCCTTTTTTCTTCTTTATATCAATTGTTTAGTATATAATCTAAAAATTTACTATTAAATCATGTTTCTTTATTAACGAGTAGATATAATGGACAAATAATATTTTGTATATTACTTACTATTTCTGTTAATGATACAATGGTCTTTAATTATCTCTTCTTTTGTTCTACGTTGTGACGTCCTCGCTAATATGTAAAATCATTCTTTATATGATATGGAGAGAGTACCTACAGAAGGCACTTCGATAATGAAGTCGGGTATCGATTTAAGCAATAAATGTTATTTACTGTTTAAAAGTCAACTCTTTGACTGTATTTCTTACTTTTCTTTTATAAGCAAAATATTAGACTCTTAGACTTTTATGACTTAGCCATCTTCTTAATTTCTTGATTACATATTAATGACTTTTTTTAATTATTAATTATTAATCTCTATTGATTAAACTTAGAAAGGAGATGGATATACATAACTAGGTGTCAAGTTGAAGAGGTGTTCGATTTCTTTATATAAGATAAAAGTATTAATAATAATATTTTTAATCTATTAAACTCATAAATAAATTTTGTATTTCGATACTAGATGAATAAATGATTTATTAGAATGTCATTAATCAAAATCATAATAAAAGAATTGAATTAAGATACTTTGATTTTTTTTTCTTTTTATTACTGCAAACATGATAATAAGTTGTGTATCTTGTAATTAATGGTATTGAACATAGGAATATATTAAAAGTTAAAAGTAATATGTTGGAGGAATATTTTAGCCAAAAAGATATTGACAAAGTTATTTGGAGTATGATAGAATTTAAGTTTGTCAAGAAATTATATCCTTTTCTTAGAGGATGATTTTAATACAATGTTTTAAGAATTTCACATAATATGAAAATAACTAAAGGGTAAAATGCTTCTTTTCTTGCCTTTATGATGAAAATAGATCAAATTGAGAGGTTGTTTTTGTAAGATTTTAGCTAAAATGCTTACAACGAGGACCAATACGATGATGAATTCAATCACAGTGGATACATTTGCTTGTAATAACATTATTATCACAAATGATATGGTTCACTGTACTAGAGCTTGGTAAGTCATGTTTCATATTTAAAACTAACTTTGATAAAACATATAATTATGTTAGTTTGGACTTCTTGAATTACATGTTAGGTAGATTAGGTTATAGTGATAAGTAGATAAATAGCATGTTTGAGTTCAACTATCGTATCAATGTTATAATGGTAGCCAAACAAATATGTTTAAGAATTGAGGGGACTATGACACAGATCTAATAATACCTTGTTTGCTCATAACTGTAGCCTAGTGTCTAAGTGGTGTAGTTGCAAGTAATAAAAATGATATAATAGTTAAGGCTTTTAGTCTAAAAAACTTCTATAAGGTGATATTAATGTGACTAATTTACAAGTTATGAAATGTACTATGAGAATGTTTAAATTGACATTTGGATTGAAGTCTTAAATATCATAAAAGTATTATAATTGGTTTCATTGTGTTTGATCATATTTTATCTCAAGTTACTGTAATTCTATATTACAAGATTAAAGAGGTTCTTTCAAGTATTTAGAAATTTCTATTGAAATAAATACAAAGAGACTCTCCGTATGAATGTTGACAATATAGGAAAATAGAAACTTATATTTTAGCGGTCATACCATTTTTATTAATGTTATTCTTTCTCAACTTTTAGTTATTGTCATTCTTTTTTCTTAATACTAAAAAAGGAAATTGTTTATCTAATTAAAGGTGAAATTTGTTCAATATATAGAAGAGTGAGAACAAAATCAAAATAGATAGGTAATAAAAGAATTCTATTTTTTAAAGATAAAAAAATATTTTATTGATAGAGGACAGCGATGATGTGAATTTGTATATAAAGAAACTAATGACAATCATGATCCATATTGCTGAATTAAACGATCTTGAATTGAATTGCATACGAAAAAAAAAGGTAAAATTATTATGATAAGAACAATAATTGAAATAAGAAAAACAAATAATAAAAGCGAAAAAAAGAATAGAGATGTAAGGTGGCGCCACAATCATAAGATTAATAAGCTAAATGAACAATCACTACAAAAGTCTTGATCTCTTGGTAGGATCAACGAAAATTTGCTCACTCAAAAACTTAGAATTACATACTCTCACAAAAGTTTTCAATCTTAAATTGCATTAAAAACTAATTAAAAATGTGTTTACAAAAGTTTATATGTGTCTAATGCTCATAAATCAACACAAATACAACTCTAAAAGGCGTGCTAACAAGCCTAAATCCAAATAAATTAAATAAAAGCATAGCTTTTATCCTAAATAAAAGATCAAAGTAAGTAACAACTAATATTAAAATAAATAAACTAAACATAGTAATTAAATTCTAATTGGACCCATTGGAGTTTAAGTTCTATAAGGCTTTTTTAACTTTAAATTGGGTTTACTTTTAAATAGGACAACTATCATCTTCTCTAGATTTTATTTATTCTTTTTGTCTTTACCCTTATCATTAGTCTTTGAAATCATTCCAATACCTTCAAACATTTGTTTTTCAATGAGTTTTCTTTTATTCTCATTAGAAACAAAATTCTTCATACATTACATATGTAATAAAAAAAAATTAGAAAAAGAACATTTATCTTTGATTACATTAGAAAAAGAACATTTATCTTTGATTACATTAGAAAAAAATTTAAGACTTAGAAAAAAGATATTATGTTTGGTGGAAAGATGTAGGAAGTTTAAACACATAAAATGCATATAAAAAAATTAATTATGTAAGTAGGTTATAAATTGAGAATTAGGAGAAGTAAATTCTTTTTTCTATAAAAAGATTAAGTAAAAAAAGCACCTTAGGAGACCAAAAAAAAAAAATACTAGTTATTTTAACTTATCCCTGTCAAATAAAAAATTATATTGTAAATAGTAAATTACTTAAATAGTTATTTTTAATTTGGAGTGTCATAAATAGTATTGAAAAGAAAGTGATTATTTAAATATACTATATGTATTAGTTAAATATTGACTAAACTCCTAATTTATTCTTCGAGATTATTAGTGTCAAGTATTTTCGTTGTTGAGATTTTAAAATTTTGACATTAGTTTCTAACTTTTATCTCTTGTCAATCACTTTAGTCCTTCGAGTCTCATACATTAACAAAATGTTGACATATCATACTAAGTGACATGCATAATTAATTACATTACAAAAGTGACATTGTTTAAATTAGTTTGAATGATTATTTAAATATACTATATGTATTGATTAAATATTGACAAAACTCTCAATTTATTCCTTAAAATCATTAGTGTCAAGCGTTTAATCTCTAAGATTTTAAAATTTCTACGTTAATTCAGAATTTTTGACTCTATCAATCACTTTAGTTCTTCGAATCACACACAATAACAAAATATTGACATGTCACATTAAGGTATGATATATATTTGTATTTTATTTTAATTCTTAAGATTGTCAACATTAGACATTTTGGTCCCTAAAATTCTTAAAGTTTTTTTATCTATTCATCATTTTTCTTCTCCATTCTTCCTTGACATTATCATCATCGAAAATCACCATTACTAATCATTGTTTGCGTTTGCTAATTGTAGAAACTATCATTACCTAAATCCCTTATTAAATTAATCCTTCTCAAAATTCATAAAATCTTTCATCTATCAATCCTTATTCTTCCTCTTTCTTCCAAAACACTGTCATTATTAGAAATCACTTCACCAAAAATCATCATTGTCATTCACCATAGTCTTTTTCCTTTAGCCAACCTAACACCAAAAAATTCTTTTGCAACCACAACCTCATTTGACTCTCTCTCTTTTGTCTCTCTCTCTTATTGGTCTCTTTTTCTTTCTATTTCTAGTATTTTCTCTTCTTTTTTTTCATTCTGACAATCCCACTAGGGTTGTAGTGGTTACCAACAAGTTAGAGGTAATAATGGCAAGCTGAAACTTTTCTATAATGGTAACAGGGTGTAAAGGTTAGAGATAGCAACAAAAACTAGGAAAAATGGTGTCTTGTTAAGGATAGAGTTAAGGTTATGAGAAATAAAAATACAAAAAAGTTATGAAGGATAAGGTTTTCTTCGATGCAAAAGAGTTTTTTGACTTTGAGTTAGTCTAAAGAAGATGATAATAGTGAAATGATATCACATGATTTAACTAGATTTTTATTTTTTTTTTGCACCACATGGTAGTTTAGGTTAATGGCACAAAACTCTTAACATGTTCATCCAGTAATTACGATTTGTACTTCTTTACAATGGTCATATGTGTAAATGTGAATGATTGTTGAACTATCTAATATGACTAAAATTAAGATTATCATGATATTAAAAATATTGAAATGACTATTTTAATGAGTGTCTTGCTTATGTTGTCATTGCTTTTCATATTATCTAATTTTAATTGTATGTTATTATTGTTAATTCATGGGATTCTATCTTCACTCTTTCATATTTTCTCCCTTTCACCATTTTTGGATGCCAAAATAAAAATATTTGTGAAGCATTCTCTAAGATACATAAAAATTTCACATAGAAGGTCAATCAATTAAGTATTCAAAAGCCCCCTTGATTCTTCTAACTACTATCCTGGTGACATTGTTGGACCTTTATATAGGTCCTCAATAGCTTATGAAAGAATAGGTGTGTGATGCCTTCAAGCACAATCTCAAGATCCTAGACTAAACTTATGGATCATAATAAGTTAATATAATTCTCTTCTTTCCAAATTTATAATTTTAAGTGTTAGAAAATTGAAATCATGTATTTGTTAATTATACATACATTATTATGTTTAAAAGTGTATTTTTATATTATTGAATCTTATATGTTTATTTATATTTTTTTTAGAAAGAAATGTTAAATGTAAAAGTTTCTTAAGGTAATTTTAAGAAAAAAATATACATGTATGTTTTGGATAAAAGTGTGCAGTGAAGGGGTTACAATTTTCACCAATTTCTTCCCAATTCAAGTGCTAATCTGTCTTTTTTGTCATATTTATGTAATCAAATTTTATGGTAATCATTTTTTATGGCCCTATAATCAGTGTTAAATCTAGGTAAAGAATGAAAGTTGTGTTTGGCCTTTGACTTTTTATGTTGAAACTTTTTAGATGGATAACTCATGATAATATTATGTTAGGACTAATTTTTTACCTAGTTCAACAGTATTGTATGATCTTTATAATCGTCTTTATCTAGTGAAATAAAGTTTGATTATTATTATTATTATTGTTTGTTAAATTATATTATAAATAGATAAATTTTAATTTGTCTTATAAATTAAGTGGACATTTTATTTCTCTCACACGTAGAATAATCATTACTATTAATTTTATATTACTAGACAGTGGAGTTAGTGATTTAGTTAAAAAAAAAATATAAATACCTTTTAATCTTTAAGATATTAGAGAAATCACAACCATCAATCTAGAAATAATATACAATATTCTCTCAAATTTACTGATTCTGTAACAAGTATCTCATAAATAATGTAAATTTTGTATTGTATTAAGTTTAAAATTTCTTAAATTAAGAGATCTTAGACTGATTAGTTTGTCTCGAATAATTTTATTACGAAAAATTATGTATCTTACTCTCTAGTAAGCTTGTATATTTCATTAAGTACCTATGTAAGATTTCTTTTAAAAATTAATGAAATTTTTTTTTTCTCATATTAAGTTCTTCTAAGATGGTTTTAGAGCTGTAGTCTTTCTCGTAGCACTAGTCCGTGCTTTCTATTGCAAGCTTCAGTGTCATTTCTATACACAATCTTAATTTGTCATATTTGCAGGGGTGCGCAATAAACCTTCATAATTGCATTCATTTCCTTTTGTTATTCTACTTCCATGACTGGATTCTTTTTGGTATTCTCCATAATGTTTAGATCTGAATTTAAGACAGTCGTAGTAAACAAATTTTGGAAATCCAAGCATGCTATTAACAATTGGAAAGGCATGTCTTAATTACTTCGTCAATCATACACGAGTGAACCAAAATACGAACTCAGCACCTCTTTTCTCTGAAGATCCATCACCAACCTTCCTGTTAGTTTCTACAACCTTTATAACAAGTAACATAATTTTAACCGTCAAGGGTAAGACACCCCTTGACATTTTAGATAGCGTTGCCATTCAAGCACCCTTGAACCATCACTACTGCAAAATGAAAAGAAAGAGTAATACAAGGGAAAATTGCCACAAACTACAATCCAACCCAAAGATGGTCTAGCCTTTTTTTCTTCCTCCCATTTTTCAATGTTTTCTCTAGAAGGGATGTACATAATCAAATGCTAATTCCAAGACATGCAAACAATATGTAACAAAAACCAAAAAAAAAAAAAATAACATTATAAAAACATATAAAAGTAACAAGAAAAATAGAAGAAAAATGGGGGCAAATGTTAGCAATCGGACGAAAACTGTAAACCAAGCAATAGATTTTACATGCTGCCAGCCCGGCCTGGAGTGGGCTTGGGCTTCAATTTAGCCATGTCAACAAGGTCACCGAATAGCTTATCCTCTGGCTTGGAAGGCTTCCCGGATGGAGCATAAGATGAAGAAACCTGGTAGGAGTTTCTCAAACCACTATCATCTCTAATAGACATACCATACATTTGCTGCTCAATATATGGAACTCCTTGTTGCTGACCATAGCCGTATCCCATAAATTGGTTTCCAAACATTTGCTGAGGATACATGGAAACCCCAGGACCAGCCTGCATTTGATGTGAAAACATACCCATGTAGGGCCCTGCAACACCTTGAATATGCTGAGGTTGCAAGCCCATTTGATTGCTTCCAACATGGTTATTGATTGCTGACATTTGGCTGTTTGCATTTGGTTGCATATACATACCAACAGCCTGATCATTGCCCATCGCTTGAGCCCCCTGACGGTGTGTAGCAGTCTGCACATTTGGCATACCCACTTGCGTGACTTGCTGTGGCTGTGGATACTGGGTGCCGGCCACTGGACTGCCATTATCTGCTGGTTGAGCTTCCCAGGGAGGTGGTGGCAACGATCCACTGTTTTGTGTACCTGTCAAACAAAAAAGAAAACGAGTTATACAATGACATTCAAAATATGAGGGCACAAATCCCATACATTTATATTCTCCTCAATCCATCCAAAGCACCAACTACATATCACTTCCAGTTGGTGGGGAATGAAAAATATTGTTGAAATACAAATTCACCGTCAACTAAACCATTTTCTAGAAAGAGAATGTAATTGTGAAGGATTTAAGCCAAATAGGGAATATTTAAATAAATTCAATGAAGCAGCATTAAACACACCATAAACAGGCGAAGGTGGCTGTTGCTGTTGTGCAACCTGACCATTCCAGGCAGGACCCGTACTTTGTGTATAAAGTGATTGTTCATACTGAGGTGAACCCGCATTTGGGACATTTCCATTGGGGTAAAATCCACCTTGAGACATGACTGTTTGCTGTTGAAATTGGGGAGCAAATGGACTGTTTTGGCCAGCAACATTGGTTGGCTGGGTATTGACAGATGTAGGTGCATTATTTCCATTAGAAAACATATCAAAAAGAACAAGGGCATTCTGCTGAGACAGAGGACTGACAGGCTGTTGTTCTCCTAAAGGAACAAGAGCAAGTGAAGTATCTGCTTTCGGTGAGTTATAGTCATCGCCACTGAGCAGGTCCAATTTGGGATCAACCTTTGCAGGGAGCGCTGAACCATTAGCAGTCGGGGGCGCAGGAAGTAATAACTGATTCAATGTTTGGGACCCTGCTTCAACACCAGAAGAGGATCTGCACATGCATGTAAGTAAATAGATATAAGAACCATATGCCCAACACGCACCAAATAGGTCAGATCAGAGCGCAAGTGGTTCATGTATCAATCTATCTGCATGTTTTATACATTAAGACCGACCAATGTAAGCCTGCAGCAAAAATTAAAGTTTATGACCTAGCTCATCAATGACGATTCAATCAATTGACAATGATGAGAACTAAACACAAAAGATTTGGTGTTTTTATGGTTTCAGAACACTTCCCAAGTACAATAGCCTAGAACTTGAACACTAAAGTAATCTTAGTAAATCTTAATAGTTCCAGAAATTAAACTATTCAAATATAATAAAAGACTAACACATAACTTTAATGAAAGCCAACAAATAGAACTTAATTTCAATTTATATTCGTATCCCATAAACTACTACTAATATCAATGATATCATTCCAATAGAAATAATAGAACAAGTTGCCAGACCACTTTATTTGGAAGTTACTTTCAATAGTATACATTTTTACGCTGAGAATTAGCCAGAAATGATAAATTACAAGAATTGTAAAAGGGTAAAAATAATTGCAACTACTAAAAAATTAGGTCTAACACACTCCTAAAAGCTAGCTCAAAAGAAGAGGGCTACCCAAGGTTTATAAGTAGTATTGTGACTATTCCTAGCTCATGTGGGACATTTTAACATACCCGTGTGCCCAGGATTAGATACCTGGTACGTGGAGTTCGTAGGACTGAACATCTTTGAGCATCCAACATTCAAACTGGATAGACTCAAATATTATATTAGAAAACTAGGTCTAATTTACTCTCAAAAGCTAGCTCAAAGGAAGAGGGCTACTCAAGCTTTATAAAGTGTATTATGACTCTATTCCTAACTGTAACTTACTAGTGAATGCAGATAATATACATGAGCAAAGAAATAATGGAAAGAAACAAAAGAGATTGGATTACCGCCCATCAGTTTGTTTACTAGTATCTCCAGTATCAACCAAAGGAGCATCAATATCTACAAGTGTTCCAGCAGGGGCAGGTTTTAAATTCTCTGTTTGATTTTGATTTAGAGTAGAAGTTCCAGAAGAAATAGATTCATGCTTGGCCAGTACACGCTGAAGATCATCATTCAAAGCTAGTCCCTGGCATAGCAGAGATTCATCCCTGGAAAAATAGACAGAAAAGGACCACAATAATAACTGTTACAATGTTTAAATATAAAGAATATATTTTATTAAGAATACAATAAACATAAATAAATTATTCAAAGCATATCATATGTGATCATCATTATATAATATCATGGAAGGGACTTCAGGCCTTACGAAGTTGAGTTAACTAGGTGTACAACTCTCTGCTTGTATGTTCGACACTGCTCCACCAAATCAATAATAACCTCCTGTCTAAGGCCCTGAAAAAAGAAACAATGGCCATCCACAAGATGTCAAGTAGGAGTTTGTAATTAACAACATGATAATCAATAATCTCTAGATATTAAATGTTGAAGGGGAACATATTTATTTTAGACTTAAGCAAAAGGTTTTGAAAGGCAAAATCAAATCAACGGTAGTAAGGCCAAGTTTGAATGACAGAAAGCATGGAATGAAGGGGAATGAAATGGGATCATATTAGCTGTAGCTGCTATTGTTTAGATTGTTCCAAATAGGATGGAATAGAATGGAACTAACTAGATGGAATTTGTTCCACCCACTCTGTCCAATACCGTATTTTTCTTACCCCTTTCACCAATTACAGGGGTATGCACACACAACGATTCTAATAAAGCTATAATTCTTACAATTTCATCCACTTTCTATGCAATATAAATCCATTCCAAATATCCAAACATTGGTATCATAGTATTACTCCATTTCATCAATCCATCCCATTTATTACCATTCCACTACACTCATCATTAGATATCCAAACACGGCCTGAAGATTCAAAAGAAATCATCACAAGAAAGTGCTATTTAGTTTTTCCCCTTCATGATTTAAATTTGCTCTTTCCTTAAGCAACACCCATTATGCTCGAGTTAAATAAATTTACAAGGAAACACCAAACTAACTGCATATGTATATCAGTTTAAAATACATAATATGCTGCAGTGCATGGTCTAAAAATGATAATGCAAAAATAAATATTTCAAGCTTATATGTCCAAAACAGCAAAAAGGCCGATAATCACCACAAATATAATTGGCCAAGGTTCAGTTTTCATCTCTGTAGCTTCTACTCAGATTTTAACATTTAATCCTCAAACTTTTGGTTCAGTCAATTTCAATCACTACTAAAAAAAATGTCGTTGTTTTCCACATCTATAATCAGTGTTATCACTAGTGAAAACCTGTATTTGTCTCATCCCATAATTAAGTTTCAACACCCTGTGAATAACTGTCACAGCCATATCAGCAGTCAAAGCACAAAGACTACATGGGAGAGGGAATACAAAACACAGTCAATCAAGTAAACAAATTGACACAATAAATCATTTAAAGACCCCAAGAAAAACACAAAAAGTTGAGGAAAAAAGTGTGGAATTTGGTGAATATGACTGTCATGAACCTCCAATTCCAAAAGCTTAAGTTGATAGGTGAAAACACATGAATAGTTATATTATCTCTCTAACACGACCCCTTCACTAAAGAGCCCTTTGGTGAATATAACTATCATGAACCTACAATTCCAAAAGCTTAAGTTGATAGGTGAAAACACATGAATAGTTTTATATTATATCTCTGACACAACCACTCACTCAAGAGCCGTTTGGGATTGAAGCATGGAATACACAAGCCCACCTACCTTGTGCGGAAATTTAACATATTATTAGAAGAATAGGGGCAGCACAGAGCAAACTCTAGAGTCTAGACCACTTGGTCATAGAGACTCTGATACAGTTTCACAAACCAACAATCGCAAATGTGAAAGTGTTAGGTGAAGACATGTATGGTTTATTACACTATGGGTGCATTTAGGTAAACAAGTCAAGCAATAGTTCAATGGTTTGTACTATGGGTGCATTATCTCAAAGACTCAAAACATTTTTATTCATTTTTATCATCATAGTTTGAGTTTGAGTTGAGTGACTTACTTCTTTGTTACTAGGGTCTAATGCATTGAGCATCTCTGCAAGAACATCCATGATACCACGTGCATTCTGAATTTCAGTCAAACTGGGAAAGAAAGATTTATTAGAACAAAATAATGCATGATTATATATGGCAATCTTTACCACCGCATAACTATCATCATCATCATAATATTACCAATAGCAGTACATACTAAAATTACCATGCGCTCATTACACCAAGAAGCAAGTGAAATTTTAATCCATGGAATTCATATAGTTTACTGTCTTATATTTGAAAAACCAAATTCATTAACAGTTAAAAGACAATTTGAATAAAAAAATGAAAACTCTGATCAAAATTCAATTCTTCCTTTAAGCTATATTTTGCATATTGCTGTAAAGTTTTCATGGGTTCTCCAAACACCACTTGACCTTCCACTACGGAAAATAAAAAATACATGGCTAGGCCAGTCATGCACCTGACTTCAACTGTGACATCTGAAATGCAAAGAAATTCCACCAGTAATATATGTGGTATTGTACTCATGTAGCTATGATGCTTAACATGTATGTGTGTGTGTATAACATACCATAAAATCAATCCAATGATTCAGTGAGACTGTGAATCAACAAGATCTAAGTCAACTACATTTTGCATAACAAGAAGAGGAAATACATCATACCTTAGTGTTGGGAACTCAGACTCTGCAGAGGCCTCAGCTGTGTCCTGCCCAGCATCCAAGTCACGTATATTTTGAGGGTATGATGCCAATGGCTGTGTTTGTGGAGGTGTGAATACAGGTGCAGATTGTTCAGACCTTTGAGGGAATACTGCCCCAGCACGCTGAAATAAACAAATACTTTGTATAATAAACTAGACACAACTAAATTTTAAAATATTTATATAAGTATTCCAAGCACAACAATTCACAGTCGGAAGTCAATCTATGTATAAGCAATTATAAATGAACACTGCACCCAAATAAAAATGCTACACATTGATTGCTCTTATGAAGTATATTTCATTTTCACAACGGCAAGTAAAGAGGAATGCTTGCAATGATATCAAAATTGTGATTGTACTTATCAGATCTTACAATCCTAAGTTTCTAGCCATTTCCTATCCTGTTTACACTCACGACCACAAGTTGGTATAATAAGAGCAGAATTTCCAAGATTACTCATAAAGTCACGGGATTGATGATAGCAATAATGTAAATAGATCCATAACAGAAAGGGTCTATATGAGGCAAAATTGGCCTGCTAATAAATAATGGGCTCAAGTGATTCAGAGTGAAGGGGGCTTATAAAATGCACCGGACCAATATGTAGAGAGAGAGAGAGGGAACGATTGAAAAGTTAGGAGATAACCTTTGCCCCTCTAAATGCACTGTACTAGTGGAGATAATCTTTTTGTGTTCTAGTTCTACAAGAAAGACACGATCTACAATTTAGTGCAATCCTTTCTAGCAAAACTAGAACACAAAACGATGATATCCACTACTTTGGTGCAATTTAATAGGCACTGGTTCTCTCCTAACTTCGCGATAGTTCTCTTTCTCTCTCTACAAATTGGTCCAATAGATTTTATAAGCCCTCTTCACTCTAACTAAATCATTTAGGCCCATTATTAAAAGACCCATTTTACCTAATCAGCCAAGTGCAAACCCTTTTTATTACTGGTCTATGTACATTATTACTATCAATACTTCCTCCCCCCCCCCCAAAAAAAAAAAAGGAAAAAAACTTGTCCTCAAGGTGAAAATATGGAAAAGCAGTTTGTAGTGTAGACAATAGCTCTCATGAATTCTCAAAATCTGGTAGACCCATCCATTTAACTAGTACTTCTGCTTTCCCAGTATCATTGTACCTCAACTTCAACAATTCATAAGGTTGTAAGTTGCAACCCCCAATCCTCTAAAAGTGGGTGACCATGGAGACCTTAGAACAGCCTTCTTGAGGAGACTGACATGAAAAACTGGATGAATTCTACTATGTTATAGTAATTGTAGTTTGCAAGAAACTTGTCCAATTCTCTCCACTTTATAAGGTCCAAAAGATCTGGGTGATATCTTCCCATTTCTCTTCTTTGATAGTGATTTCAGCTTATATGGTTGAGGAACCCTCAATCATCATCCACTTTAAATTCAAGCTCTCTCCTCCTTTTGTTAGCTTTGTTGTTTCATCCTATTATGAGCCTTTTCTAGAGTAAATCCTAGTCTGTCCAAAATCAAATCTCTCTCTCAAATCTCAATTCATCTGATTTACCTCCACCACCTTTAGAAGTAAAAGTGTCTTCTTTAAATAGCAATGGAGGGTCTCTTCCATACAAAGCTTGGAAATGTGTCATCTTGGTTGAGCTGCAGTAATTGACATTAAACCAATTGCCTACTCGCACAAGAGACACTCTCAATCTCCTATGTTCACATTTTGTTCCATTCTGTGTGTTTGAGTATTCTCTTATCTGACCTCTCTTCTCTGTTCTGAAGTTTTCAAGCCTGCCTCTGGAGAAGCCTTCAAGCATTCTTATGTCAGTATCAGTATTTGAACATTATTGTGTCAATGTGACACTGTCCATATTCAGGTTTTGCTCTGTTCTTCAGCCACACATATGTCATCGCTTTTCTGCTAGGAGGCAGTTTTACTTTACATGTTCTAACAAGTTATATATTTTATAACAAGTATGGCCTTTCATATATTTTAAAATTAAGCATAATTGTATTTTAAAGGTTATTATTTTATTTGATATATGCATGTATTAAGTAGGATGTAGGATCTTACAATCCATGTTATGATCACACAATTTATGTGTTTTTCATCTCCTCTTGATCCTATGTAAGATGACTAAGATCTCAATTTTGACAACCTAGATTACTTGCAACAAAATCTATAAGTAAAAAGAACTTATTAAACATTACCAACAACTCCTGGTATGCAGCATAGTATTGTGGGTATCTTGCCCTCGGCCCTCCAAATGCTTCTTGCCAAGTGTCTATAAGAATCAGTATCTTCTCTCTGACATGAAAATCAGGCTACAATTGGCATGACAAATGAAATCAACATATTTTAGAAGATGAGAGCAGAAACAACAAAGGAAAACTATGAAAACAAGAAATTATGGATACCTTCTTCTTTACTATTTTCACCATCTCATGAAGCACATCTCTCTCAGCAACATGCATGTGAACAATATCTCCACAGTTCTTTATGATTGTCTCCAGCAACTAGAATACAGCACGCCAACAGAAAACTAAATGAATTATTCTAATTGTCAATGATCTAGACAATTCAATTATACACAGACTAGAGAGAATGATTCCTAGATGAACAAGCACCATTTAGAAAAGATACCAAGGTACTCTCAAAAGTTAGTTTCAGCTCCATACCAGTACAGTGCAAAAAGTTTAAATCATAACAAGAAATATATAATGACAGGCTTCTTAGGAAGGCCATTAAAAAAAAAAGGACCAGCTGACCATATGAGATTTTAAGGCTATGATTAGATAGATTGGAGTAGAATGGTAATTGATGAAGTGACAGAAATCAGAATTATGTTTGTATCAACTCCCTACTCACAGTAGTTTAAACCAAATATTCATTTCAGACAACTTGAGAGAGTAAATATTTATTGAAACTTAGCCTCTTTGGCTCTGTTATCTTTTCACTTTTCTGTTTATGAGAATATCTTCCCCATAGTTGTATTATATTTCTATCTCTTACAAACTTAATATTTTATCTGAAAACAAAAGCAATTGTCAGTAAGTTTTTTTATGATACAAAAGAAAACCATCCTAAATATATTCACAAAACTTGCAACAATGAATATCAATATCATTTAAGAAAAAAATTCAAAATCAGTAAACTTTGTAAAGTTTAGGAGGTCCAAATGGAATTCTAAAAAATCAAATGAAGCAAATGCATAAATCAAAGAGCAAATTGAACAAATGTTATCTCAGAGTTTAACAAAAAAACAAGAAAGCTTTATTACAGCACTCGTTTGCTTACAGTTAGTGCAAGAAGTTGAACTTTTGAATTTTTACTTCCAATCCGCTTCTTTATGCCTTTAACAACATCCTTTGCTTGCCTGATAAGCATAACCAAACTTAGTTGTCAATGTATGGAAGTGTAAATCATGAGAAAAATTCAAACATTATTCATCAAATATTCTAATTGCATGAAAACATTTCTACAACAAAGAAAAATCCAGTTCAAAACTGTGTAAACACAGATGCAAGTAGAAACACAAAAGACATATGTCTTCAGAGTTCAGACAGTACACTCCCGACTCCGCCCATTCTCCCCCTAAGAAAACATAGAACTCTCTCAGAATAAAATCTGCTAAGTGTTAAAAATTTATGTATTCCAAATTTTGAAATGTCAAAAAATGGGGAAAAAGTGTAAATTTTGGAACTAAAGAAGTTAAATATAATGCCATTCCTGAAACAACTTATATTGTTTTGATCCCTGAAACTGCATGTGCATATAAATTAGTCCCCAAAGTGTCAACCTTTTAATGAGGAGCAATGCTTGTTAGTAAGAAAGACTTTTCCACGAATGAGCACAAATCAACATGATTTTATATTTTTGGCTTAAAAAATTTTAAACAGTATATATATAAAGATGGATAAGTGACAGAAATTAGGTTGGATTCTGATTTACAGTTTTCGTCAAATTTCGTTTACGTACCATTTAGTATTTTCCTTTAACATGTTTACCCAAACATGTTGTCAACTAGTAAACAATTTCATCGCTCAAAAGACTAATTTGTTGTATAAATGAAAACTTTTTAGAACCAAAGCAAGAGAAGTTGCCTCTTAGACGACCATTTTGTACGTTAACTGAAATCATAACAAATCAGACACAAATGGCGCAGAAGACTTATAATTTAAATAATTCCGCATATAAGATAACCAGCAAATTAGATATCACATAGCATATGCGCAAACGTGAGTCACGGTTTGGCAGAGCCCACAGTAGCCGTCACTTGATCAATTCACAGGGTGTTTCAGCAATAGAAGAGCACCTAATGCCACGAAATTTGAAGAACATACGCATTATACGGCAAACGATCGCAAATAGAAAACAAACAAAATCACTACGAAATTTTCTGTCCCATTCCAATCTACAACTTAGCTCACGCGTCGATCGGAATTCGTTCACAACCGCAAAACACTTGCAATTTTAACCTCGAAATTTTCGTTAGCAATTGTTCCCAAAATTCAGCCAAAATGCAAAAAATATTGATAAAAAAAAAAAAAAAAAAAACTCGCGGATGAAGAAACAGTGCGTTTTGAATGAAATAGGAAAGGGAATGCGTACCCAGGGTCATGATTCAGCATATCGCAGATCTCGATGTTCATGGCCCAATCTGGTCCTATGAGCATGTCGCTCGTGGCGCGTTCAACCATAGAATTCACCATCTCCGGTCACCAACGACGATTCGAACCAGAATAAGATCGGCGATTCTCCGACGACCGTAAACCAAACCACCGGCGCGATCGGAGAACGATTCCGGCGATATCGCCGGATTTGTCCTATTCCCCTTTTCTCTCTCTCTCCCTCTCTCTCTCTCTCTCTCTCTCTATTCGACGAACGAAACGAAAATCGCTAGTTGGTGGATTCCGTTGAGGGAAATGTTGAGTTGGGGTTAGAATGGGAACTTTGAAGCGTACAGAACAACGAAGGCCTTATAAGAAACTGCCACGTGTCCGTTGAGGTGCGATTCGCCCCTGATGCCGTTGCTTTTGCCGACCACTTTTGAATAAACGATTCTGATTCTCCCACCTGATGTTGCATAGGCCAGCCTAGCATAACCACCTCCTTTCCTTGCATTGCTATTGCACCTTAGAAATTTGACCAAAAATAAAAATTTACTTGACCTTAGTCAACCAAATCTGTTTCTCAAGTTGGTAATTTTTTTCCAAGTGCTGTAGAGAAATATATGTATATATATTTAATCATCTTTTGCATACAATTTATAAAAATAATTCACATCAGAATATTTTTAAACTGAGAATATTTTTAGAAATTATTTTTTAATCATATTAAATATTTTTCTACGTTCAAAAAATGTTTTTTAATTTAACAACAATTTTAAAGAAGGTAAGACATCAATAAAGTTGATTAAAAACTATAATGTATAAGACAAAATTATTAAATCATGAGTAAATTTTACAATTTTTTTAATAAAATTTAAAAATGTGTTAAAAAAAAGTATAATAAAATGTGTTATGAATATTTCTTAATATTATTATTAATAATTTGTCTTGTCCTACCAAACTATTTTGATTTAAAGTTAATTTTGATGAATATAGGCTTTTAAATTAGAGTCAATATATTTTGACATGGGATTCAATTTATATTTTGGGAATAACATATTTATATTTGTAGTATTAATAATTTAATTTTAATTTTATACGTTATTAATTCTACAATTTAATTATACATAATATTAAAATTGATATATTTTATTTATGAATTGAGTTGATCTAATTTTGTTCTATTATTAGATTTATTCTAATATTTTCATATCATGATAAAAAATAATTTTATAAAAAATTTGGGTTAAATAAAAATAAAAATAAAAATATTAGAATAGGTGGCATGTGCATCCTTAGATACTTTTTAACACACTCTTTTAAACATATTTTTAAGTATTATTAAAATTTATTAAAAATTATAAAAATTACGTAAATTTCATTTTTTTTTACTTTTAAATTAATATTTTTATATTGTATTTTTGCATTCTTAAATAAAATTTTTGAACTTGTATATTAAAAAAAGGGTGTTATAAAAGTTTGCTTGCGTTCTTCATACAAAATATCAACCAAAAAGTAAATACAAAAAGGTGCAAGTTGCTCCTTGTAATTGCTGTGGCCAAATATTTGAATAACTCTGAAATTTGTCCTACTTTGTTTCTATTCACAATAACAACTGATTCGAAATAACTTTGTGAAATGGAACGAGTAAAGTTAAGAATAAGAAAACAAATGGTAACATCTTTTCCAAAGAAAGTGTTATAGGCAACAACTCTTCACTACAGCATAGTTACAGTGATTTTCTCTACTTGTTTCTATCAATATTCCAATCATGAAAAGTGCGTGGTACAATCATGAAGGACATTATTCTAGTTTAATTAGAGTTTAGATTTCGAATAATTTATAATGCAATTAAATTAAGATCTAATAAAAAGAATTGTTTATAATGATCCTATTCAGAATTATCTTACTTAGTCAAATGCCTAATACAATGTATAGACATCGATGATCTTAGATCAACAAAGGTGTCATTCCACCATGTGTCATCAATACATTTCCATTTTACTACCAGTAAAGATGTGGGCTTGTTTGTTTTATAGTTAGAAAATCAAATATCGCACTTTTCCAATGCAAAACATATGTTTATATAAAAATATAGGATTTAGATTAATTTATGCACACATCATAAACAAACTGATTTTTTTATTGATATCTTAGTTGATTTACAATTAATGATGGAAATCTTCACCGTGGAATTTTACACGTTTTGTCTGTCATTATCTCCTGAAACTTTCTTCTGTTTTCTCTTCATTATTAGTAACCTATTTTGTCAAATGGCTTTGGCCTAACATAGTAACAGTGTCATTGTACATAAACTCGTGTTTCATAATTACCACAAACAAATTCAAAGCATACTAATATCACTAGCAACAAGAAAAATTCTAAAAGAAATGCTAGCAATAAATTTTCTCACATACTTATTGTTATTAACTCAAATTTATAAAAAATTATATAAATCACATTCTTTCTCACTTGTAATTTAATATTTTTTCTTCTTTTATTGTTTTCAATAAATTTTAATTAATAACAAGGAATGTATTAAGGAGAGCATGCAAAAGAGTGTGTTGCTAGCATTTTTCAAATCAAAAATAGGGAAAGAAGAATGATTCAAATTTTGTTATTAACGTTTTTCACTAGCAACTAGCAAGTCTGAAAAGGAACGGTTAATGGGACAACTGAAACACATTTGAAAATTAAGCTTTACAAACCAATGAGCAAAAAAGCTATGCCTATGTTTGCAGGAGAAGGGACTTTGAGTATTACAACAACTGATGAATCTTCATCATAAAATGTGGAGAAGGAAATAAAGTTGGGTCAATAAGGAACGTGTATACGAACAGTAGAGGGGCCTGACTTCATGTCCTCAACAAGTAGATTTAAGAGAGCCTGTGTTATAGGACCTTCTTTGCCTAAAAGGAATACATAACAAAATCAATTAGTTCATGAAAAGGTACAGTTAATGATTACAAAAATGATATGTCTGCTGAAGTCTCAATAAAACCACTAATCAAGAAAGCCAATGTTAAAAGCCCTCAGCTACCCGAAATGTATAATGGAAGTAATCAATAATTCATAAAAACAAGCAACACCAAATCGTCAATGATTAAAACATAGCATGTCAAATGACCTTGAACAAACAATATACACCAGGAACATTTTTAAAGCTTGGCCCCAAAAGACTAAGAACCAAATGTACAACTTTTGGACATAAGATCTTGTGTAGAGAATCAAAGTAAAAATGCATTATTCTGTGGCATAATCAAACTTTCAACACCACCCTGAAAAAAGGCAAAGCAAACTTGCCAGGTGTTCCCTCAACCTAGAAGGGTAGAAGCCAATTCCATAATTAATTTACAACTATAGAAAGCAGAATACTATATTTCCTAACATTACCAGCAGCAGCTCACAAATCAGCAGTAAAAAGAATACAATTCCGTTTAAAAGATACTAACTGGAAAGAACATGCATCTCAATCACAATTTTAAATAACACAATAACAAGACACAAAAACAGATTACATTCATTTAAGCTCCTATAAGAAGTGTCTGTTAATTTAGTCAATTAAAGCCTTATTTAAACCTTTGACAAGCATAGCATTCACTTGAGGGCATGTATTAAGAGTGTGTTCGGGTACACAATTTAGTTAAATGCTTATTTAATAAGTTTTTCTTACATGATGGCTTATGCCATAAATTTAACCATAAAATTTATTGGATAAATTGAAAACAACTTATTAAGTTATACCAAGAAGCTTATTGAAATAAGCTAAAAATAGCTTATGGGAAGCACAAGCTATTTTCATAATTGTTCATAAGCTTTTCTAAATGGACCCTAAATATTAATTGATATCATTCTTTGCAGGAAGTCGTAGAAGCACTCACCATCCCCAATAACCTGCTCATCCCATTGCACTACAGGGCAAACAAGAACTCCACTGCCAAGTAGCATCATTTCATCTGCTTTCTTACCTTCCTCAACGGTCACATTTTTCATCCTTATCCCCTGAAGCTTTCCCTCTCTCAACAAACTCTCAGCAAGGGTTAAAATTCTCTTAGCTGTGCAGCCGCTTAGAATTTTGTCAAAGTGAGGCATTATAAGTTCCTTCTCTTTAGTGACAAAAGCCACATTCATATTAGGTCCTTCAGCAACAAAACCTTCACTATCAAGCCAAATGCCTGCAAAAGCACCAGCTTCTTCAGCTTCCATCTTTGAGAGCACATTTTGAAGATAATTCACACTCTTAGTGACAGCAAATTGAGGATGTTTAATGGGGACAGATGAAGTAACAACTTTAACTCCCCTGAAATTACTTGCTGAAGGCGACAGATCCTGTATTACTATTGCATAAAGACTTGACTGGTGGCAGCCAGAGGGAGATAACTGAAAATCACCAGGTCCTGCTGAGAGCCAATATCTTAGTGATCCTTTTCTACACTTGGAAGCACTTACAGTTTGTATGAGTATTCTTCTTATGCTTCCATGATCAAAAGGGGGGTCTATTTTAGACATGGATGCTGACCTTAAAAACCGATCAAGGTGTTGATCTAGCTCATATAGGTATCTATAATGTACAAAATACATCATTTGACTGCTTCAAAAAGTAGAAAACCAAATAGTTCTCATTAGGAGGAGGAAATTACTAACCCGTCCACTATTGCTGCAGTATCAAAGACACCATGGCCCCTGTGGACCATGTGATCATCCATAGGAATAACCATAGCAGATGGGTCTGTTGTTATCCCACCAAAAATACTAGAATACATGGCAAGATATTGTTGCTTTCCCTTTACACTTTCTCTAAATGTTTTCAACCTTTCAGAGGCCTTATGCAATCAAAAACGAAAAAAATTAAAATAAAAAAGGATACTGTTAGTAACTCCATAGTTGCAAATTCAGAATAATTATTTCCTCTCTTCTATTACCAAAATAGTATCTTTGCTTATGTGTGTGTGTGTGTGATATCCTAATTATTTCAAAGTCACATTCAATTCCAATTAATCCAAGTCAAGTCAGATGGACCTATTTAAAAAGTTAATGTTGACCATATAAATGTACAGATATAATTAAGAGAGTATTTTGTCTATTTATTATTATTCTATACTAAAAACAATCCCTCTGGTAAAAAGAATACCCAGTAACTTACTATAGTCCCCAACCCCATCAAGAAAAACTGGAAGTCAAAAGAGACATTAAACCTCGGAGGAAGTCAAAAGTGGAACATGAGATACTTCAGTTTTAGAATCTGCAAAGTCAACGCACCAATCAGTAGTAATTATTATTAGCATCATAAAATAACGCGAATTGAATAGAATTTTGGTGAGAAAACATACGAACGAAGCTTTGAAAACACAATTTGGTGATGAGGGCATGGCGATGTAAGGAAGGAGAGCGATGAAGGAGTGTGAAGGATGAAGAATGTGAAATGGGGTGTGGAAGGAATTGGAGAGAAGACATGGCTGTTGGGTGTGAGAAGAAGATGGTGACGTGGAATGCGATCGATGGAGGAGTGAGTTGTAGTTGACTTTGTTGCGTACTTTCCTTGTTTATACTTTCTACCATTATATGATGAAATAAACAGTTTTTGTTCAGAGGTTATATTTTTGGAAATTATATTTTTCTAAAATGGACTTATTTGTGAACTAGAAAAATATAAAAAGAAAATCTTTATTTTGATTTTTATTTATTAATATTATCATGTGTTTTAAATTAAATAATAAATAATTTTAATTGTCTCGCTTTATAAATTATAAACTCATTTTAAAAGAATTTTATTTTTATTTTTATGTCTACAAGCTTAACTTTTTTTTTTTTTCTTATACCTATTCACACTCAATCTATTTAAAAAAAGAAAAAGAATGACGCGAAATAAAATAAATGACATCAGATTTTGTTATTTGAATTATTTGAAATAAAATAAAAATTGACTTAAATATATTTTATAAAATATATTAATTTTTATAACTATTTTCATTTAATTTAAATCTAATTTTTCATAAGTTTTTTACTTGTAAACTATTAATATAGATTTATTCTGAATTATTAATAAATTGACATAAATTCTTACTTTAGATTTATAGTATCCATTTGAATATATAACTTAATTACAATGTGTTTGAATGAGTTTAATCAAGCAATGTAAGCATTAAAGTTTGTTATTTAGTGTCAACGGATCTGATATGTATTACCATTTTTTTTTAATGAAATGGTTAGCAAAAAAAATATGTAATATGTAGAACAAATTTATTGAACCAAAAATGCTAGGTGGATAGTGTTAAATAAAAGATGTTAGTGGGTGGGTCGAGGAGATAAAAAAGGGAAAAATATGGAGAATTTCATTACTATGATACAAACCCAAAATAATTGAATAATAACAAATTTAAATTAAATGCTAATATTTTTTCAATCAAAATTAGTTTTACTTCAATAATTTACAAAATAAATAAAATTAAAGATCTACATTTTATGGTATAAAAAATTAATCCTGGAATAATGAAGCCTCAGAAAATGGACACATGGATTAAAAGCCCAGAAAATAAATTGAGCCAAATCCTTTTGTTATTGAGGGTATTTCTTGTATAAATGCTGTCTTCTACTAAATAAGGCGACGATTCACGCCTTTTACGAAGAAAATGTACGCGTCTTTGAAGAATTTTATGATATCTACTTTCCGTGTTTATTCCCCTCAATGAGTTATTTTTTGGTGCTGCTGTGTATGCATAACAAGACAACTACAACAAAAAGTGCAAGGACTCAAAATATTCTTATTAGGAGAAGAAAGTCTAACAAGAAAGAAAACTAGATCAGAATGCTACGATTCAGCTTATACGAAGGAACATTTTTATGTCAATCAAAAGTTTGATCCTTAGATGCTTGAAATAAGGATAATAAAAAATGGCATATTATATATATATATTTTTTTATAATATACTTCAACATGAAGAACTTACAACAAGAAGTTTTTGTCCTAATTGATAACCAAACTATCTACATCCCTTCAACAAATACGACGACGGGCTTGAGAAGCTCACAGATGAGGCTTTGCTGTTATCGCTCTTGCTGTTATCGCCCTCCTTGCCCGGTGTTCCACATTCACTAAAGTCAAGTATGCGCCGCTCAATCTGCAAACAAAATTCCATTCAGCTATAAGAAATCATATGAGAAAATTAAGATTTATCTGGAATCATCTTCAATGTAGTTCAGTGGAAATTGCATAAGGATATGAATGGGAGGATTGGAATTATATTACGTTGCATGATCAAGAGAAAATATGAATTAGATTGCAAGGAAAAGCATGGATGATGGAGGATCGTTAAATTCAGCTTTACCAAAGCATTTGAAGCCAACTGACAATGGTTCCCAGGCTGATTGGGAGGATCATTATTTTCCTGGAACCCATCCTTGTCGTTTCCAGGGGCATCTTCTGGCAACCCTTTAGGAGTTTCATTTCCCAAAACCTCCTGAGCATTGGCATATGTGGCAGCTGTTTGTTCACTAATTTGTTTCAACAACCCAATGGCATCATAGCTTCTATCACCTGGGCTAATGAAATACCCAAAATCCTGTATACATGTTCACAGGTTTTAGTACAGTGAAAAACTAATTCAAGATCGAGAAAGGAGTTATCAGAAAACCTACAGTACCTCAATTGTAATTTCGGTACCAAGTCCTGGGCTAGACAGAAAAGTGTTGATGAACCAAGGAGATTTCCATGCAGAAGGCGATTCAATGCTTTTCCTAAAAGGTGTTCCACCAAAGCTACCATCAAACAAGCAGACAGTCAAGCAAATGGTGAACATAGAGGATAACTAGCGAATTGACAACAGTGTGTATGTAACAAAGCATCAAAGTATAATATTGCAAAAAACAAAAGGCAGAAAATTGAGTTTTCTTGTGTGGCACTAATAGAAACTAGTATCAATGATAAGAAAAGTAACTCTTTATTGAAAGAAAAACCCAATTCCAGCCCTACTCCCAATGTCGAAGCAGAACAACAAATCAGGAAAATGACACAGCAATAACTCCCCCTGGATACTCGAGAGACCAGGAAACCCTACCGGAACTGAATTATTTTTACTCCCTGCCCTCTCCTTTTCCCCCTCTATTATTTATACTGTTTCTTCTATTTACAATTCTGTAGCTAACTAATAAAGTTCTCACTAACAGTCCCAGCCCAACAAACTAACTAACCAACTTTAACTAACTAATTATTCTACTAACCTACATATGGGTTTTATCTATCAATCACAGAGCAGCAGTTTCAAATGAAGCGGCTTAAACAAAGTAATTCAGCACAATCAACTACATGCATAAAAAATAGAAAGAACAATGAAAAATGGAAACACCAATAGTAAAATGATAACAGTAATAAGAAATATAAAGAATGTTACATGCTACATGGTTCAAAACTGCCATCCTTTCTGGTTTGATCTCCTGAATTCTCTCCTGTAGCCTGTACACGAGTAACAGAAACTGAAAGTTTTTCATGCTCCTTTGCACGAATACAAGGAGACTTAACCCTTGAGCATGGATTTTCAGAAGATAATTTCAATGGGACGCTACAATTTGGAGCTTCTTCCAAGCTCCTATTGTTCAAGTTTTTGGGTGTTTTAGAACTTGAACTCAGACTTTTGTCTGACTTTAAACCAACTTGATCAGGAGAATACAATGACAGGTCATTCATATCATGCTCAACCAAAACTCCAGAAGGTTGTTGCTGCTGATAAATACAAAAAAAGGAGTGAAGAGTAATTTGAGAGGAAAGAGTAAATATTTACAAATTTCAGATAACAATTGATTACACCAACAAAGGTGAGCAGTACATATACTTACAACCTCAGCAGTAGCAGCAAGCTTCATCTTCGAATCAAGAGGTTGTTGCTTGACATTATCCTTAGAATTACTGTCAACAGTATCTTTTTTAATGTTTTCTTCATTCAAAATTGCAGATTTAATTGGTTCCTCTACTTGTTCCCCTTTATGAGCTTGTCTACAAATTTCTTTATCAACATTTTCAATGGACGCACTAGTGTTCTGTTTTTGCAGTGAAGATGGAGAAGGCATACCTGCTTCCCTAGTCTCATTGTCATCAAACATGACATCCAAACTGGAAAAATTTTTGGTCAAGGTAGATGTCATGTCAATCTCAAGTTTCTTGTCAATTCTTTTATCTGAAAGAGGCGACAACAAATCTCGGTTTCTTTTCTTTAATATGGATGGTGTACCTGCAAAGGTTTTGGCTGCACTTTTCAACAATGCATCTGGACTATCATCCCTAGAGGGTGAGTCCCACAACCTGAAAGGAGTCAGACAGTTCATAGAAGACATCATAAACTGGCGGATACCCAAAGGACTAAACTCTTGCTGCATATCACTCCCAGATTGTGCAAGATCGCAGCTGAAGAAAGGAATATCCAAGCTTGGAAAACGGGGAGGCTCATAACATAGAGATCCTGTTTCCTTTTCTGTATTAACATTTGTTTTTTCATCCGTTGGATTACATGTTTGTTTAGCATCTGATCCACAGCTAAAACTACTTGCAGGAATAAATTTTGAAGTACCCTTTGGAATATTACGTTGCTCTTGCATCACTGCACTATCTATTTCATCAATACAAGGAGAAATGGATATGTCATTGACATGAGTGAAGTTAGCAGGCACTCTGTAGACAAACTGGTTATCCTCAGGCCCGTATGATTGATTGTCATTGGCAGTAGACACTAGCCTACCATCACTAGCAGAAAGTACTGGGGGAACAGATTGGGAGGATGAAGTTCCTTTAAAATTATTAGAACACCGATGACAAGTTAGCTCTGGAGTTGAGGTTCCACCACTTTCAGATATCTGGATATTTGATGGTTGACAAAGAAATGAAGTGCATCCAGAAAATTCAACCATATCCTCTCCTTTATTGTAATCTCCTGATGAAAAACATCCATCATTCATTGTGTCTGAAAAAAGGACTCTGCAACATTCATCATCAGATATGAACATGTGCTCCGGTTTAAGAGAATCCATAGATGCTGGTCCCATGGATGTTGGAACACCAAACCCCACTGAAGTCTTAAATGGAACATTCACCATGTCACAGATTTCACTAGAAGCTATACAATCACTTTGCAACTGCACAGATCCATGTCCCAAGTCCATTGGTGAAATATTGGGTAAGGAATGTAAATTGAACTGGCAATCCCCACTTATGGAATTTCCAGGTTCATGCAAGTGTTGTTGCTCAATGAATTGAGAAGTGCAAACCTTTTGGTCAGCATTATCTGGGATACATATAGCAACATCATCAATTGATACGTAATATGGCTCCGAACAAGATGCTTGAAGTTGACTCACACTATGATCCTTTCCGAGACTACATTCTTCATTTGGCCTATATTCCTCTCCAGTTTTTAAGTCAACACTACTGGCTCCTCTACCAGATGGAAAGTGAACAGCATTAGCTGACTCCTGGCTGCACTCTGAAACTTCCTCCCCTTCAGTCCCCATAGGACCTTTATCATCTGCAAAACACTGCAACTTTGTTGGCTGATTTGAATTTCCCACATGTGGTACAGATTCAAACTGAGTAAGCAAGCCTGATGCCAAGTAAGAATCCAATTTCTTTTTGACAGAACTGTTCCAGTGATTTTTAATAGCATTGTCTGTCCTGTTTCCATAAAACCAGAAGTACATCACACCTTTAGAAGCATGTTGATAAACAGAATATTAAGAATGAACTAAAAATGTACACGAAAAAACCAGGCACACCAATGCCATAATTTGGATACCCAACAGTTAGTGCATATATCCTGTAAGAGAGAAAAATATAGGAACTGGAAGTTTAATTAAAGTTTTATTTTGTTGCCTCAGACCAGAACCTGCAGTACTTTGGGTATCCAAATCCCTGTAGAAATCAGCTTTGGAATATCAATTTATTAGAGCTGACTCCACATTTAAGTGACATGACAACATGTTCACCCTTCATAGAAAATTAACTTAATACAAAGTCACCTTCCAGGCAAGACTTTTGACAATTCAGCCCATTTGTTCCCAAAAATTTGATGAGCTCGTATTAGAGCCAACTCCTCTTCTTGTGTCCATGCTTCCTTGTTTATAGTAGGATTAAGATGATTATGCCACCTATTAAGTTTTAAAAAATATATTAATGAAAATGAAATCCCTCCAAAATTACTTCAAGACAAAAGACCCTCAAATATGATGTATCGATAAGGCTTGTCGTGAACTAGGTGTAGAGTTGGGGAAAAAAGAAAATAGAGATGGCTCAAGTTGTTAAACTGAAGTTATAATTGATAGACCTAACGTGATACACAAAACCAAAGCACCCCTTAATACTTGTACTAGACTCTTAATCAAATACAAAACAAATTATTAAATATAATGCAATGTTATGGATGGCGGGTCAGATCAGAAAGCCAAAAAAACTGCCATAAAATTATGGTGAATGCCATGGCAACGATAATAAAATAATATAATTATATATTATATATACAAAAAATCTGCAGTATGCAATAAAAAATAAAAATAATCCCAAAAAACTAACCACATATACCAAAATCAGGAAACCTAATTGATAGAAAACCAACAAATAACAGCAAATGTGTCATAACAAGATATCATAAGGCTCATAGTAACATAGTAGCTGGTGTCTCAGCTTGTTATTCAGCCATGTTAAGGAGAATTGCTGCTCAACCCAAGTAAAAACATGGCAGAGATGTTAAAATAGAAAAAAAATGGATAAAAAAACAGAAGGAATACTGAAACTGAGAAAGAAAATTGAGAAAATTTAAGAAAATTGATAAGTGAAAAAAATTTGAGAAAGCAAGCTAAGAAGGAGAAGAAACAGAAAGATTAAACAAAAAAATGAATGAAAAACACAAAGGAGGGAGGAAAGCAGAAAAGGAAGATAAGAAGACTGATTGGAGGAGGGTAAAACCGAAAAAAAATGATGTTCACAGAAAAATGGGTCACTCAGAAGATGATGGCCGTGGTGGTTGCTGGAGATGGGGAAAGTAAGGGAGGGAGGAAAAAGACTAAGATGAGAGAGCAGGAGCAATTGCAAATACCCAGCTGCAAGCTCAAAGACCACAGTTTTAGGTCAACAGCCTAGCCCCCCCTCCCCCCAGCGTCCATTCAAAATCCATCATGCCATGCCATATGTATGGCAGTTTATCAAAAACCGCCGCTGTTTTCCGCCATGACCGCCATTTGACAACACTAATATAATGTATAAAAAGTATTCCTAAGACAGTCTAAAATTTTTTAAAATACCATGATGATATTAAGGAAAATTTTCTATATACTCAAACTCCCACTAAAGCTAAAGCTTTACTAAGTTTCAAGCTTGTTTAAGTTTCAAGCTTGTTAAAATTTTAACATTCTTTATCATAAATAAAAATAAAGTGGATAGTTGATGTAGATTGAATTATCTTATTTTAATATTGGATTTTCTAATTAGTTAGTTTAGGATTATCTTCAATTTTTTTGTTTTTAATTATTTAGGTTTAGATTATTTTAAATTTTATTATTTTCTGATGTTTGGGATTATCTTTAATTTTGATATTTTTAGATTCGTTAGGACTTAATATAGCATATCAATATGCACTCTTTTTTAAACATTTTACAGGGAGTATTTGTTGAGTTTAAGCCAATTGAACCCCCATTAAAGACATATCAAAGAAAGAGGGGTAAAATGGGAAATGGTGATCCAAGAGGCCGTTATGCTAGATTCTAATAGACTAACAAATCAGCACACGTGGCGAGGTTGAGAGGGAAAAGATTCGGGAGAGGAGAGGGAAGAGAGGTAATATAGGTAGGAGGAGCAGAGGACATAGGTAGGAAATATCTGGTAAGGTCTTTGGAGGCGTAGCCTAGGCTATAGGAGGGTTTCTCACTGGTTATTAGGTTGCTGCTGTCTGTTTTCCATTTTTCTGTTTCCATTACCTTGATTGTAATATCAGGGTACTCCAGATCCTGGGAGCGCCTAATGGTAACGACTCGCATGGAGAATCGGTTGGAGAGTGTGGAACATCGATTGGACCTCCATTCAAGAGGAATTCTGAAGGCAAAAGGATGAGATGTTGACGATGATGACAACGAGGTTTGAGACCGCTCTACTGGTCCTTTGAGTAGAGAGGGGAGGGGATAACCACCATTAAGAAGGAGGCAATGAAGAAGGGAAGAATGAGTATGGCGAGTTGAAGTACCTTATTTCACCAAAGAGGATCCTTATGGGTAGGTGTATCGAGCAGAGAGATACTTTGAGACCGTTCTACAGGTCGTTAGAATAGAGAGGGGAAGGGATAATCACCATCAAGAAGGAGGCAATGGAGAAGGGAAGAATGATTACGGCGAGTTGAAGTACCTTATTTCGCCGGAGAGGATCCTTATGGGTAGGTGTATCGAGCTGAGAGATACTTTGAGATCAACGGCATACCAGAGGAGGAAAAGGTGGACACGGCGGTGGTTTGCTTGGAAGGAAAAGCACTTAACTGGTATCAATGGTGAGAGCCACGGGTCTCAATGTCTACATGGCCCGTTTTCCGACAAGCGTTGTTGGGTGGGTCGGTTCCGATCATTGACATTAGAAAATCCCTATGAAGTGTTGATAGGGCTTAGACAGAGAGGTACTGTGGGTGAGTATAGGGAGCAGTTCGAGCTTTATTCAACTCCACTGCGTTTTGCGTATGAGAAATTCATGATAGGCGCCTTCCTCAACGGTCTTAGGGAGGAGATCAAGGCAGAAGTGAGATTACGAGATTCTGAAGACCTGAGCTCAATCGTGGAATTGGTGCAAGGGGTTGAGGAGAAGAATAAGGTATTGGGCTTCTCGTTTGGGTCAACGGGAAGAGCAGGTGGGTCAACAGAATTAAAAGCAAACTGGGCCTTAAGAGGTGGAGCCCAAGAAACTACTAAGAAGAGTTGAGCTAGAAGAAATGAACCCACTCAAATATCAGGGTTGGGTTCCTCAACCCGACTTCATTTGAACCAGGTCGAGACTTAAGGAAACCGGAATAATTCAAGTGACTCTTTCTCGACAAGTTCTAACTAAAGAGGACTAGGGTTCAGGAGACTTATTGAAGAGGAGGAGAGCGAGAAGAGAAGGAAGGGACTTTGCTTCCGTTGCGACGAGCGATTCTCACCCAGACATATATGCCGCAACAAACAACTCCACATAATCTTGTTAGGAGAAGACGAGGAGGACTAAGGGGAGGCTTCCATGGAGGATGGCGACGAGGAGGAGGTGAACCTCCAATTGAATGCAAGCAGCATCGCAAAAATGACCTCCAAGAACTCCCTAAAGCTATGGGGAACCACTCTGGGTAAGAAGGTCATAGTAATGGTTGATTCTGACGCCTCCCATAATTTCTTGTCCCCGAGACTAGTAGAGGAGTTGAAAATACAAACAGAGGCTACAAGGGAGTATTTTGTTGAGTTAGGAAATGGTCAGAGGTTGGGGAGTCACAGTGTGTGCAGGGGCATCGTACTAGAACTGCCGAACCTTCAAGTAATCCAAGATTTTTTTCTATTTGATTTGGTGGGGGTAGATGTGATTCTAGGGTATGAGTGGCTTAAAAGCCTAGGAAGTTCAGTGCAAACTTGCTGCAGCACTTGATTGAGATGTAGAAGGATGGAAGGATCATTGAGATCAAGGGGGATGTGGGGTTGTTCAAAACCGTGGTCTCACTCAAGGCTATAAGAAAGGAGTTAAGTTCAAAGGCTTATTATGTCGAATTGGGCATGATGATCGTGGACTGCACTGTAATGCCTACTCCATTTCCAGATACCACGCCTGAGGCTTTGAGGGAGGTATTAAGAGAGTTTGGAGAATTATTCAAGGATGGAACTTCCCTCCCACCAGAGAGAGAGTGTGACCATGCCATAGTCTTGAAGGAAGGAGCTATCATCCCTAATATTCGCCCCTATCGACACCAGCATCATCACAAGGAGGAAATTAAAAAATTTGTGAAAGACATACTTGCAACAGCGATAATCAGGCCGAGCACTAGCCCTTACTCTAATCCTCTGATTCTAATGAAAAAGAAAGATGGAAGCTGGTATTTTTTGCATGGACTATCGCGCTCTCAATAGCATCACCATTCCAAATAAATTTTCAATTCCCGTTATTGAGGAGCTTTTGGATGAGCGGGGAGGGGGAACAAATTTTTCCAAGCTCGACTTGAAATCTGGATACCACCAGATACGTATGAGACCAGAAGACATTCCCAAGACTGCATTCCAGACACATGAGGGGCACTACGAGTATGTGGTCATATCCTTCGAACTAACCAATGCTCCTTATACCTTTCAAGCACTAATGAATCAAGTTTTTAAGCCATATTTAAGGAAATTTGTGTTAATATTTTTTTTATGACATTCTAGTGTATAGCGCAGATTATGCATCATACATTAGTCACCTGCGCTTGGTTCTTCAACAACTGAGAAGCCAAGAGTTGTGGGTTAATGGCAAGAAGTGCAATTTTGGAGAATCACAATTAGAATATCTTGGACATCTTATTTCCTCTGCAGGAATCTCTGTTAACCCTGCCAAGGTCTCTGCCATGAGACAATGGCCCGAACTGAAAGACCTCCGAAGTTTGAGGGGTTTTTTGGGCCTTAACAGGATATTACTGCCTGTTCGTATGCAATTATGAAATTATTGCGAGACCCCTAACACAGTTACTTAAGAAAAACAGCTTCAAGTGGTTAGAGGAAGCGCAAGCAGCATTTGAGAAGCTCAAAGGGGAAATGGAGGGGTTGCCTACCTTAGCAATGCCAAATTTTGATTTGCCATTTGTGGTGGAAACAGGCGCCTCATGCCATGGTTTAGGTGCAGTCCTAATGCAACAAGGACTACCCTTAGCCTTAGCCTTTATTAGCCAAGCTCTACTGGCCCGAAACAAAGCGAAATCAGTTTATGAGCAAAAATTAATGGCAATCGTGTTTGTTGTCCAGAAGTGGCGACAATATCTACTAGGCCATCACTTCATTATTCAGACCGGTCAAAAGAGTCTCAAGTTTTTATTGGAGCAACGTGTGTTGGTGGGAGAGCAACTAAAGTGGGTCACCAAATTAATGGGCTTTGACTTCGAAATTCAATACAAACCAGGACAAGAGATCAGGGCAGCTGATGCATTGTCCCGAGTCATGACTTGTAGTGCCATATCAATGGTCACCAAAGCTGATTTAATGGAGTTGGCTGAAGAGGTTTTGGGAGATGAGCAGTTAAGGGAAATCATGCAGCAGGTTGTGACAAATCTTAATTCCCACCCACATTATTCGGTATCCCAAGGGTGTTTATGGTATAAGCAAAGGCTAGTTTTGCCTAAGGACTCTACCTAAATCCCACTGTTATTGAGGGAATTCCATTCGTCACCTTCAGTGGCCATTCTGGAGTGACAAGAACTTACAAGAGGCTGGCCATGATTTTTTATTGGACTGGGATGAAACAAGATGTGGAAAGGATTGTGGCCAAATGTCAAGTGTGCCAACAGAATAAGCATGAGACATTGAAACCAGCAGGGCTTCTTCAACCTTTACCAATTCCGAGGCACGTATGAGAAGACATTTCAATGGATTTCATTAGAGGATTACCTAAGGCCAAGGCAGCAGACAGCATTATACCGGTAGTGGACAGGTTGAGCAAATATGCCCATTTCATTCCTTTGCTTCATCCCTATTCCTCTAAGGATGTAACAGTTGTGTTTGTAAAGGAAGTCGTGCATTTACATGGATTTCCTAATTCCATAGTGTCGAACAAGAACAGAATTTTTATTAGTTCATTCTGGAAGGAGCTCTTTCGTCTTTCGGGTACAAGGCTGAAATTCAGTTCCGCATACCATTCTCAAACGGATGGCTAGACTGAAGTAACTAACTGTACCATTGAAGCATACTTGAGATGCTTTGTTATTGATCACCCTCGTCAATGGGTAAAATGGCTACCGTGGAGGGAGTTTTGGTTTAATTCCTTGTTTAATGCTTCCATCAAAATGACCCCCTTTAAGGCATTTAATGGTCAGGACCCTCCCATGGTTATTCCCTACTGTCGGAACAGCACCATTGTTAATGAAGTAGACCAGCTACTATAGTGTGGCGACAGTATCATAGAGGAGCTTAAACAGCACTTAATTAAGGCACAGCTGAGAATGAAAGAGCAAGCATATAGAGGATGACAAGAAGTGGAATTTCAGATTGGGGATATGGTGTATCTGAAGGCCCGCCCTTACAAATTAAAAACATTGGCCAGAAAGATCAATGAGAAATTGAGCCCAAGGTTCTATAGTCCCTTCCACGTGGAAAACCGAATAGGAGCTGTTGCTTAAATTACTGCTGCCAAAATCATCACGTTTGACCCCATTTTTCATGTGTCACAGCTCAAAAGAGCCCTTCCAACCAGTCAAGTCAGCCAAGCCTTGCCACCATTTCTGACATACAAGCTAGAGTTACACGTAGAGCCAGAGGAGGTGCTGGATGCCCGAAAATTATTGAATGGGCGTTGGGAGGTTTTAATTAAATGGATGAATTTGCCTAAAGAAGATAGCACTTGGGAGGAATTTGACATGCTCTAGGCTGTTTTTCCCCATTTCAACCTTGAGGACAAGGTTCTTCTCAATGGAGAGGGTATTGTTGAGTCTAAGCCAATTGGACTCCCATTAAAGACATATCAAAGAAAGAGGGGTAAAATAGGGAATTGTGATCCAGGAGGCCATTATGCTAGATTCTAATAGACTAACAAATTAGCACACGTGGCGAGGTTGAAGGGGAAAAGATTCAGGGGGGAAAGAGAGGTAATATAGGCAGGAGGAGCAGAGGAAAGAGGTAGGAAGTATATGGTAAGGTCTTTGGAGGGGTAGCCCAGGCTATAGGAGGGTTTCTCACTGGTTATTGGATTGCTACTGTCTGTTTTCCATTTTTCTGTTTCCACTACCTTGATTGTAATACTAGGGGTATTCGCTGTGTTGATTCTGTTTATTTAATAAAAACCTCAGCTCCTATCAATATCCTACCAAAGAGTGAACCTTTGGTTATAGTTCTACATCCATCTAAGTTGAGTTGGGGAGTACCCACTCTAGATGAGTAATCTAAGTTCATTTCAGGGAGTACCCTACCAAAGGAAGTACCTTGGGTTATGGTTCTACATCAACTACATAAAAGACAAAGCTGGTAAAGCAACTTTATAAATTGGGTGAGAGAATTGGACAAGTTGCTTACAAATTATAGTTACCAGAAGTCCAGAACACAATAGAATTCATGCAGTTTTCCCTGTCAGTTTCCTCAAGAAGGCTGTTATAGTAAGTCTCCATCCCCAACCACTTTTGAAGGATTGGGAGTTGCAATGAGTTGTTGAATGTGCGGTATAGTGATACAACATAAATAGACATACTAGTTTAATGGGTGGATCTACCAAATCTTCATCTTGTCCTCAAGGTGAAAAGTTGGAACAGTAGTTTGTAGTGCAGAAACTAGTTTCCATACTAATGGAAATGGTCTATACTAGGCTGATTAGACAAAATGGGCATGATAATAATGGGCCCAAATGATTTAGCCAGAATAAAGGCGGCGTGTAAAATTTATTGGATCATATGCATGGGGAGAGGGAGAGAATGCCTCTCAAATTGCACTTAGGTAGTTGGAGATCATTCTTTTTGTATGCTAGTTCTGCTGGAGGCTTTCTGCACCTACATTGGGTCCAAGGAAAAACTTCAATCTTTCTTGAATTATAATAATAATCTTTTACCTCAATTCTTGGTACTAGGGTATTAGTATTGGCTATAATAGAGAAGCTAGTGCCAAGGTCTGGTACTTATTTTTCTAACATGTATCACATTGTTCAACAAACTACTTGTTAAATACATGTAATTATAGTATTAGTTAAAATTTGTCTTGATAACGCTGCTAATTTGATAATTATATATTCTATAAATACTCCTATATTAATTATTATCAATATAAATAGTCAACTATGAGTATGCCTTTCATTTTTGTGTAATTTTTTTATTTTTTATATTTTGCACATTTATAGTTGTGAAGTATGAATTATTAAACTTGTATCTAGATTTTAGTATATTGGCAATCCTATTATAGCGATTTTGAGGTCGACTGCTCCTTGCCACTATACGGGGACCAATGGATATTATAACAAGTCTATAAGGATATGGATGCTCTAAATTATTTCAAGGTACAATAACAAAACTATGAGATTTTTTTTCTAGATATTCTAACAAGGCCAGAATATCTTTAATTTTGAACAAAAGATACTCCACAGAATACATGAAAGAATCAATAGAAATCCAATCCAATAACCATACCTTTCTCGACATTGCTTACCAATACGTCCAGGTAAATGTTGTGCAATAGAAGACCACTTTTTAGGCCCAAATTTGTTCACCAATTCAATAATAACTTCATCTTCCTGTTTATATTTGGATTATACATATGTTAATAGCAGATATCTAACTAGAAAGTTGATATAATCCAAGGTCTCATCAAAAGTAAATGTTGTGCAATTGAAGATCACTTTTTAGGCCCAAATTTGTTCACCAATTCAATAATCAATTCATCTTCCTGTTTATATTTGGATTATACACATGTTAGTAGTAGATATCTAACTAGAACGTTGATATAATCCAAGGTCACATCAAAAGCATGGAGGCAGCTAGGATTGAAGTCTATATCACAAATTAAATACTAATACAATGTTGGTAAATATCTGTTTAGGGTTATGAACGAAGGAAAGGAGAGAAAGAATAAGTTCAATGTGTAAAAATAAGATTGGCACAAAAAGAAATACAGAAAGTAGAGATTACCTCTTTAGACCATGGACCTTTAACAAGTTCAGGATTTAAAACTTTTTGCCATCTATGTAGGCATTGCACATCAGTTCTATCCTTGAAACACTCCGCTTCAAACACACCGTGGAAATTAGACAAGACAAAACAATCATTACAAACAAAAAAGTTGGATACGCTAGAATAGGCTTACGAGCTTAAGATGGTTACCAAAGCACATCAATGAACCCACATAAGGAACAAGCTACATAAATGAGAGAAAAGACAGATAGTGGAGCTACAACATTGGTATAGGAGTAGGAGAGAGAGACATGAAAAGATGGATTTTATGTTTTTGACATTAGAAACTTACAAAGGAAAAATAACTGAATCTCTCCCCCAATAGTACATAGATCTTGAATGTCTAAATGAAGAAAACTCCTTTTCAGGCATATAAATCAAGAAATGAACACATGCAATGTGACTTATGCGCATATACGATGCTAGTGGCTGTGGGTCATCAATAATTTCATACATTTATAATGAATAACTACAAATTGATATCAATATACTACCTATTTTTTTCCAATTTTTTCCTTTAAACCGCTGAACAGCCTTCCGTAAGATATCATCCTACAGGAAAAAAAAAATGACTTCAATGTGTTTTACAATTTTGCATATAATTATCATTAAAACCTAAAATCTTCAAAAACAAAAGGAAAAATAAAGGAAGAAAAACATACCAAGCAGGGACAAATTTAAGTTACAGATTTTCTAGCACAAGTCAATATCATTTCCAAACTGAAGAAAAATTAATTATATTTAACTATCCCAAAAATTACCTCCTCCGGTGTCCATTGCCCTTTTGTAGAACGCCTTGTCGGACCAGTCGTCCTCCTGTAGATAGATATTGTTGGGTTAGCACAAGCTCACTTAACCTCATCATCATGGTATCAAAGAAACAGATACTATGTAGCATCTAAAGCTCAAAAGAACAAATGCAATGCAATGTAGTGAAAGATTATGAAATGCATAGATACCCATGTAATGCTCTAACTTTCTGAACACCATCAACATGCCCAAGAGATGGAGGAGGGATATTCCGTTCACTGTCCATAGTTAGTTTGCGCACAAGTACAAAAGTCTACCCCAATTCCTACACGTCTGCCCCAAAGCATTATAACCCTTTCCAAAGAGCCACGGGAACAAACTCCTGAACAAAACTAACACAGAAACTAAAAAAGAAAAAAATCAGAAAATTGCCCTCAACAAAATACATTAAACAAAGCCTAATTTCAGAAATTAAAGGTTAATACACAAATAGCTCTAGCTCCATCACGAAGGCAGTAGGTACTGAAATCACACACACTTGTCTTCAAGAAAAGTAAATTAACGAATCCTGTGTTAAAGCCACACATTGAAAACAACAAAACAGAACAAATAAAGAATAAATAACCATATTCAAACTCAAATCGAAATAAACAGAAAAGTTAGAAATGGAATCAATACTCAATATTGGTCATGAATCAACCGAACACTCCAAATGGAAAGATCGAAGTTTGCATATGCAGATGCAGATCCGAGATTTTCGCGAAAAAGGATTTGGAAGTGAACCGTTGCAACGATCAGAAACGACGAAGAAGAAAATTTTGAGTAAGAGAGTGAGAGAGAAAGAGAAATGAACGTTGTCGAGTGTATTCAAACATGAAGAGGCGCTCGCGAATTTTCAAACCCTTTGCAACAAATCATAACACATAATGTTTGGTCGGGTTTTATTAATAATTTTTTAAATGTTAACCATTTCATAAATTATTAAGAAATTAGTAATAATTTTTTATTAAAAAATGCATAAGTAAATTATGATAAAAAAAATTTAATGTTTAACCATTTCACAAGTTATTAAAAAATTAGTAATTTTTTTTATTGAAAAGTACATAAGTAAATTATGATAAAAATTTATTAATAATAATTTTTTACAATTTATTTTATTTTTTTATCTATGTTCTAGGTAAGACTTTGTTGGAACTTTGCAAAAGAGAATGAAAGGAAAGAGTTTGAAAAAGAAAGAAAGGGGAGAAGAAAGAGATAAGAAAATAAGAGATAAATTAATATTATTTTTTTATAATATTTTAAAAATTCTTACTTAAAAAATTAATGTATTTTTTAAAAAAATTATTGTCTTGTTTTTTTTTAATTATCATCGCATTTTTTTAGAAATGAAAGAAAAGATAAATTAATTATTTTAAAATATTATTTAAAAACTTGTAGAATTTAAAAAATTAACATTAAAAAATTTTTAAATTTAAAAAAACTTTTTAAATATTATTTTCATAATTAATTAACTTCTAAATAAGGATTAAACTCATTGACTCTTCTCTTTATTTCCCTTCTCACACGTAAAATTTAAAAACATAACCAAAAGAAATTATTTAAGTTATTGTATCATATAAATTTAACATTTTGTTGTATGAATTTGACTTGTATTTTTTAGTAATGTGATGTCACTAATAAATTTTAAAAAGTCAATGTAGTCATTTATTATATATTTTTTAAAATATTTTTTAATTCTTTATTAAATATATCTCATTCTATATTTTTATTATGTTTTTTATTTTTTATCTTTATCAAAAATATTTGTTAAACTTTATATTTATTTTCTATTTATACCATATTATTATTTAAATTTAATAAAAAAATAAGTTTATAATTAAGAATAATATTAGTATAAAAAATTAATTTATTTAATTTATTTAAAATTATTTATATTTTTTTATTGTGTACATTTCTTAGATAACTGAGATCGCTCACCTTGTTTGATGTATATTTATTTAATTTTAAATTAATTAAATTAAAAATAAAATAAAAGAGGTGCCTACCGTACCATTAAAGAACCAAACACAAAAAGAATAAAGTTTAATTGTTATCTCTTCTATTTTTATGTCATTTCTTCTTATTTTTAAGTTATATAATGTTTCATTCCTTTACTTTTTTATTTTCTTCCTTAAATTTTAAGAGAAAATACACGCTCATTTATTTTTTCCTTCATTTTAATAATATCTATAAAATTATTCTTTGTTTGGTGTTACATTTTGACATTATTTTATAAATTTTTAAGTTTATAATTAGTTTAATATGAGTAAATTTAAAAACAAAAACAACTCTCTGACTTGAAAGTGAAACAAAAAATAATTTATTATTACATATCTTAAGTTTAAAAATTTTGTTTGTGTTGTAATTTTTGGTTGATTGGTTTAATTTTTAAAACTTGGATTTATTGATTTATAATTTAATTAAGATGAATTGCTTATTTTTTTTTTACAAAATGTTATTTACATAATTATTAGGGATATTAATAACTGAGTTTATTTTTCTATTTTTATATGTGATGTAAACTAATCCAACTCGATTTCAAATGGGTTAATTAGAATTGGATGATTGATTCTATATATATAATATTTTTATAGAAAATACAGATTTATATTAAAATAATAAATTTTATCAAAAATTATTTTTAAAAATACACATCAAAATATTAAAATATAAATATCGTAAAATATTTTATTTTATTTTTATATGTAATCTGGGAGCAAGTTAAGTTCATCAAGTAATTAAAAAATAGACTTGATGAGTGACCCTAAAATGTTTGAGTCTATGACTTCAAGATTCAATTATATCTAATCTATTAATTTTAATTTATGTTGGATTAGTTGAATTGAGCGAGTTGAAACTCTACTAAAAATTGTTTATGGTTCCATTATTGGTTGATAATTACAAAAATATTATATCATTCATAGACAAAACTATTATATTATATTTATTTTATTTCTTATTCTTAAATATTTATGCAAAAATAAGAAAAATAATAAATTCATCATTCTTTTATAATTTCTTCGAAACAAAAAACATCACTTTTTAACAATTAAAATATTGTTGAAACCAAATTAGTTTTGTATTTTCTATTCTTAGAACTTATATAAAACATTAAATAAAAATTTCAATTAATAATTATTTACGTATATATTTTATAGTGAATGTTATTAAAAAGATCACATCGCAAAATTGGATAATTCATTTTTATCACACTTTGCGAGGATAAACCTTTAGTTCAATAAAATCATTGTATGCCTTATTTATATCATATAATCGCAGCTTCCGCTATAGACCATTTCATGTTCGTTTATAATATCTTTTTTTATTTTATTACTTTTTTTCGTTAAGAGAAGAGAAAAGTGGAATAGAATAAGTTCAATTTAAATAAGCATATAGATAAAATACTTATAAGAGAAATAAATTATATCAAAGTTAAATAAAACTTGTCACAAATAAAAAATATCTTATATTTCTCAAATTATATGCCGTTGGAAGTACAAAATAAACTAATAAAAATAAAAGAAAATGCAATGTTAAAGATCGTATACCATAAAAAAATACCTAGTTAAATAATCAAAATTCATAACAAAATACCAAAAAAGATTTAAAAAAGGAGAAAGGTATATATTGAGTTATAATACGGCAAAGTGCAGAATAGCGATAATTAAGTGTCACTACATTTAAGCAAGAAACCTAAAAATAGCTGAGAGCAACATCATATTCGTGCTGCACTTCTTGATGCCAGCAATAAAGAGATCAAAAATTGGTAAGCTCGTTCAACAGCTCAAAAACTGTTTTCTATAAGTTAACTGTAATCATATTTCATTAATACTTTCTCACTTTATGTGGGCGACCTCCTGCAGATTCATTCTCTCTAGAGCGGCTATGTCTGCCCCCTCTACCATGCTTTCCTCCCCTGCAAAGAGATGATGTTTTTACTTACATTCTCTATAAATATGTCACTTGTTTTACTGCCGACATTTAACAAAAATGATATGGTTTTAGCCCCCCAACAATAACTAAAGACGCATTTTTTAATTTTAAGACACTAAAAATGAATAAAAGTTTTATTTTGACTAAAATAAGAAAACCATATTTTTTTAACCAAAAGTAGAAGATGAGTAAAAAAAATATTTAGGCCCAATTAGGATAAACTTATCTATAAATATTTATAAGAAAAGAAATGGCGAGATAAAATGAATTAAACCTTTCTCATAAGTTAAAATCACCTTGCAGAGCACAACTCACCATTTTCAGAAGCTCTTGCATTCAATTTTCCGAAAAGCTCAAGTTCACAACTTAATTATTAATTATAACTTTTGAGAGAAGTTTAATTAATTTTACCTCCCTATTTCTTTTCTTACAAACTAGACCTTATTGAAACTTGTCAAATTCAATGCATGGTGCAGCCACTTACCTTCCTCGGTTATTGAAAGATTCTCGGCGCTTTTCTTGATTACCACGAAGCAGGCTCCAGTATTCTCTCTCAGCCTCACCTGGGATAAAAAACACAAACAGCTCAGTGTAACCAATAAAATTTAGATTGTGTCAATAGATACCAATTTAGTGCCGCTCTCCGCAACAATGTTCTCGAAATCATCTACCCTCAGTCCCTATTCTTTTATATCCTTCCCAATACAAATGATAAGAGAAAAAACAATGAAATGAAGAGAAAATAAACAAAATATTGACAAATAAGACTTTTAAGAAATTGTACCAGCTCATGGGATGAGTAAAGGATTGATAACGACAGGAAAAACCAACTTGGTAGAGAGAGTAATTTTGTTGAATAAGACATGAAGTTTGCGCTTTACCATCTAAATATGATAAAGCTTTATACTCATTACTGCAAACATTAAAAGAAACAATATGCTATTGCTAGGACTACACATGAAACCCAAACATCAATAACGAAACCATAGCCCCCTCCCCCCTAAACATGAAAAATTAAAGTAGATGTTAAACAAACCAGTCACGGGATCTAGAGTCGCTATATAATTCTTCACAACTATGCCCCCGTTTTCAGAAAGAACTGCAGCAGCACGAGCTTTCTGGGCAGCTTCAGGTTCTTCAAAGCGAATGTATCCTGACTCATCTCCAATCTTGAAATCAATGAACTGAACAGGCAAACAACATATGAATTATACCAGTCTTAATCAATTCAGAAAGCTAGATGAAAAATTGATAAACAAGTTTTTAGTGGTTTAGAATGAGAGAGCGAGAGTGGTCTAACCCACCATCATGGTATTCAAACAAAACTAAAGGAAAAAGTACCATTTTAAAAGTGCAAAAAATTCCAAAAGACAAAGATGAGTTATAGATTATAATAATAGATAGTTCATGGCTGTAAAAAATTGGACAAATCCAACTAGCTGCAGAAAGGGGGAAAGCCCAGTTACCTTCACATTACCAAACTTCTCAAAGACACCCTTCAAATCCTCACGTAAGACAACATCCTTGTTGTCCTTGTAAGCAGCAGCTGAAATTTTTCCATCAGTTTCTTTACACTTATCTTCCCTTTCAGTCTCCTTTCCTTCACTCACCTCATTGTTTTCTTTATCATTGTCAACATTTTCAGATTCTGATATCTTTTGATCACTTTCCTTGCCAGAAGTTTCAGATTCAGAGGGATTTTGTTGATCTGTTTTGGATACAGCATTATTGTCATTGGTTTGTTGATCAGTGTTATTTTGTTCTGAAGGAACTTTATCTGAAACACCCTTTAGTTTGAAGGCTATGAGTAAGCCTTTAGGGTAGCTGTGATAAGCATGAATGGAGATAATCAGTTAATAAGCTTTTTATTTTGCAAAAGGGATGTGAGGACTAAAAGAACTGTCAGTGTCTTACTTTGATTCTGTATTTGTGTTACATTGGTGATCTGAACCACCTGATAAACGAGATTTTTCATGCTCTTCTAATTCTTTTTCTCTCTCTGCATCAAAGTCCTTCCTAAATTGGATATAAATAAATATAAACAATATTAGACAATATGCATATGTAACTGTCCCATGTCCTAAATTTCTTATATTAGTAACAAAACCCAATATTGCAAGCTAAATGCAGTAAATTGAAAATTTTCAAATATTGATGCAAAGAGCACCACTAGCTCCACAGCAACTACAATCAATTCATAATTTTTTTTTCCTTTTTTCTTATTACAAATATAGATAATAATTATAAATCTTAATGCAATATAATTTTTTTCAGAATTTAACAGAAAATATAGGATTATCCTCCTTCTTTCCCTTACATCAGAATATATTTTAGTATATAGGAAAAAAAAAAAACCCTTTTTTCATTACAATTCATCAATAGCTAGTGACTCAGTATTGAATCACTATGAAGCATTCTTACTTTGGCTTTAATTCCAACTCAGCCCCTGCGTAGACTAGTCTTTGCTTCAAAACTTTTTCCACTTCTTCATCTGTTGCGAACTCAACAAGGGCAGTACCACAAAAGAACCTTTTGTCTCCAACATGGCGAGGCAATCGAACACTGTTAACCTGAAATGAGAAAACAAGAATTTAACAATTATCATTTCTGTTACATAAAATTAACATAAATTATCAAAAGTATTCCCTACCTCCTCGAGGACTATCTTCCAAAATTTTATTATTAAAGCAACATATAATCTGAAACATGTAAAGATTAACCAATGGAATCAAATGCCAGAGTTTATCTTGACATGCTGAAGACAATCTGATGTTGATAAGAAACATAGGAAATTAGGTATTATGCTCCAATTTCAGATCAAGAGACTAATGAACTTTATAATACAGGTAGCGCATACCATGCATCAAAACTCAAAGAACAGGAAGAGGTAACACAATACTCTCTTGCTAAAATGTTATAAATTTCAATGTAAATGATGCCACCATGCTAATATTACCTTGCCATATTGACCAAAAAATGTTTCGACGTCTTCAAGCTTCACACTATATTCAAATGGTGATGCAGCAATTGTTCTGATCTCTACCTGCTCAATCACTTCTTCTGGCTTTGGAAGTTCAGTTGCCCGGCCAACTTTGTTACCTGAAACATATGAATAGAAAATATGCAAGAAATAGGTTATAAGCTATAACAAGCAATAAATACAGTTCAATAAACATAAAATTAGCACCAAAAATTTTAAAATGTTTTCATATGATCAACTACAGACTTAGCAGTAACAAATATGTGGTTAAATAAATATTACTTTCATTCATTTGAAGCCCCACCCCAGGAAACACAAGCTAAAGTAAAAAAATAAACTGAATTTGGGACCGACCATTTGCTTCCTCTGCCTCTCATCTCAATGAAACCTAAAAATTTTTAGAAGTGTTCTTTTAAATAAAACTTAGGTTTAAATATATTACTGTCCCTACAGTTAAGGTTTGGTTTTTGGTCCCTGTAGTCTTGATTTCTTAGTTTTTGGTTCTTGCACCAGCAACATGCCACTACATGTGCCCTTCAAGAGATACCCATCAAAACTAATTTCCAGTTAACTATGGGTACTAAAACCGAAACTAATAAAATTATAACAATCAAAACCTAAACTGAATAAAACTATAGAGAATCTTTAAGCAAGTGAAACTATAGGGAGTAACCTAAAGCCAAACTTCTAAAGTATAGAACAACAACAACAACAACCACCAAGCCTATTCTAAAGTATAGAAACTAGAATAAAAATTTGAGGTAAAAATGATTCATAAGTATAGCGTGAATAGTGCTTCCAGAAGCAATTAGTCAATCGGCACAGCAAAGTCAAACAAGGGGGGAAAAATCACTAGCTCCAACTCTAAACTAGCCAAAAAAAAAAAATTACCACTAAACTCAGACAAAATTGCCATGATATTGATTCCATAATTATGACTAGCACATAAATCCATCAGTGATTGTTGCCTGAGCATTACTGCATTTCTCACATCATTAAACACAACTATGTAACACACACACAAAGCGTAGAAACTGACCATCTTGCGAGATTTTAAGCGAGGCCGAGTTTCTCAAAGCTTGAGCAACAGCTTTAACAGTGTCTTCTGTTACCTCAGCAGGCTTAACATCCCCCAAATTAAGATGCTGTCGCATCCGATTGAAAGAGCAAATCAAAGCCAAACTAACCACTGTTTGGTTGTAATAACAGTTAAGACCAACAACTATGCAAACAAAAACACATAGCTACATGTTTCATGAACTGGGAATACAAGCAAGAATAATTGAATAATCATTGCCCAGTTCGATATTGTAGAATTTACAAAAATAAGTTTTTTGTTTTAAGAGGAATTTGAGGGAAAAAAGGGAGAGGATAAAAAACTTATTATTTTAAAATTAAAAAAAATTATATAATATTTATTCTAACAAAAAATAATTAATCCATTAAGTTTATATTAATATATTCTAAAAAAACAATTTAACTAAAATATATTTATTCATAACAGAATTTTGCCCTCCGAAAATCCCCGTTTTCAAACAACCCTTCTGATGAAACAAAATAGAACGGAAGTTCTTAACTTTTCAACGTAGTTACCATTCCAACAAGCTCAATCCTTTAGTTACTTACTCAAAACGCTATAAATGATACAAATTAAATGAGCTAACAAACAGGGAATAACGATGGAGGATACTGCCATCTTGGCTTTCAGTGACGGTTTTCTTTAAAAAATTGTCTCTGGGAAGGTTGCTATCGCTGAAGTAGAACTCCACCTGTTTGGGGGAGAAAAGGGAAACAAAGAGTTTAATGAACGACGAAGCAAAAGCAAAACGGGTAATGATGAGCGAAACACAAATACGACCGGTACGAACCTGTCGTATGACTTTCTTCGACGTTTCCTCGTCCAGCGAGAGGGTCGCCATCGATCAAGCGGGATTCAAAGAGGCGCGGTGTCAGAGACAGAGAGAGAATGGGAGCGTAGGGTTTTTGAGGGTTTTGTTTCTTTTCGTTTCATATATTCACAATTTCTCATTTCAAATTTTAAGCGCACATCTCCTCGTTAAATTAAAACTTCACTCTTTTTTTTATTATTATTTATTTTTAATAAATAACAATGTATTATATTTTAAGAGTGAAGATAACCACTAAAAATAATAATTTTTTATTAAAAAAAAAGTGTGTATTATTTGACAAATATAATAAATATTTGTTTTTTAATAAAAAAATACTATTGTTAAATGTTTATATCTAATTTTATAATTTAAGATTAATAATTAATTAAAAAATTCTTTTTTTGTCTAGAGTAGTGTATCTTTCATTGGAAGCAATTTCAAAATTGATATCACATATTAAGTTTAATCAATCTTTATTAATTTGCGTGTTTGATAAAAAAAAGCATATTAACTTTAGTTTTAAGGGTTAAAGATAAATAATTAAAAATGATAAACTTTTATTATAAAGCCATTTATTACTTTAAAATATTTTGATAAATTTTTAAAATATAAGGAAGAATATTTAAAATGAAAAATTATAAAATATTAAAGTTAATATTGAATTAAAAAAATTACATATTCAATATACGAAGAATTGCATGTCATAATAAGGACTCACACTTAAGATAGCTTAAATAAAAGGTCTCACATTCTATATACAGTTGTAGGTAAAATATGTTAAGCCAAGTTTTAGAGTTGATGTTATTAAAGATATTTAAAACTTTATTGCTTCTTTTAAAATTAAATTAATAAGTTGTAATTTTTTTATGCATAGTATTAATACACTTTTAAATTCATCTTTATCAACACCAGTCTTTAAAGTTAAGCAAAATTTCTAAAAATAAATAAATAATAGATATTTTATTATTGATAATAAATATTTTATTGAATAAAAATAAAGAGATAAAATAGTTTTAAATTGAAAAATTATAAAAAATATTTATATTAAGATATGTCATCTTTATTAATATTGTACATCTAAACTCGAATTTTAAGAATTACAATCAAACTAAGATGTATAATAATAATATATTTTGCTGCAGATTCTGCTTACTCACTTTGTTATGCTTTGCTTAGTCATTAGGCTATTCTAGCAAAAGCTACTAATGTGTTTTTAACGAAGGATCAATTTGCATATTTTGTTAAATTACGACACTAGCTGGTTGTACAGGTTAACCTTGTTTAATCTGCAAATGTGATTGCATAACTTTTGCAAAATGGTATAATACATATATATCCTGTGGACGAATACATGATTAAGAGCTTTCTATTAATGTAAACTTGCTTATAATCTTTGAAATTGAAACAAAACATATACTCCGGGCATAGTGGAGGCACACCACAATGACAAAAAATGTGCGTAAATAAATAAATAATTGAAAACCTCTATGCACCATTCTTGCAAAAGTCCTCAAATCCCATGTATTCATTCTTTTGAATCTTCAAGATCGTTCGTGATATGCCTACTCCACCTACACAAAGGCATACAAGTGAAAGCTATATAAGCAAGCTGCACATTCACACGTCGCCAGGCACAAAAAGCATAACACTTGGCGAGTAGAAACTTGTCATATATGTAATAGCATAAACACTCACCAAGTGCAACTGCACTAACAAATATTGTGAAGGCCAAGACAAAGACAATCAAAGACGCCCTTCGGAAGATATTAACAAGCTTGTCAATGATTTTCTGTCCTAGGTATGCTGCAATGGCAGCCACAAGAGTAAGATAAAGAGCTGCAAAACATGATGAAACATGCATATAATCAATATAACTCAATCATTTGAAAGGTATTGGCTTTGAAGATCATTCAGAATAAAAGGGCAACATATGAAGTTTAATTTTACCATAAGGAACAGGAAAACGATTCAAGAGGTAATATTGTACAACAGATAAAGATGATGAGTACATCATTCCAAAAGTGGCTGTGGCACTTGCTACCTGAACATGCATAAAAGCAAAGAAGATCACTATATTTGCTTCAATTTATATAATGATAGAATAAGGGTGAAAGTGAAAGTGGTGTTGGAACTCACCTGTGGAGCAATTCCGACTTCCAGAAATAAAGGACCCATGACAAATCCAGAACCTGTTCCAAGTAGTCCACCAACAGTTCCAGCCAGCAGAGAACAAACACTAGCTAGAAATAGATGATGCAATTTCCAATGTATGTGTTGACCTCCTGCAGATCTCCCATGATATAGGCCTATTGCTTGGTACAGATAAAATACTAGAGAAATTGGTATCTACAAAACAGAAAAGTGTTGCCTCCCTGTTAGAGATAATTGCCAACTTGCCAAAGGTTCAATTTCATTATTTGTAGGTCGAACTCCCCTGTGATACAGATTAATTTCTCAATAAATACTTATAAAAAAAATTAATTTTTTTTTTTTGCATAAGATTAAATTAATTTTTTAAATCCATTTTATTTTATTTTTATATTAATTTTCTTCTTCTATAAAGACTTATAAAGACTTACATAGAAGTTTATCTAAATTAAATTATAGAAGAAAATTGAATAAAACATCTTTCAAAAGTTAAATGAGAAAATTTTAAAAAAAGATAAAATATATAAGTTAACTTATCAAAGATGTTTGATTTACTTTATCTCTTTATTTTATTTTTCTTTGGAATAACATATGAATAATTTATGACTCATAAATGGGTTTATTATCTTATCCTGCCCTATACCTTGTAAATGGGTTAAAATGCATAGCGATGATAGACATTTGATGAAAAAAGGAAAAGAGAGACTCAAGTGTAAAATGAGTGTAGGAAAAATGTGAAAAACAATGCATTACTCTTGGCTCAAAGGAAAAGAGAGGATAAAAATAACTTAGTCGTTGGTTTACCTGTAAGGCAATAAGTATCCAGTACATCATTGAACAGGAAGCTGTAAAATTCTGTTAAAAGTAAATACTTTTAAATGGTTAATTCTAAACTTGAAAAACTTATAACAGAAAAAGGACAAATGAAATGCAAGTTGTACTAACTTTACCAGCAGATTAAGAAAATTACCTTGCCAACTTGTAAGGCAACAAATGCAAGCCAGACAGAAAAAGTAAGCACAAACTCCTTCCAATAAATGTTGCCAAGGATGCTCACCTGCATGCACAGTTCCATTCCTTTATGGCATATGAGAACTTATTAGATTATGTGAAGAAAAAGACTACCACTCTATGCTAACCTCAGGATTTCTAGTTTCCATTTCAGACCCTACATCTGGACCACCAGGAAGATACTTGTATTCCACTTCTCCACTGCAAGTTGCTGGAAGAAAAGGCCAATGGCATATATATATATGGTTAATCTACGCATACATGTTGAGCTTGTGTGTTGTGATCATGTTAAATTTTTACATGAGAAAAATCAATATATAAACTCACCAATAGACTTAGAAAGCTTGATAGTCTCCCGAGACTCCTAAGTGTTGGAAAAGACAGGATTAGAATTACAACTGAGCTTGCACATAAGATGTAAGAATGGTTCAGCCCAGACTTTTAAACGAGTCAGGCCTACTTCCCAAACTTAAGGCTATGTCACCTCTTAGTTGGCATTCAGTATTTAAAAATTTTAGAGAATTTAAGATTTTAAGAAATTTAAATAATATAATTTAAATTTTTATTATTTTTATTTAGATAAAATAATTTTTAAATATTTTTATTTGAATTGAATAATTAAATTACTTATATTTAAAAAAATAAAATTATCACTATATTTAATGAATTAAATTAAAATATGAAATTTAAATTATCAAATTAACCCCAACAAAATAAAAATATGAATGGAACACAATAAATGGAAAAAATTTTAAATTATCGCTATTTTATTAGGATTTAAATTCTTTAATTTGAGTTTACTAAAATTTTTAGAATTTTAAATTCTTTAAAATTTAATATCCAATAACAAATTTTAACTTATAAAACTATAATTTTTTTCAAAAAATAAACTACTTATTTAAAATATCTCATTCAAACACACTCTAAAAATTTACCTTGTGATAAGGTCTTTGATAGTTTGTTTGAATGCAGAGTTGAAATAGAAAGAAAAAAAATTAAGAGATGAGAATTAAAGTGAAAATAGAGTAAAATATATTTAATGTTTAGATGAGTTAAAATAAGAAGAGTAAGTAAAAAAGAGTGTGAAAACAAATAATTGAGTTATATTAAAAATTAAAATTAAGTTAAAAATGTTAGATTTTAAATTTATTTTTTTCTTAACAAAAAATCCTTTTTTAATTTTTTTAATAATTTTTGTTATTGTAATATTTAAAAAAATAAAATTAATAAAAACCTTGTCTATTACCCCTCATCCAAATAAGGGGAATTGACATCTTCTGGTCTATGTCTTTTCCTCTTCCTTATTTCTATTGCAACCTAACAAGGCCTAACATGTTTAGTTTCGTGTGAAGATGCTGGTAAATTTATGTTTATTTAAACATTATTAGTTCTATCTTGCATGTTAGATCCATATATATATTCTAACACACAGGTTAACGAGACAAAACTTTAAAAAACACATAAAGATATAATTTTATAACATTAAGTCAACACATTCATAAACGTAGTTAGTAGTAACACGGTACGGAGATGGGTAAGGATAAATGATTCACCACTTTTTACAATGTAATGGCAAGACTTGTTGAAGATAAAGCTGGTATGCATTATGCAAGACTATTGAGTGAAATTGGCAACTATGTTCCTAATTTCACTAAGCATGATTGTGAAGGTCCATGCACCAATTAAATGTAAGGTCACCTAAACACTGAATTTGTACTATTCACCTCATTTATTATTATGGTTTCCTCTTTCCATTTCTTTGTACCCTTGAAGAATGCCCTGATTGATGTCCCTGCAGGGTCCAATATAACAAATCAATCTTGTTACAGAGTGAAAGTTTAAGTGAAGTACAAATCTTCTAACATTACCTAGACAGAGAATAATTAGAAGAACAGTGACCATCCAATCAGCAAATATTACACTTAAAATGACTCCAATGCTAATCCCAAGCATGAGCATGGGTTGGATAAGCAGCATCAAATCATAGTCGATAACTGGTAAATCAAGTTTGGGATGCTTTTGCTTCAAGCAAAAGAACACGGTTGAGATAGCTGCCCCTGTGACCATACCTAAAGTAGACACAAGAATTGGCCAAACCATTTTAGCAATAGACTAGTTTATAAACAAGTAGTTTATCAAAATTAATTCTACCGGACTATAAAGCAAATGGGCAACAGATAAATGCTTACACTTTGAAATAGCAATTGCTGATTTTGGATCAAACCCAATAATGAGGATAAGCATTGGCACAAAGATGCCCCCACCACCAACTCCCCCTACACTTCCAAATGCTGCTCCAAAGATTCCAATCAAGGTGCCAACAACGATTCTCCAGCCAAATTCCATTTCCTATTCATGGTTGAGAAATTGAATATGGTGTCTGTCAATCCCTGAACTCAAAATGAGCAACTGGCAGAGATTTCAAACTAGAGATTTCTATTACCTTACGAAATAGAACCATAGAACATTTACATCATATATCAAGTGCTCCTTATTTTCTATGCTACAAACATTATATTCCAAGAAAATAACTCCCTTGGTAAATCAAAGAGCTTTTCTTGCTAATTAACTGTGCAATTGATCTAAGATGTGAGGGACAATGTAATGGAAAGAAATAAAATGTAATGTGATTGATGGATGCAAGAAACTTACTGGCCACACATTTTGATAACCCAAATGACTCCATATGAATTCCATGGCTTTGATATGATGAGATAAAACTTGTTCTTCATTTGTATTAGTTACTTCACATTTAGTGCTTGTAATAGCATAAATGAACACACAAAGCAGAAAAAAATTGAAGGAAAAAATGACAACACTTCTCATGATAGACCCGCCAATTTGCTCTAGCAACCATGGAAAGAAAGAAAGAAGATTGGGTGAAAAATGTAACAGCCAAGAAATTGAAGATTATAATGTTATTGGTTTGAGCAAATTACAACTTATGGTTTAAACTAAAGAAATAATATTAAAAGCTTCAGGGAATTGGCACATGGCATCAGATTTAAAATGTTTTTATTTAGCCTAGACTCTAAGATAAGGAGAGCAGTTGAACATATGCTTTCAATGTCTCAATTATAAAGTGAAGGAAAGGCCCTTTTTCTTAATAGCCATTTTATGGATGCTGTACCCTACTACTTTAATAACTTCAAATGAAATTTAAATTCTTTCAAATTATCAAGTAGCATGATAGTCGTATTAGAAAAAATATATAATTCTTTAGAGATAAATTTGGTTTTCGAAATTAAAACTTATGTGGAAACCAGTTTCTTCTACCCAAAACACTTAATTTTATTTTTTCTTTACTTAAGATCTTAATAAATTAAACAATTAAGTTATTTTAAAGCTCCTCATAATGCAATGATCCCAACATCACGTTTTGGTCAAAATTTGAAATAAGTTCAAACATTTCCTTCTCCAACCCTGATTTCTATTTTTTTTTTAAAAAACTCTTGCCATGATTTTATTAAATTTTTACTTTTAAACATTTACAAATGTTTTGTAGAATAAGTTTATCATAAATCCCTCAAATATTTGGGTAGAAAATAATAATTTGATGGTTTTAAATATTATAAAATCAATGGAAGGACCAAATTTGGACGTAAGTCAAATTAAAGGAATAAACAATGCAATTAAAATTATTATATATAAAGTAAAATTTTAAGTAGGGATTTATAATTAACATTTTAAAATTGTAGGTTTTTAATTCACATAATAGAATTTGAATTCAAATTTAATTCTAATGCTGTACCCTAATTATTTACCTAATCTAAACGTAGAATTAATTATTTCAAATTAATTCCAATTTTTATTTAAATTAAAAATATAAATTGTAATCCAAAATTCGTTATTCTAACAAATAAATGAAAAGTTGAGAGGCTAATACAGTTGATCACTTTTCCAAAAATATTGAAGGTATTTTTGTTTTACTTATTTTTTACACGATACATTTTATTAAGAAATTATAACTATACCATAAAATTAACGATTTTAAGCTAATTTTAATTTTCATTAAAATTAAAATTAAAAACTATGATTCTAATTTGTTATTCAAAAGAATAACAACAATTTATAAAATGAGTTATTAATTGTCTTAAATTGAATGTCTTGATTTTTTAGTTGTTTTTTAGCTGATGTTTTAAATAATTTTAAAATAAATTTTTGGCTTTATGATAGAAATAATAAACTATTCACAAATAGTGAATTTTTTATATTTAAATAAAACATATAGATGAAAATATGAAACAATGTAGTATGTCCTATCTTCTGAAATTAATCAATTAATTAATTATACTCCTACATAAGCTGCCCAAGGAATAAGTGTTGATTGCTACAATACCCACTATCGACATAACACGAATTCAGACAAGTACAAAATTAATAATTACAAAAATTTTAAAACAAAAGAAGCAATTAAATTCTTTTTTTTTTTCTTTAATGTATTATCTTTTAATTTTTTAATAATTTTTTACTGTTATTTAAAATATATTTTATTTAGATAATCGATATCTAAAATAATATTATTTGAGTGAAATATAATTATTATAAAAGATGAAACTCTCTCGTATATTTGATATAATAATATCTATTAAGATTTAATCTTGTTAGTATAAATTTAGAACAATTTCTGTCAGTTAGATTCAAGAGGTTTAATAATTTTTTTATAAAATATATAAAATAAAAAATATAATAATTATATTTTTAAAATAAGAATTCATTGAACATTTTTTATTTAAAAATGAAAGTAATTTATCAACATAAAAAATAAAAGATTTTATAATTATCAAAAATTATCTTGACTGCAAAAGTCTCTATCATATCGGATAGCATTCAGCAAGACAAGAGAAAGGTTGAGTATTTTATTTATTCATAAAATCTAGAAAACCTACCTCATGTTTCCATGGTTACTAAAAAATTCTCAAATTGCTCCAAATTGAACTTTTCAATAAATTTAAGAATAAAAAACTACACATCAACGATTGCGCGTTTTCTTTTCTTTCTTCTTTATTACTTTAATCCCAATAGGGATGAAGTGTTGATGTGACCAAATGAACCATTACCAAGAGATAGAGTTAATTATCTATCATTAATCTATCTTAATTAGGAGACTTTGACCAAATAAATAAATAAGAAACTACAAAATCAATTATTTCTTCTTTATTTATTATCACGATTTTCTTGCCTCTTGCAACATTTTCATTTCCATAACCGTAACAAAAAATGAAGTGTTAAATATATAATTTTATTTTGTAATTTTTTAAAAATAAACTTAATTGATTTTTAAATGTAAAAATAAAATTCTAAAATAAAGAGATACGCTATTGTTTATATTTCGTGATAAAATTATTATAATATCTATTTATGTATAATAATTTTTAATATTTTAACATGTATCTTATCCACAAGTTAAGAATATGATATATATAAGAATAGAAAGGCACATCAGTGAACAGCATGAGAGCATAAAACAAGAACATAAAGAATAGAGATTTTATCATTCTCAAAGGTCAATAAACAAAACAAAACCAAGTTAGTCATTAATATGAAGTACTGTCAAAAGCATTCTGCAGATATCAGTGCAAAACTTTATGATTCACGTGTACTTAAATCAAACATTTAATTGTATGTGACAATGGACCCTTATGCGGCTTTTCAAGCATTCAAGAGCCATTTTAATTGGAATCTAGCATATTCTAACAGACCCATGAGCAGAATTTTGAATAAATTAAATAATTCTTTTATAAGTTAAAAATAAATTTTTAAAAATTTTAGAAAATTTATATAAAAAACTTATAGAAAATAAAAAATATAAGTTATTTCTATTTTATTAATTTTTTTTTTTAAAGTTTAATCTCTAAAATCAAGCCCCATTAGCAGATAAGGTGATGTGCTATTATTAGAGTCACCTACGACAAGGCCAACTGGGATGGGGTCACAAAAGCCGAAATAAACGAGGTATGATTCTGGCACAATTTTATATTAATTAAATAATTTGTCATCTAAAATAATAATAAACTAACTTATGCTGTAGTTTGAAGTGATGATGATTTATTTACTTTAAGCATAGAACATTTATTTCTCGGTCTCATGAAAAATTCTCTGAAAATATTTACTATAAGGTTTTATTGTAATTTGGGCAAATGTATGTATGTGTATGTTGATGTTATGGTTGGACATTAAAAAGCTAGAACAAAATGAATATTAATAAATATAATTAAATTTCTCAAACTCCAATGGAATCATCACTACATGTTTTAACAATAGTAAAAATATACATCGTACATTTATTTATATCTCGTAACATGAAGAAAGCTTTGGCATAGAGCAAAAGTGAATTAAATGAGCTATGAATCATACTTGCACAGATCGTCAAATCCCATATACTCATGATTTTCAATCTTTCTTACCATTGCTATAATGCCGACTCCACCTAGCAAATGAAAAGAAAAGTTTATTAATTCAAGTGAATATAATATTATAATTGTAATTTTGGTTATAATATTTTAGTTTACGGGTAATTTTGTTTTTTTAACAATATAATAAAGATGTGATATATTCTATTTACTTGTTTATATAAATAAATATGTCACACCTTTAATATACTTTTATTCATTTTTAGATAAAATTTTGAGGTGGGAAACTTAATTAGAATAATTGAGAAATTAAAAAGACTAATACAAGCAATTAAAATTGAAAAAAAAGTGAACATTAAATAATAGAGAATGTACCTAGTGAAACGGCACTAACAAAGATTGTAAAAGCAAGAACAAAGATGATAAGAGATGCTCTCCCGAACAGGATGATTAGCTTTCTCACAACATGTTGTCCTACCAAGGCTGAAATAGCAGCCACTAGAATAAAGTATAAAGCTGTGCAAAAATCCACAAAATGCATAGGTTAGAGCAATTGAAAGTTATCCATTTTATTTGCCAAATTGGTACATAAATGAAAATTCTATTTAGTTTGAAGATTTTGGGCACAGACCATATGGAACTGGAAATCGTTTAAGGAGGTAGTATTCTACAACAGACATTGATGAGGAGAAGACCATGGCAAAGGTGGCTGTGGCACTTGCAACCTGCACATATCCCATCAAAACAATGAATCCAGTTTATTAAAAGTCCCAGTCCTACGACTGCCTTCATACATTAATTTTTTCTTTTCTATCGAAGAAGGAGGCTTTGAATTCTACATTAACACAAGTACAAGATTATTTCCTCAACAAATGTTTTTTTTTTTTTAATTAATTCTGACCATTTAAATAAAAATTTAGTTATCTATATTTATTCTTCTCATTATCATAATACCTAATATTTTTTTTTTCTAAAACACGTATATTTCATTAGAGTTAATTTTGTTTGAATCAGAAATAATTAGTATGAACAATAAAACTTTCCTTCCTGATTTGATACTTTTATGTTATTTACATTTTTTATTTTTATTAATAATTATTAAAAATTAGATATAAATTAAATAAAAAACTTTCAAATCAAGCCAAAGAATTTTTAGACTATACAGAATATTTTCTATATATAATATATATATATATATATATATATATATATATATATATAATATTTTATCAAAGGTGTGTGTTTCAAAACATTCTTAAGACTACAATTTACAACTCACTTGAGGGGGAACTCCAAGCTCCAAAAAGAGTGGTCCCATGACGAATCCTCCACCTATTCCCAACAAGCCACCAACTATTCCGGCAAGTATTCCAAAGGTACAATAGATAATTAACTGTTGAACACTGAAACTTTTTCCTTGATCTCCTACAGAAGAAATTACTCTCCATCCTTTATACAAAGCAATCGCCTCATATGCTGCTACCCCAACTGAAACTGGAATCTGCATAACAACAAAAACATACGCTTTAAGGAGTAAAACTATTTACAATAGCTGCTTTTATATTTAAAATATTAAGGAAACCAAACATATATGTATAAGGGTAATAATGCTTTGAGGCTAGATCACTCTTGACCAGAATTACCTGTAATATATTCAGTACCCAATATGTTGTGGAACATTTGGCTGTTTTGGTCTGTCTCCATTGTCAATAGGAAATGTTTGAGAGTCAGATTAGTAAGATTTCACGGTACAATTGATGATATATTATAGGATATATATAAAATTACAAACCATGACAATCTGTATTATAAGAAATGCAACCCAAACAAAAGCCAAAAGTCCAAACTCCTTCCAGTACACATTTTCAAGAACAGTCACCTGCAATATCTATAATTGATTAGATATGAAAACCACCCAACCCATAAAAACAAACTAGAGTATAGTGACCTCTTCTCTTTTGGTGTCCTTTGCAATGCCATTTTCAGATCCACTAGGAATTGGTTTGTATTCTATTTCAATCCTAGAACCTGTTAATGGGAAAATTGTAAACACTCTGACAACAAAACCAAAATGATCGAGGAGAACTTTATTATGTTTTGGTACATGTAATGAATAGCTTCTTAACTCACCATCATTTGACTCTTGTTGCCTAGCAGCTTCCTATATATAATGAAACAAGAGAGGTTTAGCCAATGAGCAATAAACCTTCACAGTGTTACTAGTTAAACTCCTGTGTAATCTTCAGAACACTTCTCATAATTATTAATCAATGGTAGATATATTAGAAAATCTTCATGAGTTCTTATAGTCACTTGGAGGATACAAATTAAATAACATACATTATTTTCTTGTAAGATACAGTATGTTACTTTAGCTGCATTTGTAATTTCAAAAACAAGTAGTGAAAACTCGTATACGTATAAATCAAATGATACCTCTTTCATTATGGTTTCCTTTTTCCATGTTTCCACACCTTTTAAGAATGCTTTTGTGGACGTTCCTGCAAACCATCAAGATGAGTCAAAGGTATAATAAAAGCAAAAATGACTAAACAAAGTCACAATTAAGCAAATTTGTTACCTAAAAAGAGAACAAGAAGTAAGAGAGTGACCATCCAGTCAGCAACTACAACATTGAAGGCCACTCCAATACTAATGCCAAGCATGAGCATTGGTTGAATGAGCAGTGCCAAATCATAGTCGATGATGGGCATATCCAATGTGGGATGTCTTAGTTTAAGATTATAGTAAACAGTTGACAAAGCTGCACCCATGATCATACCTGACACAAACAAAATACCTGATGAATCATGCCATTCTCAATTGGAAATTTTATGATGAATAAGTTCTTGTGAACTGCATTAGCTAAGTAGTATATAACAGGTTAAAACCAAACATAACTGTGTCCATTATTTAAACTACTGAATGTTTTCATTGTCTGGGTTATCAACTAAAATCAAAAGGCTGGAGAGCAAATTGAAGTGGAAGGGTAAAGAATCTTTCTCTCTCAAAGTAAGGGTGTTTACAATTTGATTTGTATCATATTTTAAATAATAAAAAGTCGTTTAATCTAATCATAAAAATAAACTATAGTTGAGTTTTTCCATGGAAATGTGAAGGAAAAAAGAAAAAAAAAACTACAGACAACTATAGTTCAGTTTGAATGGATTGACATACAATATCAAATTCAGTCCATTCTAGTAGGATTAAAAGTAATTTAAATCGACTTGGATGTTTCAAATTTTATATAACCATTTGAAAATATGAAGCAATATTAAATGAGTCTTAAAGTACATAGTAATCATAATAAAGATTAAATTATTAAATATTCGCAAAACAGATTAAAATTTCTTAAGAAAATACTGAAATAATTAAGCTGTATGATGTAGTTTTTTAAAATACATGTAAGTTCAATTTGAATTGAATTAGATTTAAAAATTAGAACTGAAATCCAGTCTAATTTAAGAAAACAATTAATTTTCAGTTTATTTTATTTTTAGTTTGGACATTTCGCATGAGGGAATGTGAGGCAGCAGGCACCGTTGTAAAAGAAAATTTTGAAAGATATAATAAATTAGTTTTTTTCTAATATATATATATATATATATATATATATATATATATATGTTTAAGTATTAAATCATGTGAAGTCATGTGTCAAAAACAGTACATAATATTAATTTGACGAGTTCTTGCATTCAAAAGTGATAACTAAAACTTATATTTACAAATAAGAGTTAAAATAATTACATGTTTTTTTAGGTAGAATTAGTTAATTAGTCCGCTAAATTATTTGTTTTCAGTTTAGTTCTTTAATTTGTATTTCTTTCATTTTAATCTTCTAAAGTTTTAATGCCTAACAAGTTACTTGTTCTTTCTGTCAGTTTTATTTAACTACATTAATATCTCCATCCAAACAAAGTTTCTTCCATTTTTACTCATTGAAAAATAGTATGGCCTTCTTTACCTCCATAGACTCACCTCCCCTTAATATAGATTTTTATGGAACGCTCGAAACTTTGACCATTATTTTACTTTTTTTCCTCCTTAACATAAGCCCTTACCTTCTTTCTTATGGAAGTGAGGCCATGAAAAACCCCAACCCACATCCACAATTATCACACGATCCCTTGGCCACCAACCAAATCATGCAATCTGAACAACAATAAGACACCAAACAACAACGACTCAAAAACTCTAAATATTTTTACTAAATAGTAAAAAAGAGAGAAATACGCAACTTTACTTATGACTTTCCTACTTTGGTGAGCCCTAAGGAACAAGCCCAACATACTCTAAAGGTGAGACTGCTATGGCGTTGGTGAGTATAAGGTTGAAGGTGACAGAAGGAGTTCCAATAAAAAAAAAATGCTCAAGTCACTACTCGCAGTAATAGAGTAACGGCAACTAATAGAGTTTGTACCTTAGTTAATGATGTAGCTGGTTATATAGGGTTTAAACATGGGTGACACATAAGTAACGTACTAGCAAGTTTAATATAGTTTAATGGTAGAAGGTTTATTTCCCATAGGGTGACGTGCGAGACCTCTTAGGTGTATTCCCCTATATCAAACATGTAGAGTGTTGGCTGCGCTTGTGCAATAGTAGACCCAAAACGAAATATTTGGCTCAATATTGGGCTGCAAGTGGCCTAAGATGCTTGGTTTATGAACCTATGAAAATTTCCTCACTTAATGGCGGCAAGTATTTCATTCTTTTTATAAATAATTTTATAAGGATGAATTAACTTTACTTTCTTTAATAGAAATACAAAGTTTTGTTTTAAGAAGTTTTAAGACCTTTGTTGAACTTAATGTATTTTGCAATGATTTGAGAGAGCACCAACTTATAGTGATTTGTTTACACCTTACCTCCTTCCTCCCATCAACAAAATGGGGTAGTAAAGAGAAAGAATATATCAATTCTTGAAATGTTTAGATGGATGATATTTTTTAGAGAAATTGCCAAAGTCCTTCTAAGTGGAAGTAGTGATTGTAAACTTTCAAAATACCTTTCTACAAGGGTTATATAAGGCACTAGAACTATTGAAGCTTGGGGAGGTATCAGGCCATTTATTAAACACATAAAGGTATTTGGTTCACCTTGCTACAAACGCATATATCAAATGTGAAATGAAATAAACTAAATGAGACGACAGAAGGAGGCATTTGAACAAGCTACATGTCAGAATTTAAAGGTTATAAAAAGTCTATGACATTAGTTCAGTTAGAGTTTTTATTAGTAAAAATGTTAGGATGGACAAAGATGCTTATTAGAATTAAGAAAATCTTAAGTTGAAAGGTAATAGATTTTACCTTTTATTGAAGAGTAGAATTTATTGTATGCGGTGCGAGTTAATAAAATCAAGGAGTGGAATCAAGCAATGAAAGATGAGATAACCATTATTCAAAACATAGTGGTTATGGGATGAAACTAAACTCCAACGAATAAATAAACAAGTAAACTTAAGAATTAACATTTGATTGATAAATGTAAAAGCAAAGATGCCATTCAAATTAAATGGGTCTATACAGAGTGAAACTAAACTCCAACGAATTAACTATTCACAATATTTCACGTGATTCTAAATAGTTAGAAGGCAAAAGGAATTGACTGCTCATAATATTTTTACATTTTTCAATTTATCTTTAAATGATGAATTTAAATCCGATTTCTATCATTCTTCAACCCTTGCTTTCATTTAAACTTCCATGCTATCTGTTCACTTTCTAATCTTCTAATCTTTATTTCATGCTATCTGTTCACTCTTCTAATCAGCAACATAATATAATATGAATTTACTTAACTTTATTCAACTCATTAAAAATTTTGAATGTTTGAAGGAAAAGGTAAAAATACAGAATTTGAAGAAGAAGAAAAAGAAGGAAAAGAAAGACTAAACTTTTTATTTAGATGTTTAATATTGAAAAGAGAGAGTAAAGAGAGTTTACCAATATGAATAATATTATTACTTTTTATATATTTTTTTATTCATATTTTTTATTTTTAAAAATAAAAATAAATATTTTCTCTTTCTAAAAATTAAATAATTTTAAAATTAATATTTTTATTTTTATAATTTTTTTTAAACAAATTCACTTAAAAAATAATATATTTTTCAAAAAATAGAATTATAATCGTAAAATAACAACAAAAAAGTGTGAAAGAGAGAAAAACCATCAGGAGGCTTAAAAAAATCAATATTAAGATGGTCATTGAAAATTTATAAAAATTTCTAATTTTTTTCTCTTAATTAAGTAACTTTTAAATAAGAGTTAAAACTCACTAACTTCTTTCTTCTCTTCTCTTCTCCTCCTCTTCTAAACATGACATTCAAACATAGCATTAATCTTTTGTATTATTGTTGAATTGCATTGTTAGCATATTATTATTTTTTATTCTTTTATTTTATTACGTTACAGTGAGATATATGTACAGATTTGATAAATAAATTTGAAAAATTTATATTTATATTATAGCAAAAAGAATTTATATTTTAATAATAATTTTTGAAACATAAAAACACACATACACATTATTAGAATATTCAAATTAAATAAGATAAAATTGAGAAGAGTATACACTTTTTAAATTTTTTTAAAGTTATTTTTATTAAAATTAATGAATATATACAAGACTAATAGATTAAAGTATTATTTTTATTAATTTTATATCAATTTAATTACTTTTTTATATTCTTCTCAAGATATTAATAATTTATTAATTTTTAAAATAATAAACGTTGCTTTTTTAACTCATAATTAAAAATAAAAACCGCTCATAATTATTAATAACTATTATTTTAACCACTTTAAAGAATAATATTTTTATTAACCTAAGCTTTTATATAATTTTAATGATAAGCTTGTCTATACTAAAGTGCATGTAAACTGGGGGAAGGCATAACCCAATATAGTATTTACAGTACCCTCTTACATTTTGAGACAGCGGTGGACGATTTTTGATCGAAGGCAACGATAAGGCTGAGCATGGGAACAAATATGCCACCGCCGCCAACACCGCCGACACTTCCAAACGCTGCTCCAAAAAATCCAATCATCGTTCCCATAACAATTCTCCACCCAAATTCCATTTCCTGCAACAGTTATATATAAATTAATCAATGAACAATTAATATATCTACAGTGTTTTTACTGCAATCATATATCAAATTTAACTGTTAGAAAAAAAATGAAGGAATAACTCACCGGCCACACGTGTTGATAACTTGATTCCCCAGGTTGCCATAAGAAATTAACAACACTGTTAAGGAAACTCAGTTCATGTGTCTGCGTTTCGTTGAACATTTCTCCTTCTACCTTTGGAATCGTTCTTTCAGCCCACACACTCATGAAAGCCAACGCAAAGTGTAACATCACAACCCACATCGATTTCATCTTTTTTTAAACCAGTTCTATTTTTTAAAATAGTTACTATGTCAGAACCCAAATTTAATTTGCTCCGTTTGGCAAGCTAGAAATCGAGACAATGAATCGAAGAAAAGGGTGGTACATGAATTGCAAGGTAACAATGAAATCGATTTTCAAGGAAGATAGACATAAACAACAATGGAAAATACGAAATTAATGTTTAAAAAGGAAAGTAAAACGACGAAAAACCAAAGGATGGAGAATGTATAACAATGATCACAAAGTAATAGCACTGATTAAAGAAGACCCACGTGCCAGCTGCTCCAGAATCATGGACCCAGACAGGACAGTGACAATAATAATAAGGTAGTGTCCATTTCCAACGTTGGACGAAGATAAGCTATAAGGTAAGGTTAGCATTTTTCTCGCCACTTTTGAGAATTTAAAAAATAATTTATTAAATAATTTTATATCTTTTTACCTTTTTTACATACAAATTATGTTAATTATCAATGAGTAAAATAGTAAACAATTTTTATGTTTTTAAGAGAGAACTTTACTGCTCATGCTCAAATAAGACTAGACGAAAGAAATAATTTTATTTAACATAAAATTAATTTAAAAGCCTAAAAAATTAAAAAAAATTGCATAAATGGAATTTTTTGTGTCACAAGTGCAACTTTCAAACGATGAATAATTCATTATATTATTATCCTTCTGCTTAGAGATAGCAATGGATAAAGTACCTGATGGACACCTGCAAAATTTACCCACAATGAGTAGGGTATTTACCCGTTATACGGGTATGGGTGTGGGTAATACCCACAAATTTTAATGGGTATCTAAGTACCCACCCCACCTCATACTTGCATATATATATATATATGCTTGAACTTTATTCTACAATTATGCATTGAATTTTTGTATTATTATATTACTTATGTGAAATTATATAAGATTAATATAAAAATATATTTAATAATAAAGTAAACCAAAAAATTTATTTTGGTTTATATTTTTAATAGAAAAATTTATTTACTATTTTATATCATTTAATTAGGCTAACACAATTTAATTATTACATAGTTAATATGAGATTGACTTTTTTTAAAATATTATTTATATATGACACACATAAAATATTTTTTACACAAATATTTTTGTTAATAAAATCATATTGATGTTTAAATCATAAAGTGAATGATAAATTATAAATATATTATAAATATTTTATAAATTTTACAATCACCTACTATTACCGTAAACTTATTATTTTTTAATAATATTTAAATTTTATTTTTATATTTTAATTTAAAATAATATTTTTCTATGCAACATATGTATTACAAGTACAACTATAATCTATTGAATCTAAATAATATTATTCTTACTATTTATTCACATTCAAAGAAGTTTTTGAAAAGATATAAATATAAAAAATTATTGTTAATTTTTATTTGTTAATTTTTTTAAGATAAAAAAGTATATTTTTTTTAATATACACGTATATTTCTTTATTATAAAATTTTATTGTAACTATTTATCTTTTATTCAATTTTTTTTTAATTTAAATACATTATAAATATTTAATTCACTAAAATAATTTTTCAAAAATTTATATTTTTGATAAAATACTTTCGTATAGTATATGAGTTAAAAAATACTAGTATTAATATATATATATATATATATATATATATAAATTATATTATATTATTTTAATTAAATCTATTATTTTTCTTATAATTTCAAATTCAAAAGTTAAAAAAAAATATTTTATGTATTAACTTTCTGTTGTTAGTATTGAATTTCTCTACTCTAACTCTATTCTCATTCTCAATATCTGTCTTACTAAAACTTAATAACTATGAAATGTTATTCATTAGAGTTAGTTGTTAATGCCACAAGAGGTTATTAAGTGATCCCACACGAAGGGACAACCTTGTACAGATCTATTTCGTTGTAGCTCTAACATTACCAATCAATCAAATCTCACACAAGATAGGATTATCACTGACAAATAACTTTTGTGTTTAGTTTTGCTTATTGTTTCTAAGAATTTTAGTTTAAAAAATTATTATATTAAGATACATTTAACATTTATGATCTTTGAATATTTGTTTTTTTTATCTATGTTTGTACCTTATTCGGCAACTACATATTGAATTTTTGTATTATTATGCTACTTATGTGAAGTTATATAAACATATTTTTTTTTATAAATATTTTTTTCTCAAATAAGCGCGGGTATGCGGGTACCCAGAGGGTACGGGTACGAGCATTAATGTTCATACCCACGTGAGTATGGGATCAGGTACGAGTATTTTTTTTAAACATGGATATGAGGATGGGTACTGTAGTACTCTACCCATTGCCATCTCTACTTCTTCTTTGTTAATGTGTTTTTATTATATTTGAAAACAGGGAAAACGTTTGGCCATGAGTGAAGGGCTTAACAGACATTACGTCTAAGAAACTAAGAATATCAGAGTCATATAATTTGGATTCCGAACACTTCTTTAGAAATTTATGGCTTATGATTATGTCTCACAACATTATAAGCACCGTAACAGAGCACCCTCGATACGCGTTCCGTTACTCGTTAAATGTAAAACGATTAGTTCTTTAAATTTAAATATTTTTATTTGACATATAGTACTAATTAGTGTTCTTAAAACACTTGTTCATTAAAGAATAAAAGTAATAAAAAAATTATAAAAAATATATAACAAAAATACTTTTTAAATGATCTTTAATATAATTTAATAATTTTTTTTAATAAAATTTATCATCCCTCCCCGTTTCTTTGAAAACCTCCTTACAATTTAAAACAACTCTTAAATAACCTTAGAACGTGCGGTAAAGTTCTATTATCTCTGCCTTAAAAAGAGACACTGTATTATCTTATGAGAAATTATATTGGTCCAAAATTTATATTAAAAATTATATAATAAAAAGATAAAAAGTATTATTATTATGAATTTATTATATGAATAAGTTGTTTTTTTAGTTATTTTATTAAGGATTTGTTAACATCAACTTTTGTCTTAAGACCTGAGTTTAAATATTCACAAATAAAAAAATTATAAAAAAATACATAATTATTATATTAAAATTATAAAAATATAATAAATACTATTCTTTCTAATAAAATTTTAGTATTATTAGCTGAATTTATCTTTAATGTTAAAGGCTGAGATTAACAAAAAAAATTTATTAAATATTAAACTTTACACTGATATTGTATTAAAAAATTATATTAGTTATGTAGCAGTACGAAAAATATCTTAATATAATCAAATCGCCTAAGTTTACAAGTGTAAGATAATTATAAAAACTTATCTAATATTCTTGATAAAGAGAAATTATATGCAACGAGTAACTTATTACAATTTAATATAAATGTCAATATATATTTCACAAAAATAGAAGTGAGCATCAATAAATATTAATAAACTGAAATTATATTTTCATTTTTTATAACTGATTCAATAATTTTTTATATAGTATTAAAATATTTAAGTATTTTTATCATAAATAAATAATTTGTTTCTTTTATTTTAATAGAATGTTACAATTATAGTCTAATATTATATATATATATATATATATATATATTAATAAAAGTAAATAATTGTACTCTATATGTATAAAGCAATTAATTTTATTACAAATCTTACTTAAATTTATGAAATCCTCACCATTCATGACGAGTCAACGTGATGTGGGGTGCCCCAAAATGGGAATTTGGGCAATAAACATCACCAATGAAAGCAGTTGAATCTGAACTGTCAAGAATGGTGTAATGATATACAAATGCATTATTGAAGGGAGAAAATGGCAGTGAAATCAACATTTTCTTCTCGCAGAGTAGATAGGGGAGAATTAAAGACACCTTTTGATCACAGAAATAAACATTACAAGAGTTAAATCTATACATTTTTAAATTATACTTGATAACTTCTAATACTCATTAAATTTATACATTTTTAAAATGCTTTAGTTAGTATTTTTGGTAAAATGGTCCAAATGGTACTTCTGGTTAAAACTCTAATACAATTGATTTTTTTAATTGAAGTACTCTTTAACTAATAGAATTATAACTACTTTAATGAGTTTTTTTTAAAAAAAATTGATAGTTTCTTAGTCAAATTATAAGTCTTTTAACATTACTACATGTCTTTGATACAGTCCAATCATTAAATTAGATTATTTAATTTAATTATTTTTTTATAATAAAATCTATTGTTCTCTTTCTACTTAGGGTTACACATGAAATTATTCTAACGGTTAATTTTATGTTAATAAATAATTTGATTAATAATTTAGTTAAAAAAATATTAATACATTCTAATTCTAATTTTTAAAATATTAGAAGAATTATATCCGTTAATTTAAAAAATTATAAAATATTTTTTCAAATCTATTAATATAACAAGCATTTTATTTTTTAATATATATGTGCACTTAGTCGATGAGACAGTTATTGAATTAACTCACTAACTTAAAATGTTAATGATCAATGTTTAAGTCACTTTTCTAGTTAAACTACTGCCTTAATTAATATTTTAGTGAAATCATTGAACTTTTAACTAGTATGTTAAGTAATGGACACAGCAAATTTTGTGGTTGAATTTTAACTTGAATGAACGTATGGATAGGCGAAGGTGAGATGTACAATAATGACCCACTTGAAGTTGAGATAAAATTAAGGGTGGCATATTTATAAAAGGAACTTTAACATTAAGGTTAGTGTTTATTCTAAGAGAATAATTGTAGAGGAACAGATCATGTACCTCCTATCTCATGACCCATTGCTGGTCTTTAGAGACATCATGTTCATGACAGAGAGAGTTATATATGTCCAAAAACAAAGGGTGGTTGAGTTTACTTGGCTTTGGGGCATGCAACGCTGGCTTTGGGTACCTTCACGTGCTTATTTTTATAAATGTTAATGAAACAAAACTTAAAAGCAGAACAGAAGGTACTTACTTGTTTTTTTCATCAGATGCTTCTTGCTTTGTTGGCTTAGTAAACATTTTGATCTTTTAAAAATTTGTAAAGTTTGATTCTGGTTTCCTATGTCGCCTTGGTCAAAAGATTAGGCATATGATTGTCATTTTCTGCCCTTTTCATTGTGTGGTTTGCATTTGGAGATTAAAAAATTAAGTGTAAACTTGAGTGTGAAGTGTAATTATTGCATTAGGGTTTGGTTATCCTTAACAGTTAATATGCACGGCCACGTATATAGGTCCCCTGTGGTAGACACCATTTCATTCCTCAAAATAATTATTAGTGAGTGCGACAAAGATGCTTCAGTTGTGGTCTTGTGGACCAAACTCGCAACTCTCTTTTCATTTCATTTCAATCACTTCTATAATTCTTTTCTGAAATTTTCATTTTCAGTTGTTCAATATTACTATGCTACATATAAATTCAATATTTTGTAATTTAATTTCCTAATTCTTAAACAGAAAAACCCTTAATCATCACAACTAGAGACAAAACAGATTTTTCAAAAAATCAATCTAAATTTAACTTAAATTTATTTTTTAAAATAAAACTAATTTATCGTAAGCACTGTTGCATTAAATTAGTATATTTTAAGAAGATTTTAATAATATTTATTAACTATATTATATTTTATAAAAATTTATAAAATATTTATTATTATTTTTAATAAATGGAGTTGATAATGAAAATTTAAATTAAAACTTACAAAAATAAAAATTAATAATATAAATAATAATAAAATTATTATGTTATAATATTTTAAAAATTTAAAAATAAACATAAATATAAAAATAATAGTAATAATTAATTTAAAAATATTTTTTATATTTTAATATCTTTAATATAATAATAATTATATTTTAAAATATTATTTAAATATTTAATTTTAATTATAAAATTAAGATTAATAAAAAATATTAATTATAAAATGTAATAAAAATAAAATAATATAGCACAGAGATTTAATAAATAAATATATAAAATAATAATTTTATACATATGAATTTAAACAAAAAAGTAGTTTTAAAAATTAATTTAAAATACTAAATTAATCACATAAATATAATTAATTTAACATAAATTTAAATTTTTAAAATTAATTTAACAGTAATTATGATGTAAATTTATAAAACTAGATTTTTTTTCCAGTCCTAATGGCCAGGTTTCATGAAAACGTCACGCATGTCGGCGGATGAAGTAGACCTGCCGCATGATTGAATGCATTTACAAAATATACTGTTACTGTCATTTCAATTTTTTTTTAAAATTTTTATAATAAACTAATAATATTGAAGCAAAAAAAATATGACATTATTCAAACTATAATATTTTAAATTAGAATAGAAATAAATACTCTGTTAGAGTTATAATAGACACTCAAAAAAAAATTTATAACTGAATTTTATTGAAAGAAGTTCTTGTTGCATGTGTTTGGTTTAAAGTTGACTCAAATAAATTTTAATAAAAATAATTTTACGTTGTTAAATAAAGAAATAATATATAAAAATTAATTTTAAATTAATTTCTGGTTTAAATATGTGATTGTTCCTTTAAATAAATACATTTTGTAATAAATTCTTATAAATTTTTTGTTAGAATTTAATTTGTAGAAATATTTGATAGTTTTTAATGCAAGAATTGTTGCAATTTTCTTAAAATAATATTTTATATTTTTTATATTTATTGTTGTTAAATGTTATATTTTTATAACTTTCCTATAATTAATATAATGATAAATTTTAACTTTAAATAGAAGTAAAATTGATAAAATATAACTAAAATTTTAAAAATTATAAATTTTTATTAGAAATTGCTTAAATGAGTTAAAAATCACTGAAGAAAAAAAATGCATTAATACCTGCCTAAATATTAAAAATAAAAAATGATAAATATAAACATCTTCATATCACAAGTTTAAAAAATAATTATTAAACAAGTAGAAATAACTCAAATTAATCCACACGTTATAGCTGTCGTGAAATGCAAAAAAATCAATCTTTAATAGTTATGTAGTAAATAGTAACCACACAATCAAACTACAAGAAAATAGTTTACAAAATAATGCACCAAACACAATTATTCAAGAAAATAATTCACATATCATTATCAGAAGATAGTGTTCACACACAAAATAAATGACCAATTGTCCCATTCACTCTTGATTCAACGTCCTCATGAACATCTTCATCTACCTGTCAAAAACAAAAAATTTATACAAATGATTGTAATTAAAAATAAGATGATAATTAAATTTAAACTAAAAAATATTACCATTTAAAAAAAAAATGTAATTTCGATACTTGTTTAAAACAAGTAAGCCAATTCTAAACGTAGACTCGGTCAATAGTAGTAATAGGAAAGCTCACAAAAATACAAGCCATTATTGATAACTCTGAAAAACGATTATGAGTATCTCTTCATCACTGTAGCACATCCAATTTTTTATATTAATCAAATTTGAATTTGATTTGTCCAAATGAGCATCAACTTGAGACCTTCCAATTTTAATTGCAAGTCATTGATTGTGAATTTTCAATTTCTAGCATATAATAGAAGGACACAAAAATAAATTGCTAAAAAATAAACAATTTTTGTCAGCTTTTAGTGACTCTAATCTTGCTGATAATTAGGAATTCAGATTCAGTTCAATTTTAACAAGAACACGTCGTTGAGATCCACCATATGCATGCTTGCTCAAGGAGCCAACATAACCCTCTCTTGTGACTCATGAGACCTTGCTAGCTAGAATCATGAGCTATTATGCAGATTCAATATAATTATCACGGCAACTCATTTTCTACGTGTAAAACTTTTTTCATCTTAATATAATCAAAATGTTTTGATTTTCACATTGATAGGATCTATTTTTATAAGTTCTAAGGTTTATATTTCAAAATTAATTTTAAAAAATAGAGGACTAAAATTAAATTTAATCGTATTTATAAGAAATTAAATCACATTTAAGCTTATGTGTTTTTATATACTAAAGATTAATGAAGTGATTAAAATCCAAAACCCAAATATAGCTGTTAATTAATTCAAGAAAATATTTAAAATTATAAAATAATGCATAATTAATTTAAAGGAAACTATGGGAATGAAATCAAGAAAATTATTAATTTCTTATTCCTTAGTCGCTTCTTATGGGAAGACAGTAGTAATCGAGGGATGTAATGAAAGACCTAGAAAATGTATTTAATGAGGCAACTTTTTCACTAATATAAGAAATAATAAAAATAATAATTTAAATTACAGTGTCTGCTTAATCTTTTAAAAAATGGTTTAAAATTGTTAAAAAAAATTGAAGGATTATGAATAATTTTGTGAGATATTTTAAAAGATACGCTTAATATATTTAAAAGTTGTCATACAAACCAAAATAAATCTTACTAAAATCTATTCCATATTCTAAACCCTAAATCTTAAACCTAAAAATTTATCCGTCCAAACCTTTATTTACCCAAAAAAAAAAAAAAAACTACACAGTCTATTATTTTATATAAAAAAATTGCAATGCTATAAATAAATACATGTAAACGAAATTGAGCCTTGATATAACAGTTGAAATTGAATCAAAGACTAGGTCACAAATCCTGGTCATGGATCAACCTTGCAAAAGATAGGTAAGGATGTCTACTTTAGACTCACATTTTTAACCACAAAAAATATATACCAAGCTAACTTGGAGAGCTTCCTTCCCCTTTTGCAGCCTTTTTCACCTTTACGAGTTTTCTTCTTCTTCTGTATGAAGATTTTTCATCTTTGTATGATTTTTTATTCATAATAGGTGGATTTTCCCCTCTTTTGTGAGAGTTTGTTTGATTTTTTTCTACCATTTTATATTTTTCTGAGTCCTTTTTATCTTACAATCATCTTTCTTCTCATCCATCCATCGTGTCCTTCATGTCACTGTCTTTTTTTTACATCACATTCCTTTCTGGCATTCGAATCTGTTGAAGTATTCTATTAGCTAACTTTTTATTGTCGGAACACCGTTGTGCAACATTATTTAAAATTTTTATCATCTCTACTATAAAGGTTCAGTGCTAATCCGAAAGGAGGAAAAAAAACCATTTTGATTTTCTAGGACTCAATAGGGTTTCTTTTTATGAGAAAAGAATGTGATTTTAAGAGCATGTTTGATTTACTTTTTAAAAATAGTTTTGATTTTAAAAATAAATCGTAGAAAATCTTGTGATTTAGCATTTTTACTTTTGGAAGTGTCTTTCGACTTTTGGTCTACGATAATCTCTTCAACAAAAGAAAACAAGAGTGAGACATCCATCACTTACATTGACCGAAAAACAAAAAGACATCCCACATAGAAACTCAATAAACCAGGCTGCCCCTTTTTTGTGAAAAAAATAAAAAGAAGAAAAGAATCTTTGCACACACAAAAAAAAAATACCTCAGTTTATTTGCTTAAAAAAAATTATAATCCAAAGTCACATGATACAAAAAGCAAATATATGTTTCTGTAAAGATGTCACCATTACTCAAGTGAAAGAGTACGTTTTGCAAGGTTTAAATTATAATCCCTGAATAATACATATATTGTCAAAATTAAAACATAAAACCATGGAACATCTTTTTTTTTAAAAAAATAAAAATTTCTAATCTTCGCCATCTATGTGAAATTCAGTGGTTAACATTAGTTTTTTAAAACCAACGGTTATTAAAATCATCAACAATGTTAGACAGGAGTATTCCAGGAGAAGGGATTTAAGAAGCATCACCAGTCATACAAATGAAAAAACAAACAAGCATGCGTTCCTCTCCGCAAACTTGTTTTTTTTTTCACAGCAAAAATAGTTTACCATGAAAACAAACTACAGAAGCGAATGCAAATTCCTACACTGAAAGTAAGACTAATTATTTTTCTCAAACAAAATCTTTACAGAGGTTGCTGCTGAATACTTTAGCATTACAGGTAATGGGGCTCCTAGAAAATCAAGCGCTTCTTCTATGACTCTAAAAGGTATATTGAAAGGGCTTCAACTTATTCAACCTTTTTGTCAGATTTGGGGTCACTCTCCTCTTGAGATGATTTCGCAGTCTTCGACTCATCAAACTCCAGTAACTGAGTTGAAACAACGTAAAAAGTAGTTACACCATAGCTAAGCCACATTTGGAAAGCTCGTAAGGCAGGCATAAATCCTGCCTCAGAGTTCTAGCATGCAAATGACGCAACACAACCACGTCTCCACTAACTAACAAATCATTTAATACTAATTGCTACCTGAGGTAATAGTACTATGGAGTATAAGGCACACCTTTTGGAACTGACTGATCAAAGCAGACAGGTTACATTTAGAAAAAAGCAGTTAACAAAGCCTACTTTCTATATCTATGTATCTTTTATTTCCTGCTGTTCATTCATATTTAAAAAATCTGGAATCCTTCGTAAGCTAATTTTTAAAAAATGGTTGCACAATAATGTAATCGTCTAGAAATTAAACAACAGTCAAACACTTTTTTATTTACATGTAAATTCTAGTAAATATTTTATAAGATATAATTTTGATCAACCATATGATGCCATATGTTTGAAAAACAGCTAGAGCTTTCAGTACATGGACAAAACTTCACCACAATAATGGGGCATTTTCCTGTGTATTGATTATGTTAACAATTTCACAGTGCCACTGGGTCAAATTAAAACTCATACACTCCTTTCAGTTATGTTAAATAGTATTATAAGGATTTAATTTTATTTCACAACCAATGATCCATTTGGTGCATCATGTTTAGAAAATTGTTAAAATATTTTATTGCAAGTGTAAAACCTTAGCTGTTACAATGAAGTGGCGCTTTATTGTTTACAGCTGGAGAAATAAACGGTCGCTCAAATTTAAATTCTTGTAAATTATTCATGGTTACAATCTGAAAATGACATGTTATATTTAAGTAAAAGAAATTGTGTAATCAAATTAGATGAGCAAAGATGGATTAACATTGATACAAAAACATAAAAAATGTAAATTAGGAAGTGAAACAAACCTGTTTGACTTCGGCATTCCATATGCAATGAGCAGCCAAAAACCCAATTACAGCAGGTACAATATATAAAAGAGCTGGCTGAAACAAGGATAGAAAGAAAAGGAAAAAAATACTTAATAGAGAAGACCAATTGCAAAACCTAAACTTTCACATGTCCGACCAGCCATATATTTGTAGTGAATATAACAATACAGTAAAATCCCGTCATAAAATGGAACTACAGATCCAATCACCTGAGCAGCTTGAAACCAGTTCATCACAACTATTGTTAGGGCCAAGCCAACAGTGTATCCTAAAAATGCACTCTTGAAATACAGAGGCTGTTTTCCTCTAGAAACATCAAACCGCAAGGCCAATGCTACAAAGATACCTGAAAGGAAAATGTACATAGAGTAATAAATATAGAATTATCAACTGACAACAATCATATACAATCCCAATTTCTAAAAGAACAAACATCTTTTATAATACATTTTCTGACATATCAAAGAACCCTCCAAAGCAAAGAAGAATTTTTTTCCCTCACTCTAATTTTAAGTTATAGCATAATAATAACTGAAAGAGACTCGGTCCTCAGCAAAACTTAATGTTGCATCTATCTTTGCATGAGAAACCACTTCAAATTATCATTTATGTTTATAGGCATAACAATAAACCAGCTATTCAGCTACAAATATGCACATTGAAGAGAGTAGTTCATAAACACTTTATCTGTAGTTGGCCAAAACATAGTTAAATCTCTGCATGACAAATTCTGCAAATGTGAAGCATATAAGTTGGAAAATATGAAAGAAAAATATTTTGAATAGAAATGAGATAGAAGTGTCAAGATCAAATGGTCTTATAGACAGCAAGTGTCAAGTAGTTCAATAAGTGTGTTAGAAGATAATAAATATTTGGTTGTTAGTCTAATTGTAGACCAATTTGAGCTTGTAATGGAGGTACTAGCACCTAACATAGTTATTAGTATAAATAAAAGTAAATTTAGGGATTGAAGAGAAACGATGAAAAGGAAATAAATTCCTCACCTGGTAAAGATTTTAACAGACCCCATGTAGTGAGACAAAGCTTGGAGTTTAAATGTTTATGGAGGGAAAGGGAATGTGAGAGAAACCATTCCTCATTCCCTCTCAAACTAATTTATGGATCTCCTCAAAATCGATGGATAATGAGGCTAATTGCTTTACCAACATTCTGAAAACTTCTAAACTTTACAGTCATAGCATTTTACATCCCTCTTTCTTGACTCATTATTGGAGGACAGCTTTATCCTCTAAATATTCCTACCATATCCTTGTAGAATCCGACAAAATATTACTAAGTAGTACGTATCAAGACATTAATATTACAACTCACAAAAGGGTGGTCAACATTACAGGAAAATACATCATCATAAAAGATTCAACCTACCAGGGATAACAATGTCACCAAGCCCAAGCATTGAAAATGGCCTTGCAGAATCTGCTGTGGGGAACAAAAGCTGCCAAACAATTGAAATAATTAATATTAGAAGGAAAGGAATAGTGTACTGGATATTATTAAACTTTGTACGAAGATGGGGAAAAAATCATTTCACTAAGTTTAACCTTTATTGGAGCATCAAATGATTTTGCAACACTGACCATCACTGGAGTGAAGAACACCCAGAAAATGTCATAAAAAAAGAGTCCAACCTGCAAAAACACAATAATGGATATTATTCAAACTTCAAAGACCGTATAGACAAAAAAAAAAAAAAAATCAATGAAAAACACAATACAAACATTTACTTAATTATATCACAACAAAGACAAAACTATATCTGCAAGGTGAAACATATATCCTTTCAAATTAGAGCAATATTAACTGAAAGGATATAAACAAATTGGGAACACAAAGGGAGGGAGGGAGGCAAGTCAGCAAAATTAAGGTACTTTTACCCAAAAAAGAAAAATTGTTAAAACCACATTTCTTTAACGCATGAGAGAATATAAAACAGCTTGGTATGTTTAGAGCCAAAGTTTGGTGATCTAGAAAACACTAAGTTGAAAACGTTGTGACTAAAATTAAAGCATAAGGGCTTTAAGCACCATAACCATGATTAAAGAAAGAAACAAAAATACTTACCAAGAGAATAGCACCAGTCTTGAATGACCCAAGAGATAGCATTTCAATTCCCTGTGAATATTAAATATTGAGTCATGGGTCATTTCACTGCTTACTGTTTGACTGAGTACCAAAACATTTATTGACTGATAATGTCAGTTTCTTTTCTCAATTCTATTCTCTTAGGAATGTGCTATGACTATTAATTATTTAGGCCATCTTCTGGTTCAGATTATGCAAGACAATCAAGAGATGGTAATAAAAAAAAACTAACCATAACAGTTCTAAAAAGGCAATCTTTTTAATCAGGAAAGTGAAATTCAGACAAATAGTTGTAGGTAAGAAGTTAAGCAGTAAACCTGTATACAGAAAGCAAGACCCAAAATATTATTTGCTAGCCAATGCTTCTGCAAAGCATACCACACACAAAAAAAGGTTCCAGGGATTGCAGCAATGATCTGTGACTTTGTAAACTCAATCTCCAAAGCTGTGTAAGAAAGGGTGTAATGAAAAATATCATTCTGCATGATAGAAGCAAGTTAATGTCAACTAGATCAAGTGCGAACAGCAAAACAGGTATAACGGAAATGCTTTGGCACAATGGGATAATGATATCATGATTTTAAAAAAAAAAGTTGCTCCTTTGGAAATTAGCAACACAGCTAATCAAGCATCAGATGTTTGGTCAGAAAAGGAAGAAAAACCATGAACACACCTAATAGTCATAATATCACATTAGCTGAGATGCCCAGAATATAGAAGTCAAGCAATACATTGCATCATTGCAGAGTTATCGCTCCCCAATCAGTACACTATGTATTAATAGAATGAAAATTTCATGCAACCCCTACCCTATAGAATTCTACAAGTCCAACAAAATTGAAAACAAAAAAGTTAGTAGCTAGAAGCCAAGAACCAACTAGCCCAATATTATGATGATCAGAAAATGAATCCACAAGGACCACAACAAACTGTCATAACAAGACCACGTGGAATCCATAAGGTTACACATTTAGCATTCTCTAATCTACATAGTCCAATTTCTTATTCCCATTTAGAGGATAGTTAAAATTCAATTATGTACACAAGTAGAATTTCCATAATAATAATTTTAAGCAAGTAGTTAAAAAACTAAAAAAAGAAAAAATTCAATTTCCATGATACAAAGCACATAGGGAAGAGTTGAGTCCAAACTCATAATATGACAAATTGGTAAGAGTACCAGAACATGAAAATGCTACCAATATAAAAGTAAGAACAAAATTACAGTCTATGATGCAAAAATGCATTGTAGAAGATCATAGTATGCTTTGTCTCTTAACAAAGAACAAGAGTGCCAAAAAATATAAATAAAGAGAAACAAAAACAGGAAGGGTGTGCAAACATGAATTTATAATTTCTGTCATCAAATTTAACAGTTAAATACTCTGAAGTTTACAAATTTCCCCTAACATTTAAAGATAGATTAATAAGAAATTTTCTATCCTCAAATTACCCAATTAAGAAAAATCCATATTTAGTAGCTCCTACAGGTCTTTTAGTTGAAAAAAAAATAAAATTCAAGTACATGTGGTTGCCACAAATAAAGTCAGTAACTCAACCAGAAAACAAAAGAGGACATTTGTCAAAATTCTGAGGATACAATCAACTAACAGACTCTCCAGTCAGGTAAGAATATCAATATTTCATAGGTTCGTCGTATAACCAAATTGCAGAAGTTATCAATGCCTAAAAGATGGCAGGAAAGATATAACTTTTGATACCACAGTCAAGAGATAAATTTTACTGTAAGAGTATGGAGAAATAAAGGAGGAATGCACATGACGTACAGCGAAGATATGGAAAATGCCAGACTATGAGTTCTTCTCTCCAGTGCTTTGGCAAAAAACGTTTGATGGATGGTAATAATGTTGCCCTGTACAAAGATGAAGAACAAAGGTGTGAACAGAAAACATGATTATATATATATATATATATATATGGCCCAACGAAAAGAACATACGACAGAGCAACAATCCCAAGTAAAAAGAAGTAGCCTGTGAGCACAGCATTGACCAAGTCCTTAGATAGAAACTTGAAGAGCAAGAAAAGTGATAACAACATTGCACTCCCAACAATGGGAAAACGCATGGCATGTTCATTGGACATCGTCTCCTGCATCATTATATGCAACATGATTCAGAGAAGTCAAAACTTGACCCTTGAGACTTGGAAAGAGCAACACAAAATAGAATGAGCATAAAAGCTATTACTTACAGAAGGCGGAGTTGGTTTGACAGAACGATAGCATCCCACATATACAGTGAGGCAAGCAGTCAAGATAACATTTACATTTGAATCTACTTTCACAACAAGAGGTGCTAAGGTTAAACCTGCCACAAGAGATAACAAAATGGTGGTTATCAACAAAAGAATTCAGGAACAAAAAACGGATCCCACTTTCCCACTATCTGACACATTAAACTTAAGACACCAAAGAACTCAAAAGGTATAATACAAACATTACTTGCTTTTAACTTTACTCATGGAAAATACGAACGCACAACAGCACAACCATCTAATCTGCATACTCTCTTAAATCCAGCAGTACGACAATCACTTTTCCACTCACTCAAGCTCACAGCTGATCACATTAACGTTCAAAGCCCTTTATTTTAAACCGTAACATAAGAGAATATAGCAATCACGTTGCACTAAAATACCCAAGTGTAATTTCAGCCACCTTGCACATTACAAATGAATTCCACATTAAGCATATATTACTCGCCAAATTAATATCCACCTAAGTTTTCTTTTAATTAATTAAATAAATAAATAAATAAATAACAGAAGAAGGAGAACAAAAAATCTATTACTGAAGCAGGAAAGCAAGAGAAAATTAACCAACAAGAACCAAACAATAGAAACAAACCCGCTAAAGCCAAATTGGCAATTCTCTCCGTGCTTTTCATCTTTCTAACAAAAAACCTTACAAAATATAGCCTCCCCCTGCGATCAGAAACAACGCCAATTGCATAAATCAAAAACCCATCGTTGATAAACTAGAAATGAATTTCACAAAAGAAAGAAAAAAAAAATTTAAAAATTAATTAATTTATCCATTCTATTTTTCTAGGCACTGAAAGAAACCTCCTCTTTAGAAAAGCAAAATGCAGGAACAACACAAGTACTCCCTAAAAAGATCCCCGCTCGTTGCAGATCGGAGAGATCAATAAAGAAAGAAATGGATTGTGAAATTTGACGACTATTTTGGATTAGGGTTTTATGTTTTCTATCATATCCAGATTCTTTTTCCTTTATTTATTTATTATTTATTATTATTATTATTATTATTTGTAGTTGTAAAAGCAGAGCAAATGTGCAGGTAGATTTAACAGGCCCCACGTAGGTGGAGGCATTCGGACGAATCACAAACTCGTAATTTGCCACGTCAGCTTACGGAAATTTTCCCTACCAAACTGCTCCTCACACTCCACTCACACACACACTCACTCACACTCGCACCCTTTCTTCTCACTACTAAATAATATAAAAACTCTCTCACATTGACACACCCACCCTTTCACCCTTTCTTCTGTTCCAAGTTATGTTTGGGAGAGTGAGTGATTCTGAAAACAAAAAGGAAGGCTTATTTTTATACTTTAAATAAGCCGCCAGAACCACAGATCACACTATTAAATAATTATAATATAAAAAGCTGAAAATATAAACATAAGGAGACAGAGTCACCCAGAGACACACACACTTACGTACTTACCATGCAACCACCAACAAATTAGGCACTTCCTCCACCTTTCCTCCACCCTCTTTCATTCTATAAAACGCGCTCCGTTTACGTTGTTTTGGCCAACCTCGGCATTTTCTAAACACCTTCTCATTCATCTCTCATGTCGTTTAAGAACCTTTTGGTTATAGATATTATGTCGCAGCTAGAACTCGGGAAACCCGAACACCAAATGGGGAAACCCGAGAAACGAGTCAACGGCATATTCTGGCTCATTCTCCTCAACATTGCCATATTCGTCGCTCACCATTTTTTTCAGGTAATTTTGTTATTCTTCTTCTCTATTTACCAATGTGAAACCTGAGAACCTGTTTTTACTGTTTTGTCCCCATTTCAGCATGAAAATGTTCGATTCTTCATTTCACGTTACCCCTTTTTTTTACTACCGTTGAAAAAAATGTTATAAACGATGATGTACCAAGAATACCGTATAGAATATGAAAATTTTAAAGAATTCAAAGTATTAGATGGCTAACATTATTTTTAGTCATGTTAATGAATAATGTAAAATATTAATATATTTTACATGGAAAATGAGTTTGATTAAACAGAGAAATAAACATAGGGAAATTGAGAGAAATGTGAAAAAAAAAAAAAAAAACTCTCAATTTACCTAAAAGTTTGTTTTTTTCCTTAGGGAAAAATGATCTAACTAATATCTATGGCATCTTGCTATACTCCAAGGAACACTTACTTTTATTAAAACCGTCCTCAAATCATATATATATCTTTAAAATAATTTTGATAATTACTTAAGGGTACTTAATGTATACCAATACTTGGTACATACTAAATACTGAGTATAGGTTTGTCTGTTAAAATGAAGTACCCATATCTCAAAAGTGATAAATTAATGAGTGATGAGAAAGAAAGGATGAAAGAGGTAAAAAAATAAAAAGAAGTAGAAGAGGAGCTCTTGTTCATGGGGTGTAAAAGAAAAGTGACATGACATAATCAGGGTTGTTTCAGATTCAGATTTCCTTGCATGATGCATCCTTTTATATTTTGCAAGGTTAACAGCATCAAGGCTTTGTACTTGTACCACAATTGGCCCGCTTGGTACCAGTTTGTCACAGCAACATTTTGTCACGCTAATTGGTGAGTGTCCTCCTCCCTCGTTTCTATTTTGCACAGTTGTTATTGTTATGAAGAAAAGTGGAGTTAATTGTGACAGTTGAGAAATTAGTTAACTCTGCTAGCAACAACATTTTGCTATAACATTGGTTAGAATAGAATCAATTTGAGCCACATATATAAGAGCGATACAATTGTACATGTGATCATTGAGAAATGACATAATTTTGGAGTCAAAATCTTCTCTCTCTCTCTCTTCTTCTTCTTCTTCTTCTTCTAGCATGAACTGCATTTGAATATGCTTTACTCCTAGTCCGGTACCACACATTACAGTTGTGTTATTTTCTTTCTAAGATTTACATTGTATATGAACAAGAAAAGTATGGACAGTACAAACTAATGTTTTAGTCATGTTTTACATTACTCTTAGCTGCATTTCATGTATTTTCTTTTTTAACCTTTTATGCCAATACAAATGAGAATACCACAATAATTAGATAAATTGAAGCATTTTACTATTTCTGCAATAATCACTTTAAAACATCAATTATCTTGTTTGATTTATGATTTTGTGTTTTATGTTAGTTTTATATATTTTATTAAATATAGCTTTGTTATATCCTATGATTTTTAAAATATGTATTCCTATATCCGTGTTGTATTGTATATGTGTTCTGTGTCACATATGTGCTTCCTAGCACAGAATCCTTGATGTGGAAGACTGGAAGCTCTTTTTATCTATTTATTTTGTGAACTTATTTATTATTATCATCTCATTTTACAATCTGACTATTCTTCAACTTGTTCAGGAAGCATCTTTCTAGCAACCTATTCTTCTTGTACATTTTTGGTAAGGCTGTGATGTGACTGCTCTTCTTTCTGGTAGGTGAGTTATGGGATTGATGCTTGAGATGTTGTTATTTTGTTGTTTTCACAAGAGGAAAGCTTGTTGAAGAAGAGGAAGGGAACTCTGCTTTGTGGCTTTCTTACATTCTTACAGGTGTTGGAGCAAACCTTGTTTCATGGTTGGTTTTACCAAGAAATGCAGTTTCTGTTGGAGCTTCCGGTGCTGTTTTTGGGTTGTTTACTATCAGTGTTTTTGTAAAGGTACCTGGAATTGTATTCTAAAGTTCTTCTGTTTGCAGTTGTTCTACCAAGTTCTTGCAGTTTTACTTTAACTTGATACAGATGTCCTGGGATTGGAGGAAGATTCTTGAAGTGCTTATATTGGGTCAGTTTGTCATAGAGAAGGTGAGCATGAGTAACAAATGAGTATAGAACTTATTTTCCAAAACTTGCTACTTGCTACAATGAAAACAGAAAGACCTTTTACAGAGATACTGGCAACTAACATCATATTGTTACGTTTGCTTTGTCCGTCCAGTATCATAATATGTTAACGTAAATGATTTCCTATGTGATTTGATGTCTTCATGTTGTTATCAATCGTTGATATATTTTGTTTCAAAAGCTATAAGCGCTCATCTTTTGGATGTATTGTTATTTGGGTTATGCTCAACAAGTAGTTTTAGTGCCCTCCGTTATTGATCTGTTCACAGGTCATGGAAGCAGCCCAAGCTTCAACATCATTATCAAGAACCTTTCGTGGAGGCTACCCATTGCGAAGTGTCAATCATATTGCACATCTATCTGGTGCTCTTGTTGTTGTGCTTTTGGTTTGGCTCCTTAGCAATTAGCAAAGTTCCTCCTGATCCTTCAGTTTGATAATTCACTTCTAGTTCGAGAAAACAGGCCAAACTACAGATGTATATGTACCTTTGCTCAACCAATATTTCAAATCAGCGTCTAAATAAAAAGAATATATCAATTGTAAGGGAATTGTCAAGAACGCTTACTGCAGTCTTTAATTGACAAAGGTTCTGTTTAAGTTTATTTAATGTCTATAGAATTACATATAGTGAAGAGTAGTGTTGCATAAATTTTATACTCAGACATGCTATTGCAACAACAATCAAGCTTTTATTCTACCAGGAAAGGTGGATTACATGGATTATACACTACAATTGAGTTTGATATAAAATCGCAAACCAAACATGCTGTTGCATATTTTAAAAAATAAATGTACTCAATTAAAGATCACTTGAGCAATTGCATATAGTTGTAGATGTAATGTGCAAATAGGCATGGTACCGGCTTGAAACTAATGCCGTGTATAACTCTTGTTCTTCCATATGTAATAAGGCTCATCCACCACCTTAAAAATTGAACCATACATCAGAAGTTAAGAACTAAGACTACCCCACTTGTCTTCTGCGACACGTCTTCAGTTAACGGAAAAAGTACTCTACATTTTTTAATACCCAACAAATTTAACAGTTAAATACTCTGAAGTTTAGAAATTTCCCCTAACATTTAAAGATAGACTGACAAGAAATTTTTTATCCTCAAATTACCCAATTAAGAAAAATCTATATCTAGTAGTTCCTACAGGTCTTTTAATTGAAAAAAAAAAGTACATGTAGTTGCCACAAATAAAGTCAGTAAACAAAAGAGGACATTTGTCAAAATTCTGAGGATGCAATCAACTAATAGACTCTCTCCAGTCAGGTAAGAATATCAATATTTCATAGGTTCGTCATATAACCAAATTGCAGGAAGTAATCAATGCCTAAAAGATGGCAGGAAAGATATAACTTTTGATACCACAGTCAAGAGATAGATTTCACTGTAAGAGTATGGGGAAATAAAGGATGAATGCACATGACATACAACAAATATATGGAAAATGCCAGATTATAAGTTCTTCACTCCAGTGCTTTGGCAAAAAATGTTTGATGGATGGTAATAATGTTGTCCTGTACAAAGATGAAGAACAAAGGTGTGAATATATATATATAGCCCAATAAAGCAAAATGCAGGAGCGATTAGGAACAACAACACAAGTATTCCCTGAAAATATTCTTGCTCGTTGCATATCAGAGAGGTCAATAAAGAAAGAAATGGATTGTGAGATTTGATGACTATTTTGGATTAGGGTTTTATTTTTTCTACCATATCTAGATTTTTTATTATTATTATTTGTAGTTGTAGAAGCAGAGCAAATATGCAGGTAGATTTAACAAGACTCACCTAGGTGGAGGCATTCGGACGAATCACAAACTCGTAATCTGACACGTCAACTGACTGAAATTTTTGCTACCAAACTGCTCCTCATACATTTCTAGGATCAAGATTTTGCCAATTTTTTTAAAAATATATTAAAAAAATAAAGAAATAAACAAATAGATCTAACAATGAAATATTTACCAAAATGAATCTGATTATTGTAGCAAAATTGTCTAGCTGGAATTCGATTTCCAGGAAACTGAATTTCGGATTGGGTTTTTTTTTTTTCTTCAAATTTTATTTTATATTTTTATATAATAAAATAAATATTATTATTTAAATTATATTTATATATTTATATTTTGTTAAAATGAATATTTATAATATGTTATTCTAATAAATATTTATAAATATTTTGTTAATTATATATAATAAAATAAGTTTTACTATTTGAATTATGTTTATATTTTTATATTATGTGAAAATGAAAATAAATATTAATAATATTTATTTTATATGTTTATTAATTTTTTTTACATATTTAATATAATAAATAATATTTTTGTTTTTCTTATTATATTATTTAATATAATTTTGATTTTTTTAAATCATATGAATATTATATTTTTGATTATTTAATATTATATTTTTGAAAAAAATAAAATTACAATAATAATTTATTTAATTTTAAATTTTTATAAAATAAAAAATACAATAATAATTTATTTAATTTATATTTTTATAAAATAAATAAAAGTATTAAATAATAATAAGTTTTTTATTTATTTATTTTGAGATATTAATCTTTATTAAAATTTATATATAATTATTTATTTAAAAAATATATTATTAATATTAATAAACATTATTAAATTATATATAATTATATATTTAATATAAATTACAAATACTAAAAATTTATAAGTTGCAATGACATTCATAAAATTAAAAATAACATTAAGTAAATTTTAAAGTAATAATAACAACATAAATCAATGGCAGAAACTAGAAGCTTGAGCGATATTTAGACATGTCTTCTTGTGTGACTAAGGGTGTGACAATAAGAACAATTTTTTGCACGACTTTGTTGTTCTTTAATGTCCATTTCTGTTCTTATTCTATTGAACTTGGGTCGACCTTTTAAAGTTCTTTTCAGTTCTGAATTTGAACACAAAGTTAGGTCTGTGTAAGTTAGTCAATAGTTTTCGTATCTAAGTTCTCCAAACTGACCTTCGTATACTTTAAAAACTTGTTGTAAAGTATACACGGGAGATATATAGATGTCAAAATTGTGAGGTGTGTGCGTAAGCATGAAGCAAGTATATGCGAGCATGAGATGTAAACTTTTTGGAACTTGCCACAATCACACCATATTTCATCTAACCGTACTGTAAATCTTCCTACGGGTCAAATTTCTGTCGGATGTTGCGTTTCTTTGACTAAAAATCTAGTGCTTATTCTGTCAAAAGTGATGACTCTATGAGTGTTCACCTTTAACTGTGCATCCTGAATTGCTTTAGTTGCAACGTCCAAGTACATATGTCGAGCATTAATCATTGCATCTACTTTCCTGCCTTTCTAAATGAAAAACTTATTGCAACGGGTGTATGTTGCCATAACCATGGAGTAAATTGACAGGTTTCTAGTTTTCTTCAAGATCGAATTGATTGACTCCGCTAGGTTTGTTGTCATGTGTCCCTAGGGTCGTCCGTTGTCCCATGCCAGTATCCATTTTTTCCTTGGGATGTTGTCCAACCATTGTGCAACTTTAAGATTATTATCTTTTACTATGTTGCAATAGTAAAAGAATCTCGGTTTAGTCATCCTATATGCTGAAAAAAATATTACAAATTAAATTAATATAACTAATTAAGCAATTGTATAAAATATTAATAATAATATAGAGTACGTAAAAAATTAAAATTACCCATATTGATGATATCTTTCTTCAGTGCAACATTTTTGAATTGTCGCATGAAGTTTTGTATAATGTGTCTAATGCAATAGACATGGATATAATTGTTTTCCATTTAACCACTTCCATTTCTGGAGTATGCACTTCTTATGACCTCGTGATAATCCGAAATGAGGCACAACCCCTCTTGCAGGGTTACGTACCTCCTGAAGTTTTTCAAAAAAAGAACCATGCATCACTAGTTTTACCTTTAACCACAACAAAGGCAATGAAAATTATGTTGTTGCGGCCGTCTTGCGTAACTGCCACTAATAAAGTTCCTTTGTATTTGCCATACAAAAATGTTCTATTCACTTGAACAATTGGTTTGCAGAAGGCAAAACCATCAATGCATGACTTGAAAGTCCAATACAATCTTTTGAAGAACACATTCCCCTTGTCGAACAAGTTACCCTTGTATGCTTGTTGTGTACTCAATTTTCAGATGAAGCCTAGAATATACATTTGCATTGCAAACAACTATCTAGGTAACTTATGGTATGACTCCTCCCAATTTTTGAAGATATTTTCAATGGCATGTTGTTTCCCCAACCATCCCTTTCTATAGCTGATTGTGTAACCTATTGTGGACTTTATGTAGGCTAAGATGGTTGCGATGGGTGTGGATGGATCAGTCTCAATAATTTAACGAATGGTTTAATAAATCATCCGTGATCCCAACTTGTTCTGATCCTATGAAATGAGTAGGGAAACACATATGGGGCACCGTTCAAGCTTCATTATTCCCAGTGTTTCTCTTTGGTGCACAATATAGCGCGACATCTCCAGGCACACTTGTTGTGGACGCATTCCATGACAAGCCTAGTTGTATTTGACATCTTTACCTTGTAAGTGCAATGATTGATAATGTGAACTTTATTTATAATGTCTTGCACTTGTTCTTTTGTTAGGAAGCGCTGGCCAACAAATAGTATTCCTGACGGATACACTACCATTTCATGATCAAGGACATGGCCAAACTCAGAGTCATGTTCTTATATTTGATTGGAAAAATATAGAAAATGTAGAGGTGGGTTGTATAATGGTAATGGTTGTGATGGTAGAATATTTGGAAGTGGGAAGGAGTCTTCTTCATCATCCTTCTGTTGAGATAGGATTTCATCTTCGTCCTCGCTAAAAGAATCAAAGACTTCGATTGGGAAACCTACAACAACGTGTTCTTCAATGATAGTTTCTTTAAGAGGCTGAGAGAGTAGGGTTTGCTCAAATGTTTGGGAGAGTATTTCATTGAGGTCCATGAATGGACTAGTTAAAAGTTATGTGTAGGACTGAAGGTCAGAATTCTTATCATATGTTAGAAAAGATGGATTTATGGTTTCGTATGTTTGGTAAGGTGAATGTGAAGGTGAAAGTTGTAGTGTCTGGGTTACGTTTGTAGCAAATGTAACACATAATTCTATATCTAATTGAAGTTGATTTGAATCGTGGATGTTGAAGAGTGCATCGATGTCTTCATCATCATTCAACTTAACACATGTGTAGTTGCTAACTCTCAGGTCAAGTCTAATTAGGTAGCGAAAATGTATGGTTGTCACCCTTTCATTTTCGTCTCGGTTGAGTTTTGTGTGGATGACTTTCTTGAGCCTTTGTAGAGTTACTTCTCTCTTTAGATATACCAATTTGGCTGATGTTGAAGTGAACGTGATTCCTTCATTAGGACATTAGTTAATGGCATCATCAAAGTAAACAATGACATAAATTGAAGACATTTTTAAATTAAAGAAAGTGAATGATGAATAAGTTTAGAAGGAGAAGGTTCACAAGAATAAGGAACAAGCTTAGAAGGTTGAATGAAGAAAATGAACACGAATATGACTATTTATAATGGTAACATTGGATTCTCAGTTAGTTAATGCTTCACCACTTTTTACGAGTGATGATGACCTCTCCATGACACTATTAAATATTTTACAATAAAGATGCCTTTTGACATTCACGTAAACCAAGAGATAGTGACTTCTTAGTCATGCCCAGGGTTGGATTCTCTTCTCATTCAAGCAATCCCATATACTTTCAAACAAGCTTTATCTCCTCCCAAACAAAGATGCCTTCTGACATTCACGTAGACCAAGAGATAGTGACTTCTCAGTCACGCCCAGTATTAGATTCTCTTCTCATTCAAGTCATCCCATATACTTCTAAACAAGCTTTATCTCCTCCCAAACAAAGATGCCTTCTAACATTCACGTAGACCAAGAGATACAAAAATGTCTTCTGACATTTACGTAGACTGAGAGATAGTCACTTTTGAAGAATCCAATGCTACCCTCTCATACCAAAGTTTATCTATAAATATGTTCATCTGAAGCCACATGTTTTCATTCAAACTTGCATTCATCTTTGTTCTTCATTTCTCTCTGTCTTTACTCCCGTTACTAAAAATGTTGTTGTAGAAGCAAAACAATTATAGGTTCACCTTTATTGGAAGAACGGTAAGTTTTACACATTACTATTATTTACTGAATATGTAAATCAATATTTACATATAATGTTACTAATTTGTTAATAATTGCAGAAAACTGAAAACATAATTTTATCTTTCTGTCATTCAATGTCAGAACCCAGTCCTCTAATTGTTCCTATACTTGAACAACATAGTTTTGTTGGGGTAGCTAAGTTAAGGCATCTTAAGGTGGATCACGCATTGATAACAACTTTGGTCGAGATGTGGAGACTTGAAACTCATACATTACATTTTCTAACAGGGGAGTGCACCATAACCTGGAGGATGTTGCAATTCAACTCGGGCTAAGAGTTGATGGATTACTAGTCATTGCTCCAACAATGTTTGACTAGAAGAAAATGTGTGACACATATCTCGGTATCGTGCCAGTCAAAGGAGAGTCACTTATTGGCTTTATGCTAAATTTGAAGTGGCTAAGAGACAACATATTGCCATTACTAGAAGAACCATCTGAATAAGAAGTTCATGTCCATTATTGGGCTTATATACTAGGTTTAATTGGAGGTATTTTGATGTCTGACAAAACAGGCAACAAAGTACATCTTATATATTTAGCTTTATTAATTAATTTTAGAAGAATAAGATGATATTGTTGGGGTTCTGCTTGTTTAGCTATGTTGTACAGAAAAATGTGCAGAGCCACGGAAGTTGGTAGCAAAACAATGAGTGATTGCTCATCACTGTTAATGTTCTCGGCATGGTATCGCATGTCAGAAGGCATCTTTATTGCACCAATTTCTAATAATCCACCAACATACCCTCTCATGTGCAGATGGAGCGGGGATAGAGTACTAAACTTTCGAAATAAACCTTACAATGATGTTGTGGGGTACATATCAATGTTTAATCATATTCAAGCTAATTAGGTAACTCTTCATAACAAAAATTTGAATTCATATTTATTCTCTTATCTTTTACACATCATCTTAAGTAACAAAGTTAAATTTATTTGTAGTTTTTATAGGCGCTATATCAAGACTTGCAAACATCAATACCCATGGAAGCATATAGAGATGTCTAACTGTGGACTTCATGTACAACTATCCTTTGTTTTGCAATTGTTGAATGACACTAAACAGATAAAGTCAAATTACAGTTTCGTCTCTTTCAAAAAGTCCTTTCTCCACCGAATAATTCGAATGACCTCCACAAAATTGATATGAGAAGAAGACATGATGAAAATTGGGTTACAAGACATGCTTAATGGATCGAGATATGGAACAGCAGACGTGAGTTGATAATAACAGGTCATCCAATGCAAGGCCCATTGTGTCACACACAAGAATACATGGAATGGTACATTGCCAATTCCATCTATTTCCTATCAATGCCACCACTACTACAAGATCCAAGAAGGAGCCACTAACAATCGGTACGACTTTCACACCGTCGTATCACGAGGCTGCATCAATTCTTCCAAACATTACACCAAAAACAAACATCATTAACGCAAGATATTTGTTTGCAATATTGTCAGAGAATTTTTTTACAAACTTATTTGGAGTTGGTTTTACAATTCTATCTTCAGCACAAACTTACATGCAATCTTCTTATCAACCAGATTTTGTTAATGAACTTGGTCATTCATTAACTGCATTCTAACAATTAGACCTTAATGATGATCCAAATTCTCTAAAAGTTCATCCTGAAATTTTAGAGCAACAATCACAACGACGAAATCCAGCACGTCAGATATGTCACCTCGTTGTGGAATTAACCATCATTACAGAGATAGTTAATTATTAATGTTGTTATGAATTTGTTATCATCTTTATTAATACACTTTATCTTCAGCAATGTTACTTTAATAATATTAAAACGTTAATTTTAAAATATTTATCTCAAATGTAAATAATTAACTTATAATTTAATATTTTATGTACTTTTTAAAAATAATTTTTTATTCTAATATAAATTTTATTAAAAATTATAATATTAAAGGTTTAAGATTTAGGGTATTAAACATTGAGTATTATGATTTATGGTTTAGGGTATTAAAAATTATAATAATAAATAATGTAATTTAAAAAAAATTAATTTAATTAAAATAAAATTTTTATTCAAAATATCATTTTATCATACTAATATTTAAAAATATTAACTCAAAATTACATATTTAAATAAACAAATAAACAAAATAATATTTAATATATTTATTTAATTTTTAAAAATATTATTATTATTATTCTTTAAGTATAAATAATTTAAGCATTAACATTACTATCTAAAATAATTTTCTTATTATTTAATTAGTTTTTAAAATATAATTATTATTGTTATATAAAAATATTATTTATTATCATAAATATGTAAAATAAATTTTAATAAACATGTAAAATAAATATTATTTATTATTTTTATTCATTTTCACATAATATAAGAATATAAACATAATTTAAATAATAAAATCTATTTTATTATATATAATTAACACAATATTTAGAAATATTTATTTTAATAAAATAAATATAAATATAATTTAAATAATAATATTTATTTTATTATATAAAATATAAAATAAAATTTGAAAATGAAAAAAAAGAAAAAATTTAATCTAGAATTCGGTTCTCTAAAAATCAAATTTTGACTGAGCATTTTAACTACAGTAATAATGTTCATTTTGGTAAACATTTTATTGTAGGGTCTATTTGTGTATTTTTTTTATTTTTTTAATATTTTTTCTGTAAAGAATTCGGATTTTACTACTTCCTACTCTGTAAAAAATTTCCTTGTTAATCCAATGGTCTAAAATAATGGGTTAATTAAATAATAAATCAATATTAGGTTAAAATATAAAAATAGTAATATGTTGATAATATTTTTAGTTTTAATTTTTAATTATACTTTTTAAGATATTAAATTATATATTTCTTGAATAAATTTCAAAACGTTGTGTTGTTTTCTCATGATGGACTTATTAATTATTTCAATAATATAATCTTTTTATGCACATTAAAAATAATTCTTAATTGAAGATTGAAAATTAAGTTTGGTGCAGAATTTTTTTTTTTAGTTTCTGGACATCATTTTCTAATAATATTAAAAGTATGTGTTAAATATTGTATGAAATATTTTTATATCACATTTGGTTTAAATATTATTAATTTAAATCATTATTGTATTTTCCCTAAACCTCTATTATTTAAATTTTTTATTAAATATAAAATTATCTAGTTAAAAATCTTTAATATTTTAAAACTATTTCTTTTTAGTGTTAAATTATATGAATTGTAGTAATTTTAAAACTTATGATAAATTTCGGTGAAATTTTATAATTCAATAGAAAAATCACAATTTATGGCGTCTATTTAATTTTAAAATAAATTTATTGAACTTAAACAAAAATTGAATATAAATTTGAAGATAGAAACATATTGGGAAGCAGAAGTAGAACAATATAAAAAGCTGAAAATACAAACATAAACAGACGCTTTATCCCCCTGGTTTTTGGGAAAGCAAGAATGGCGCAACTTGGAGTCCCATTGAAGTTACAGTCACACAAACTCTCTCACGCTCACACTCACATCCCTTTCTTCTCCTCTAACTCTCTTTCGCACCTTCCCCTTCGCACCTTCACTCCCTCTCGTTTTCACCCCTTGATCTTATCAACGCTTCGTTTCCGCACTTTCACACCATGCAACACCAACAAATCAGGTACTTCCTCCACCCTCTTTCATTCTATAAAACGCGCTCCGTTTAAGTTGCTTTGACCAACCTCGGCATTTTCTCAAACACCTTGTCGTTCATCTCTCATGTCGTTTAAGTACCTTTTGGTTAGATATTATGTCGCAGCTGGAACTCGGGAAACCCGAACACCAAATGGGGAAACCCGAGAAACGAGTCAACGGCATATTCTGGCTCATTCTCCTCAACATTGCCATATTCGTCGCTGACCATTTTTTTCAGGTAACTTTGTTATTCTTCTCTTTTTTCGTTCTCTATTTACCAATGTGAAACCTGAGAACTTGTTTTTACTGTTTTGTCCCCATTTCAGCATGAAAATGTTCGTTACTTCATTTCACGTTACCCCCTTTTTTTACTACCGTTGAAAAAATGTTATAAACGATGTACCAAGAATACCGTATAGAATATGAAAATTTTAAAGAATTCAAAGTATTAGATGGCTAATATTATTTTTAAGTCATGTTAATGAATAATGTAAAATATTAATAGATTGCTGTGTAACATCTATCATAAAATATTAATATATTTTACAAGGAAATGAGTTTGATTAAATAGGGAAATAAACATAGGGAAATTGAGAGCATTGTGGAAAAAAAAAAGCTCTCAATTTACCTAAAAGTTTGTTTTTTCCTTACGGAAAAATGATCTAACTAATATCTAAGGCATCTCGCTATACTCCAAGGAACACTTACTTTTATTAAAACCGTCCTCAAATCATATATATATCTTTAAAATAATTTTGATAATTACTTAAGGGTACTTAATGTATACCAATACTTGGTACATACTAAATACTGAGTATAGGTTTGTCTGTTAAAATGAAGTACCCATATCTCAAAAGTGATAAATTAATGAGTGATGAGAAAGAAAGGATGAAAGAGGTAAAAAAATAAAAAGAAGTAGAAGAGGAGCTCTTGTTCATGGGGTGTAAAAGAAAAGTGACATGACATAATCAGGGTTGTTTCAGATTCAGATTTCCTTGCATGATGCATCCTTTTATATTTTGCAAGGTTAACAGCATCAAGGCTTTGTACTTGTACCACAATTGGCCTGCTTGGTACCAGTTTGTCACAGCAACATTTTGTCACGCTAATTGGTGAGTGTCCTCCTCCCTCGTTTCTATTTTGCACAGTTGTTATTGTTATGAAGAAAAGTGGAGTTAATTGTGACAGTTGAGAAATTAGTTAACTCTGCTAGCAACAACATTTTGCTATAACATTGGTTAGAATAGAATCAATTTGAGCCACATATATAAGAGCGATACAATTGTACATGTGATCATTGAGAAATGACATAATTTTGGAGTCAAAATCTTCTCTCTCTCTCTCTTCTTCTTCTTCTTCTTCTTCTTCTAGCATGAACTGCATTTGAATATGCTTTACTCCTAGTCCGGTACCACACATTACAGTTGTGTTATTTTCTTTCTAAGATTTACATTGTATATGAACAAGAAAAGTATGGACAGTACAAACTAATGTTTTAGTCATGTTTTACATTACTCTTAGCTGCATTTCATGTATTTTCTTTTTTAACCTTTTATGCCAATACAAATGAGAATACCACAATAATTAGATAAATTGAAGCATTTTACTATTTCTGCAATAATCACTTTAAAACATCAATTATCTTGTTTGATTTATGATTTTGTGTTTTATGTTAGTTTTATATATTTTATTAAATATAGCTTTGTTATATCCTATGATTTTTAAAATATGTATTCCTATATCCGTGTTGTATTGTATATGTGTTCTGTGTCACATATGTGCTTCCTAGCACAGAATCCTTGATGTGGAAGACTGGAAGCTCTTTTTATCTATTTATTTTGTGAACTTATTTATTATTATCATCTCATTTTACAATCTGACTATTCTTCAACTTGTTCAGGAAGCATCTTTCTAGCAACCTTTTCTTCTTGTACATTTTTGGTAAGGCTGTGACGTGACTGCTCTTCTTTTGGTAGGTGAGTTATGGGATTGATGCTTGAGATGTTGTTATTTTGTTGTTTCCACAACAGGAAAGCTTGTTGAAGAAGAGGAAGGGAACTTTGCTTTGTGGCTTTCTTACATTCTTACAGGTGTTGGAGCAAACCTTGTTTCATGGTTGGTTTTACCAAGAAATGCAGTTTCTGTTGGAGCTTCCGGTGCTGTTTTTGGGTTGTTTACTATCAGTGTTTTTGTAAAGGTACCTGGAATTGTATTCTAAAGTTCTTCTGTTTGCAGTTGTTCTACCAAGTTCTTGCAGTTTTACTTTAACTTGATACAGATGTCCTGGGATTGGAGGAAGATTCTTGAAGTGCTTATATTGGGTCAGTTTGTCATAGAGAAGGTGAGCATGAGTAACAAATGAGTATAGAACTTATTTTCCAAAACTTGCTACTTGCTACAATGAAAACAGAAAGACCTTTTGGGGTTGCTTCTGTTACGGAGATACTGGCAACTAACATCATATTGTTACGTTTGCTTTGTCCGTCCAGTATCATGATATGTTAACATGAATGATTTCCTATGTGATTTGATGTCTTCATGTTGTTATCAATCGTTGATATATTTTGTTTCAAAAGCTGTAAGGGCTCATCTTTTGGATGTATTGTTATTTGGGTTACGCTCAACAACAAGTAGTTTTAGTGCCCTCCTATATTGATCAGTTCACTATGAGTGTCACAGGTCATGGAAGCAGCCCAAGCTTCAACATCGTTATCAGGAACCTTTCATGGAGGCTACTCATTGCAAAGTGTCAATCATATTGCACATCTATCTGGTGCTCTTGTTGGTGTGCTTTTGGTTTGGCTCCTTAGCAAAGTTCCTTCTGATCCTTCAGTTTGATAATTCACTTCTAGCTCTTGACAACAGGCCAAACTACAGATGTATATATACCTGTGCTCAACCAATATTTCAAATCACTAGTGTCATATGTTTTGCTGCTTTTGTTACTGTTGATATTCAGCGTCTAAATAAAAGGAATATATCAATTGTAAGGGTATTGTCAAGAACGCTTACTGCAGTCTTTAATTGACAAAGGTTCTGTTTAAGTTTATTTAATGTCTATAGAATTGCATATAGCGAAGAGTAGTGTTGCATACATTTATAATCAGACATGCTATTGCAACAACAATCAAGCTTTTATTCTACCAGGAAAGGTGGGTTACGTGGATTATACACTACAATTGAGTTTGATATAAAATCGCTAACCAAACATGCTATTGCATATTTTAAAAAATAAATGTAAAATCTCAATTAAAGATCACTTGAGCAATTGCATATAGTTATAGATGTAATGTGCAAATAGGCTTGGTACCGGCTTGAAACTACTGCCGTGTATAATTCTTGTTCTTCCATATGTAATAAGGCTCATCCACCACCTTAAAAATTGAACCGTACATCAGAAGTTAAGAACTAAGACTACCCCATTTGTCTTCTGCCACGTCTTCAGTTAACGGAAAAAGTACTCTACATTTTTTAATACCCAACAAATAGGTAATTATTCTACGACCATATTTATAGTTTGATCTTTGTTGTCTTATCTTTTTCAAGGGTTGAATTTCTAAATAAGATCTGACTTTTGTTCCGTATTTGCAGTACTGGTAAAGCAAACACGGGCAACTGTGAATGGTCAGCCGGGTGTAACCTGTCTTTCATAGCACCTAGATAGAATAGGAGTTACTTGGACCAAAAGGAGAGAGAGAGAGAGAGAGAGTTACAGAATAAATACAAGCCTTTTGATATTTGGTTACAAGAAAAAATTGAGTATTTTGTTAACAAAAAATGAATTGGCCATTTCTTGACATAAGAATGTAATTACATCAAAAAGATATTCCACACTTCACCTTTCAAACCCCTTTTAGTTTAAGAATACTGTTGTACATGAATTTGCAAGTTGATATGTACCATACTGTCCTTGAAACTGTTTGCAAGTAATGGAAAATCCTTCACCGTATCTACAAATTTGAGAATGACACTTGAATTTTGTTGTGAGTGATGGTGTCTCCAAATCACCATCTCTAAGGAGCCTTCTGTTTCTTCTAGCTGTTAAAGCCGAACCTTTCTGGTCAGGGGAAGATATAGATGGAATCTGTAAGATACTGCAGAAAGGAGCATCAGTGTGTAGCTTTTGGTAAACTTTATCTGAACTTTTAGCTGCTATATTGTTCTCTTCCTCTGCTGAATTGTTCTTCTGTTCAGTTTTTACAGCACTCAGTAGTGACTTTGCCTCTTCTTTCATTCCAGCAAAACACCAAGCTTCTGCAACAAGCAAGATTGTCGATTTCTTGGGTTGAACGTCAAACCCTTCCATTAATTGGAGTATTCCTTCTGCTTTCCATGGCTGTTTTGCTTCTGCATATCCCCAGATCAATGTCTCAAAAGTCTTCAAATTTGGAGAAATCCCACATTCACACATCTTGTCAAAAACCCTGATGGCATTGTCCATTCTTCCAACACTGCACCATCCACTTATGACAGTTGTAAATATAACAACATTTGGGTGGACACCGGATTCAGTCATGGTAGTTAGCAGTTCTTCAGCCTTTTCTATTTCTTGTGCTCTCACATAACCTTTGGCAAGAATACCATAGGCATGCGCATCCGGCTTTACACCAGATCTTAACATGTTATCATAGATTTCCTTGCATTTTTCCAAGAATCCAGCTTGGCTCCATGCATTCATTATAGTGCTATATGTTATCACATCTGGTTGGATCTTAAATTCTTCCATCAACTTTAAAACCTAATATGGATATGATGTTCCCCATGAGTAACAAGGCCAAATGCATATATATCAGAAATAAACTGGAGAGACTATTAGTCACTATGCCAAGCAAATCAAAGGAGTGATGTGTAGATTTTCTTTCCTCTTTCAGCCAAAAATTTATCAGACAAGTGCATGATACTTGGCATACTAATTTGACAAACACCCAACTCAACAAAAATATTCAGAAACCAGAGGCATAAAACAGTAAATCCAAATTATTGCCCTTAGAAAGTTATAACTAATGAGTCGTTTACCATCTATTGCAAACAAAAAGGACAAACTGAATCACAAATGATTCTATAATTGTTTAATCAAGAACCAATGTAACGTCTCTAAGATGATGGAAACATTCATACATTGTGGATAGGGATAAAAGGCTGGCAAATGGTAAATTATTGAAGAGTTTGTAATATTTAAAACTACCATTGCCAGTTGCTAATTGTCTTTTACCCATGGCTTCTTGTTTTACTGCATACTGATAAAATGAATGTCAAGAATGTATAAAATAAAGGGGTCCATGATTGATCCTATGTTGAATGAATCGAATTATAGTCAAACAGCTAATAGCATAATAGACCTTCATCAATAGAACCTAAACTAGTAAGTTTATCAGCAGAAAAAGTTCAGACAACAATCATCGGTTCAAGCTTACCTCATCAACTCCATCCCTATCCATCATGCCCACAAAACCATTAACCAGGGAATTAAGTACTATAAGATCAGGCTGCAGCCCCAGATCCTTCATCTTGTATACAAACCTCAGGGCTTCCTTTACTTTACCTTCTCTACAATATCCACTTATGATGATGGTGCAAGTTCTCTCATTGGGTTTCAATCCATTCCTCTGCATATCTAAAATCATTGTTTCAGCCAGAGAAGTCTCTCCATTATGAGCATAAGCTGTTGCTATAGTGTTGAAAGTAACAGCATCCGGTTTCATTCCAGAGGCAGACATCTTATTCAGCACATTCCACGCCTCAGACATGTTCCCCAGTTTACACCATGCTCTGATAAGCATATTGTATGTCTTGAGATTTGGTTTCACATCGCCTTCCATTAACATCAGATCTAGCACTTTCATTGACTCATCAGGCTTACCAGCAGTTCCATACCCTTTTATCAATGTGTTATAAGTGCTAGTACTAGGCCTTACTCCACATTCTTTCATTTTCTTAACAGTTTCCTTGGCATCCTCAATGTTCCCAGATTCAGTAAATGCATTTATAAGAGCGTTAAAAAATATCGAGTCAGGCTTCATTTGTTTTTCTTCCACCTGTGAGACAATAGAATGTATAGACTTGAAGCACTTCTGAGTGGTCAAGGCATTTAATAGGGTTGTATATGTTGCTAAAGATGGTTGGTGCCCGCCTTCAATCAGATTTTCAAAAATGACAGTAGCTTCCTGAGGTTTTCCTCTCTTGATCAGAATATTCATTACTTTTGTTCTTGAATGCACAATTCGGCAACTATTTTTACCCATGCAGAAAGTGCAGCTCGGTTTACCACCTGAATTTGTAGCCTTAGCATTTTCCTTCATGCAATTCTTGCCATCAAAATGATCCCCCTATCAAATTATATATCATAAGATAATTAATTTTCAGCAGAACTAACTTCTCCAGAATTTGGTGTCGAACACAGGTTTAGACATGTTTTAGATAACAGCGTATACAATTACTCATAAAAAATCACATATTTAGTTTCAATTGTTAGAACCGATGGAAAATAGCAGGTTTCCCAATCGTTACAAGCAAATTGCAATTCTCAGAAGCAACCGATAATAATTAAAGAAGACATCAAAAGAATTATTCAACATGGTAGATAACTTTGCACGAGTCTATGACTTGCCAAAGGTAGCTAAAGACATACCACCCTAAAAGCCCAAAACTGTTTAGAAAACTTAAAATCAAATATAATAATCATTAGTAGTTGAATATCAATTAAAACAGATGTAAATATATATTCAATTAAATAGTATCTCCACCTAGTAAAAAGTTCCAAATGAAGCATAATGCATGTTAGTTTTGTATCACTTAAACCTTCCTTCTACTTGAGAACCTGTAGGACATGTCTATTTGCATTTTCTGGATATGGTTGCATCAATGATTTGATTTTCTTATGTAAGAGTACGTCATAAGTAGCACATCCAAGTTTTCTCCCCTGCAAGAATCTAGGAATTTTACTTCAAGTTAAACTTCTTGTTCTCTTTTTCTTAAAAATAAAAACATTGAGGTCTGTTTTTCTCATTATCCATCAACCACAGATACATGTTGTGTCTCTGGACTATAGTAGTATCATGAATGTTCAATAGGAAAATGTTTCTTACCCTAATATTAGGCCAAACATTCTCATCATATGTGTAACCTGAGTTAGAAGTTTAATTTTTTTGGCTAAACTACGAGGAACCACCTTCAACTCTAAGCCAAGTGCAAAAGACTTTTCTGTAGGATCAAAACTCAACAGCAAGACTCCTTCGACCTACTTTTGCATATGTGAAGGGGTTTTCAGAGGGGATCCAGTTTCTGAGTTTTCAACCACAAGGGTTTTTCTGCAACTGACTTATGTTTGGGTCTAAGGACACAGGTTAGGGAATAAAAATAAGTTTTAGGAAAACGCTAACCAGTGCCCTATATTTTGTTGGGAAAAAATGCACTCACCGCCATGCTTTTTACTTTTTAATGGATTATTCTAATTTAATTTTCAATTAAAAAGTCACTAATTATTGATTTTTTTATTAGTGCCTTTAAGGCACTGGTTAACAAGACCCTAAGTTTTTATTCAAAATCACGTTGGGAATACATTGAAAATCATGATGGAAATTCATTAATAACATCTTTTAATATAAATTTTCCAATTTTGATTCCTGAACAGGCGCCCATTTGCCGTATCATTTTAGCTCTAGTTTTTCCCCTAATATGGTAACAACTCTCACATTCAGCTTTTGAATTTCCGAGCAACAATTGTAACAATGAAAAAAATGATAAGAGTTTATGATAATGAAAGGTATCTGCAGTTACCTAAACTTATAATTAAAAAGCTCTCAGATTTACATCCAACAAGGCAAAAACATGAACCAAAAGCTGTAAAGCAGTAAAGTGGCAGCACCCATATGATCAATTGCGTAATTAAACCTTGACTACTTCTGATTGAAATAATCCTTTCTTCATGTTGTTATTTCTTGATTGGTTTCTGTTGCTAGTTCCAGAATCAGTATCATCATTGTCAGGTTTTCCCATATTCACCTTCAAAATTTGGTGTTTGTCAAACTACGGAAAACAAGCACCATTGGAAGCCACAACTTATTTTCTGCTCTATTCCATGTTCCCTCCAACGATTTCAGACAGAAGACAGCAAATACCTGAAATAATAAATGCGCATTATAATAATTAATAGCAAAAGAATAACGTATATATGCGACAATATACATGAAACTGTAGATATCTGAATATCCCTTTTTCAATTCAATATTTTATATTTCTCTTCTCAACTGCAGAAAAAGAAATGGGCCTTGGACTTCAAACACTACATGGATTCTAATAGCATATTTGAAAAAGATTAAACTTCAAGAAATAATCACTTATTTGTTAAAAGCTCCATCCCAAGCTAATAAACCCAAACGATTATATTCTTAAAATAAGTTAAGCTAAGTGCGCAACCTATGTCAAAATTAATAACATTTTCACAAAAGACCACAAACATATAAATGTTCTCCACGGCAACATGCTTTCTTAATTTGGATGTCAAACAGTTATGCCATTTGTCTGGGATAAACAAGAAGAAAAGATTATACTAACACTAGATATTAGTACAGAAAAAGAAGAAAATATCCATGGAATAAAAACATTAATTGGAGATGACCCAGGAAAGAATATGGGAACTTGAGAACGTTGAAATTTAAGAGATCACAAAAAAGAAAGAATATTGGTTTTCACCTGTTGAATGTGCAGGCAGGGAATGGCAGGAGAGTAAGGTTAGCTTATGACATAATCATATAAGGAGGATACATGATTGGAGTACACGTGGTGCCATTATGTCCAAAGATAAAAAGAAAATAAAAGGATATGTATGATTGCAAATTTGCAAATTATCCACAAAAGAAATCATATCCGGTAACGGTATATGGGATAAGGAGTCCAAAGAATATGTTCACGATTTTCTTCTATGGAATCAAATGTGGAATCTTTTTTTTGATAATGAAACGTGGAATCTTTGTTCTGGAAGGAAATCTTTTCTCTCATCATGTAATATAGTAATAATAATAGTAGTAACTCTTTTGTTCAAAAATATTTGTTTGATTATTTTGTTAAAGATTTTTTGTATTCTTCAAATATCACAATTAAATTATAAAACTTATATAAATAAAATAAAAATTAATTAATTAAATGAATCATGCATTAATCACATGATAAATTTTGTCAATTTTTTGAAGAAAAGTTAATGGAGAGAATTTTGTAACACTTTGTTTTCTCTAATTATCGTAAGAAAAGTGTTACACATAAGTACTAGAATCTAATTTTATGATAAATGTTTGTTTTGATGTTTCAACTATTGGCTTGGAAAGAAAAATGCTTTGGACCTAGCAAAATATTTTTAGAATCTAAGAAAAACTCAAAATAAACTCTTAAAGAGTCCAAATAGAAATTTTAGCAAAAAGCAAGGTTTTACTAAAAAATTAATTTTAAAGCCTAAACAAATCCAAAAAAATTTAGAAAATTTTTGTAGGCATGAGATACCTTAGATTTATATTTCATATAATTTATCTGGCTTAGAAATTTTTCTTAAACTAGAAATAAAATTTTCATAAAGATTTGGGTCTATAATAAATCCAAAAGAAAGTATAAACCTAAATTGGATCCAATTTATTTTCTTTAGATTTGAACCAATATGGGACCCGCAGAACCATTTTCTTAAGCTTTGGGGCATGAATAATATAACCAAGCCCAGGCCCAGAAAGGGCAATTCCATTAAAGTACATTTTTACCCCTTCCCTTTCACCGAATTTCCTATAGTACCACTGACAATTGAGGAAATGTCAAGATGAACCTCCCCAATTTCCCATCTTCCTCTGACCGAAGTTCATTCCTTTCTTCCGTTCTCTTCATTCCTCAACGAACAGACCTCCATAAAAAATGACATCACTCAGAAACACATAGCCATAGAAATCGAATAAGTGCCATTCTTCTTTCATCACAAAAAAGATTCAATTTTTTTGTTTCAAATGCCATACCCTTTTTGAATAAAATCCGGAGAAAAGAAAAGGGTTATTACGATTTTTCCATGATCAATAAATAAACCTTGTTGTTTTGAGCCATTAGTGTCTGGATATGCTCAAGTTGTGGAAATGGTACCAAAATTGCTTGGCCCTTCACCCTGTTAAGACTCAGGTCATTAGCTCTGGCTTGATTTGGGGTGCTGGTGACATTGCTGCTCAGGCAGTTACCCACTACACTGCCAAGACCCGTGTCACAGTGGAGGAGGTATTCTTCCAAATACCCAAATTTCCCTTCAATGATTTGGCTTTTTGGAAAATGGGTATCTCTCTATTTTGCATGTTTTTGTGGTTGAGTACTGGTTTGGAGTGTCAGTGTGTTTTATTTGTAGTTGTTGATCTTGTTCTCTCCAGTTAGGTGAATGTGTGTGTTGATGATGGTCAGTGTATGTTTTCAAGTGCCATTTTGTGAGTGTTGTGTTGATGATTTTTTTGAATGAGGTTTTGTGGGGTGTATGAATTGATTGAATTACATGCTTTGAGCGGAGGGTTGAGAGAATAAAGAGAATGGGAGTTTGGTTTTAAATTGCGGTTGTGGTCGCGTTGCGTGGTGATTACCAATAGTGTGGAAAATGTCTGCCAAATGTGGCTGCAAATGTGTGGTGGTGTGCAATTTGAAACACTAGGGAATGAGTGATAATGGAATGAGAAGATACATGCCAATCGCATGTTTGGTTTTTCAATGAAGGAAGGGAGGGAACTCCAGTTCCCTAGTTTGAAGGAACAAAATCTTGGAGGTGTCTTTGGTCCTTCTATTGCCTTCCTTTTCTTTTGTAAAACTCCCCAACACATGCTTTATAAATCTCCATTCCTTGTCATTATGTTAGTTGTCATCCATCATATTCAAAAATATCTGTAGTTTTGAACTTGAACTATAGAAAGAGGGGGTAAGGAAAAGGAAACTATGTTAATGTTCCTTGAAATTTTTGTCAATTGTAAAATCACAGAAATGTCTGGTCTGTTTGGTGACTACAGATGAGAAATTTCACTTCTTCATATTTCCGAAATAGTGAGAGAGAGAAAATAATTGTCAGGGTACCTGTTTTCTGGTTACAGTGAAGCAGCAAATGACATGCATTTAGAGTTTGATACTGGCATCATTGTAGAAATGCAACTGATCTCTCTATATATAAACTCCTCAATTGTGGATAAAACATATGTCGTAACATTGTTCTTTCTATGACTTTGGTAAATGTAACAATAAGTTATGAACACATGTTTTGGTGGTAATTTTAATCAATTTAGTTTGGTAGTATATGATGTCACACTGCATTCTTAGTATGCACATAAATCTAATTAGCTTATTTCTCTTGTTTAATGGCAATCACTCTCAGGATGAAGATAAACAATTCAAGATCAACTGGAAACGGGTGTCTACAACCAGCTTGTTTGGGTTAGGATTTGTTGGCCCTGTTGGCCACTACTGGTAAAAGCATGATCTTTTATAACTTTTATTGCCCCATTATATATTGACATTGTTATTGTGGAAGGTTTCTTTGCTGTTTCTCAGATCTCAAATCAGTGTAAGTTTCCTGGATGGATTTGAAAGTTCTTTAGTTGCTACAGAAATCCTGATGTCATTTTTATTCTCATTAATATTGAAAAACATATTTTTAGGCAAAAAAATATTCTTATAATGTTTTGCTGTCTCATTAGTAGTTATATAATTCACATGAGATAGCATTCAAATGCTACAGTTGTGGCTGACTGCCCCGTAAGATGACAATGGTTAGTTGTTTGTAAGAGTAAACAATAACTGCTAAATGGAGAAACAGATTACTGAGTTTAAATACCAGATACAAACCAATTTAAAGGACTTAGACACTTAGAGTATGTTTGTTTTCTTTTTTAAAAAGAGTTTTCTGTTTTTAAAAATAAAATATAATGTAAATTTGTACTATATTTTATTTTTAAAAACAGAAAACCCTTTTTAAAAAAGGAAAAAAACATACTCTTATTGACTAGCAATCATTTTTCATTTACCCTATAGATTCTAACGATTTGGCAACTTACCACCTGATGAATTAGGAATAAAGTGGTATTGCCCTCTCATCTTCTCAAAGCCAAGAGTTCTATTTTGGGCTCTGATTTCGTGAGTCTCTTCCAACTGACTAAAAAGGAAGGCTTCAAACTTTGCACGTGTGCTTACTTTAGTTGAATTTAATGCTTGATCAGTGGTATGGTAGTGGTATAGCCCTCTCATCTGCTAAGGGAAAAGTTTATAAAACCTTGATCATATATTTAGTTAATTTGCGACATCTTAACATGAGTAGAAAAAGGAAAGACTTGTACATGTGTGCTTTTATATCTGCCAGCATGTTATTTCTTCTTTTTGGGAGAGAGAGGCATTGACACATGCTATTTATTTCTTAATCAACATATAAATCCTCCTTGTTCTTCTGCATTAATTATTGTAGGTATGAAGGTTTGGATCGGGTTATAAGACTGAGACTTATGCTTAAACCAAATTCCTTCCGCTTTGTTGCCACCAAAGTTGCCGTTGATGGGTTTATCTTTGGACCGCTGGATTTACTCGTGTTTTTCACTTATATGGGTTTTTCTACTGGAAAGAGTGTTCCTCAAATAAAAGAAGACGTGAAGAGAGATTTCCTGCCGGCGTTTGTTGTAGAAGGGGGCATATGGCCAATGGTTCAGGTTGCGAATTTTCGGTTTATACCTGTAAGGTACCAGCTCCTTTATGTCAATTTCTTCTGCTTGTTGGATAGCTGTTTCTTGTCTTGGGTTGAGCAACAACAAGATGCTTCATGGAAACAATGGTTGAAATCGTTTCTACCTTTGAAGTAATAGAGTTTCCAAGATTGATAACTGCTTTCAAATCTTCTCAGTGTATTCCCAGAGTCGCCAATGTCGTGGAAATTCATGTCAGAAAACAAGTGACTAGTTTTGATTGCTTGTAAACACCCTCTAGATTTTCGGAATTAAATTTCTGGAAGTGATGAAATAGCTTTCCCATGATATGATTAATGATCTTCATCTTGAATACAAGTTGACACCTTTTTCCATTGAATAAATTGGAAGCTACGTTTGCTTATCACTTTCTTATCATTTGTCATTTGTCTATATCCTAGTTTTACAGATATCTTTAATGGTAGGGCTGTTTCTTTTTTTGGTTGGGTGCATGTAACATTAACTTGGAAAAAAGAGTGATTAATTTTTTTCTTACAATTTTTTTTTCCAAGTTGTCAGAAAAAGAATAATTATTTTTCTCAGAGAAGCTAATCCAAGGTTGATTTTTTATTTCTTTTCCTAGATGACAAATGATTATGAACGAATGTTTTCTGTTCAAATTATTCACATTGGTTAATGCTAGATGAAAAATACCACAATTTTATAAACGAATTTGTGCAGAAAAACATCAGTAGTCGATAGGATTATGTGTCTTAGGATTACTTGAACGATGCGGAATATGTTGATATTTTATGCATCTGCTATCTTGGATGACTCTTAAATGATACGCTTGGGAAAAGTAATACCTACAAAAGATGAAGAGTAAAGTAGGAAATTTTAAGGGTTTAAATTATATGGGATTTATAACCCCTTCTGCCCTCCTTAAATATAACTCAAACTATTTTACATTTCATTTAGTTTTTTTTTTTTTTTGGTAATTCTATTTTGATATTTTGTAATTAACTCCCAACATGATAATGGAGTTCTATTATTAATATCCTAAACAAAGAAAAAGAAAATATAGCTATGTTCTATTCTCTGCCTTTCCTTTCTTCTCATTCTTCCGTTTTCATTGCATTAGTGAAAAACATTCAAACATGTTTGGAAGGTAGAATTTATTTTTCATCTTTTTTGATTGCTATAGTTCCTTAAACTTAGCTGAAAATATCTTGTAGCACTAAGTCACTCTTTGCATGAACCCCACATGGGCCAATTACATGAACCATACTGAAATGAATTAAGGTGTTTGATAAAATGTCAAAGTGGAAATGGATTAACCTTTCCATCTCCAGCACATGCAACAGCTATGTTATCTCCTGTTCATTAATTATAATAAGGCTACGTTTGATTTTGGAGAAATAAAAGGGTAAGTTTGAGGGCGGGGGTAAAGTTTGTAGAATGTAAGAGCATTTTTAATGGTACAACATTAATAGAGTTGTATAACTTTTATTGCTATGACCTTACTTTTTTCAACTTTATGTAACTTAAAATAATAATTTCTTCCAACCGTACATTTTTATTATCTACCACCTCAACTAGCTCTTAACAGTTGCTTATTTGTTAAAGTAACTTAAGCAACCCATGTTGGAGATGCTCTAAGTTCGTATATTAATGAGTATCTCTAATGGAAGACTACTTTAAGTTCCTTATACCTTATTTTAAAATTTTTGTAAATATCTAACAAAGTTGTCTCACTTTTCCTTACACTTAATAATTTAAGCAATTTCTCCTCTCCAATCATGCTACTCTCAAAAGCTTATTTAATATTTCCTACAAATTACCTTAGATTTTCTATGTTACCACCATTTTTGCTCATTGACAAAGGTTTTCAATCTCTTCATGCTTTTCCTTTTTTATGCCCACTTTGGATTTTATTTTTTGTTGCTCGACTCAAATTTAGAACAAGTGGAACCCCATTTTGTCTCAAAAGGAACAGTTGCTTTGTTATTTAATGGAAGGAAAGAAATTACGAAAGTGTGATCCAAAAGAAAAAAAATATAGTTTTTCTTGTTTTCCTTTTTTTTTATTGTTAAATAAATTTTAAAATAATGTAAAAATTAAAGAAATCACGTATTTCAAGAAAAATATTATATGAAAAGTTTATAACTTTTCCATTAATTATTTTATTATTATTATAAAATATTTTTTAATATATAATTTACTTGCTTTCTCCCTCATTTTTTTACACATCCAAACAAGTAAATAATTTTTTTTTGTTCACTTATTTCTCTCCTATTTCTATTCATCCAAACAACATATCTTCTTAGTTCTATTTCTCAACCTCTTATTTCTTTTTCTTTTCTTTCTTTATTCCATCCCTCATTCAAAGTTTTTATGAGATAGTGAGGGAAGAAGTTTTCGCTTTTTGATGACGTGCTTTTACTGGCTGACACCAAATTTGGAACTTTCATTAAAGATCGGACAGAAAAACCCTAACCTCTAAGACACCAACAACCCGTTAAAATGAATTCTGTCACAGTCACATGATATGTGTATATGCATTACTTGTTAGTCGACCAGCTAGGGAGGATTTTAACCATGGAAATCTAGCAACTAGGAGTTAACTTCTTAGAAATGTTGAAACAAATCAAACACACAGTAGGTTTAATGGAATTGCCCCAAATATACACTCATTTCTCAATGAAGAATATTGCTAAAGTAGCCACCCTATTTTTAAATGTTAGGTGCGCGCATGCACATCCACACACATGCGCGCGGGCATATATTTGTGGATGGATAGCAAGAGAGAGGGAGGGTATCTGAGAATAAAAGCAGCAATTAAAATAAAATGAAATCTTTCATGTGAGAAGAATGTTAAAAACTAAAACAAAACACACATAAACAGAATCATGACAGAGGCTTAACATCGTCCAAGCCCAGTAGGATTTCATATAAGTCAACACAAAAACTTAAGACAGTACCACGAGTACTTTTAAAATTTTGTCCTTTTGTCTGTATAATGGCACATCACAGCAGGAATATAAATAAAAGAGGTTCAGTTACCGTTGAGAACAAGAAAACTTGTCCCCTTCATAGAACTTTCTTCGTAGTATCCCATCTCAGTACACAGCTTTTGTATAAAGACCACTCATAAAAATAAACAATATTGGGAATAAGCATCAATGATTTCATAAGGTGACCTGATAATGCTAATGAATCAGAGGACAATAAACAGTGTATATCCAGCTACACGGTTGTTTCACAAATACTACAAAATTTGGCTCCATCATTATTTTCTCTAACCCCACCCTCCCCCCACCCAAAAAACAGACACAGGATCTTCAAGTAAGTCACATGGGCGGTGAAAATTGCATGGACTGTATCATTGTTAGCTTGATAGAGATGGTGTAGTTGGTTAAATGACACTGAATTTTTTTATATTCATTTGACTGTATACTCACTTGCAGGAAACAACACTAGATTGCTGCCTTGTGCAAAAGTTAATGATTTGAATGGAACTCATCTTCTGTCATCATTTAAGCTAATCCAACTGATTTCAAGTCTTCCATCACTGAATCTAATTTTTCATGCAAGCGCGCTCTTCTATAGCCAGATATCAACAAATCATAAGTTGATTTCTCAAGCACATAGCACCTCTTCAAACATTCCAAGAATATGTCTAGCCTGTCATAAGCTTCCCTTCTAAAGTATGAGCAGATGACCTTTTCAACATCATCTGCACTTGTGAATGAAAACCCTTGTTTTAGCATTCTACCCACCGCAAACTCTACTTCGTCCAATCTATCTAATATGGCATACATCCTCACAATCCCACAATGGATTCGTGAGAGGACACCAGAAGCAACTGCACACGACTTTGTCATAGTTTCAAGTAGCTTTTCCATCTTTTCCACTTGCCCTTGTTCTTGATACAATGCTACCAACTTATCCGCCATGTTTTCATTAATCTCCCACCTTGAATCCATTACAAACTTGAAAAACTCTTCTGCTCGATCCAAACTCTTTTGCCAGCAAATCCCTTTAAGGATACATGCTAGTATGGATGCATTAGGTACAATTTCAGAAATCATCATTTCTTCAAAAATTCTATCAGCAATATCAAATTTCCTTGAATTAATGCAGCCTGATATGAGGGATTCAAACATTTGAAGATCAGGACCAAGTCCAGCAGCTTTCTTTGCCGAGTACCAAGCTAACATGGCATCAACATTCCCTGACTTGGAAAATGCTGAAATAAAGATATTATAGGTGTGAAAATCAGGTTTATAGCTCTCTGAACTCACCATGATCTCAAATAAACTAAGTGCAGTAACAACATCATGGGAAGACAAACAAACACTTATAAGGGAATTGAAAGCAAGGGAATTGGGTTGAACTCCATTAGCCTCCATAGAAGTAAACACACGCATTCCCAGTGCCACATTCTTCACCTTTCCACACAGAAGGATGAGTTTAGGGAAAAGATTATAGTCGTTCTCATTTTCTTTCAGCATTTTCTCCAAAATCCATTCCAAAACCTGACCCATTCAACAGCAACAAATGTGAGAAAATATGGATCATCACAATCTCTATAAGCAATCCACCAAGCATAATTGGTCACATGACAGAGACATTAAACTTATAGAGTTAAGATCCGTTGAATTAATAAACCTTGCATTCTATGAAAATTTATTAATAATCTGTGTAGTGTAAGACTATAAGTTTGACAATAACAAATCGTAACTCACATAATAAGGTGAGGATCAAGTTATTTCAAGAATAACTCTAATCAATATTTTACCTTAATTAATATCTCTCTGTAAATATTCAATTTCGTCAATCCAGTTGTCAGAGTTAAAAAAACTCTTATTGAGTAGATTAAGTTCATAAAAATTTATACAAATGAAAAATGAATTGACACTTTACCGAACTTTACTTTAATATACAATATACATTTTAAAAATATACATAAATATTAAATTTTAAATTATATATTTACAATTGTTTGGTTTATCTAAACTTTGGTATATATGATTAACATATTAATATCAGAGGTTGATGAAATTTAATGTTTATAAAAAGTAAGTAATTAAGTAGAGTAAAAATTTTCAATTTTTTAACTGATGAGCGATAAAAATAAAATAAAAATTTGCAGACAGAGACAAATATTTATGTTGCAAAATATCAATCAATTAAATTATATATTAAGAAGAAAAACAAAGAGAGAAGATTATTAATAGTACCAATTGAGCTTTGTCGGAAGACGAACGGGAGAGAGAGGAAACAAGGGAGTCCCAAGAAAGTTGGGAGCTTAGAATGGAAGGCATTTCCTGATCCAACGTCGTTTTGATGCGCGAATTGGGGACCTGAAGCAATTTGAGGAGAAAGGGATCTGCATTTGAATTTGAATTTGAATGTGAGTGTTTGCTGAAACAAGAATGATGAGGATTTGGCAATTGAAGCCTTCCTCTGTAACTCTTTCTCACTGTCCATAAAACCCTAAAGCCTAACGCCATATTTTTCATTCGTGTTCAATTGCAATCAGAAATCCACTTTCCCATTTTTTGTGTTAATTTTTCTCTACTTTATATTAAATATAATGCGAAAGAGTCAGTTCTATTTTTAAGTATTATATATAATCATTCAAATTCACAAAAATAGTATTCAAATAAAAATAAAAATAAATAAAAATATAAAGACTATGGATGGGAGAATATAAAAAAAAATTTATAAATAATACTATTATCATATAAATTAAATATTTATTACCTTTTATGATATTTATTCGACATTAACTTTTTTATTTGCTTTAAACACGATATTATATATTAAATTAGAATAATCTCGTAATTCACGCGTTCGAACATTATTTAAATTTTGTAACATTTTTACTATTAATAAGATTATTACACTCTTTTTAATTTCAATTACAGTATTTAATTAATAATTAAAAAAATATGTTCATATAAAAAACGACTTAACCACCACAAGGAAATAAATCGATAGGAAAGGACTAATTTTTTCAAAATATTAAAAAAAAATTTAAAATTATTGAAAGATATCAAGAAGAAATAAATAGTAGATAAGATGAAAAGTTTATTAAAATAAAAATAAGAAATATTAAATATATATACATATATAATTTCAGATTTTATTAAATTTATAGATAAAGAATTTTTATTTTAAAAATAAGTTTATATTTGAGAGTATAGTATATTATATGTTCATGTTAAGGTAACACAGGTCTTCAAGTCTTTACTTTGACGTACTGACGTTTCTCTAACTGTTGCTGACATGGGAGGGTACCTGCAAAAGGTACTCCAATGCTGAAGTCAAGATTTGGTTCCGAGCAATAAATGCTATTTAATAATGAAAAGTCAACCCTTTACTTGTACTTTTACATTCCTTATATAGGCACTGTAATGAGCCAATGGGTCTGTCGAGTCAGTCTTCATTTTAGCCCTTTATTTAAAGTAAATAATATCTTGATTATTACCATTAATTGGGTTAATTATCTTTTAATCCTGACGAGGGGTATCCGGCCTATTATGCCGAATAGGTACTCGGTTTCCTTTTCCTACAAGTAGGACCGAGTTGATCTTTATCCAGTACACTAGCCCCCAAGCCTGAAGAGGTACGAAGCGAGGGCTTTAAATATCAGTGTTAAGGCTACAATAGGTAGTCGGTTAAGATGTCTTTGACTATACCGAGGGGGTATTCGGTTAGAGTGAATTTGAATATACCGAGAGGGAATTCGGTTAGAGTGATTTTGAGTATACCGAGAGGGTATTCGGTTTTTAGTGGACGAGTGATGGTAGTATTTAAACTTGAATGTGTATCAGGTGTACACCAAAGGGTATTCGGTTTAGTAACATAATGATACAAACCGAGATAGTAGATAAAAAATCATAATATAAAAATACATAATTTGTAAAGGAATATTCTAGAACGTTGGCTTTTAGGGTTTCATCAGCGGGTGTATGAAACGAAAGGGTGCCCAACCTTATCCGTTGATCTGAAAGGGATCTGACGGTTCAAAAGGAGGGGCGTCTTTTCGTTTGCCCGACACCAGATCCCCTATAAATATGTGGTGGTCCCTGCATTCATTTTCTGCTCTTTTGCTCGGTACCGAAACCTGCACATTGTTGCTCCAAACCAAAGAGTGTTCAAAGATCTTCAGCTTTTCTTCCATACCGACTACTTGTAAGGTGCGTTTTAATTTCTCACTTCTTTTTCTTTTATGGCCGAACCTATTGAGTGGGAGGATTCTCTGTTTGATGTCTCAGGATCGAATATTGTCGAAGTAGACATTATGAACGGAACCGAGGGGAGTAGCGAGGTTTCATCCATATCAAACAAGAGGGCTGAAGAAGCACAGGTAAGGGAATGCAGCAATGAAGCCGAGTCGTCTGCTTCGAGTGATACTGACGCTTCTGAACCCCTACCGAGTACTAGTCCCCCTAGGGAAAGATAGGTGTTTCCCCCCTGTACGATACCTGGATATGAGTGGGTGCACGGTGAAGTGGCCGCGTACTTTTCTCGTTTTAGAAGAAATAAAAGTCTTCAACTCTTTGTAGATAATTGTGATATTTCTTTGTGGGAGGTGTATGATCCGTATCCAATACACCTCAATCCCTGCCAAGGGGACGAAACCGAGAACCCTGACTTTGTTTTCCTGGAGGTGTCAAAATGGCCTACACCTTCTTTATGTACGAATACATGTTTAAAGAGTTAGGTATCAGGCTACCCTTTGATGACTTCCGAATGAGAGTTTTGAGGGTTTTGAATGTAGTGCCGACACAACTGCACCTGAACGGGCGAACGGCAATACAGGCATTTAGGATACTTTGTAAATTCCACTATATAGAACCTAGTGTAGGCCTATTTCTTCATCTCTTTTGTACACGCCCATCTGACTTAGCAAGGTGGGTGTCTCTAATAAGGCAACCTGAGTTGCCTTTGTTTAAACAATATGCTTAGTCTTTTAAGGGTTTCAAGACCGGTTACTTTAGGGTGACCGTAGACCTTGTAGGTAGAAATTATTTTTTTGATAGCGAGAATAATAATCTCTTCCCTTTTCACTGGACTCGGGCGCCTCGCCGATACGACATATGCCCCGAGGACATGCTATCGGCTAGGGAGTTGTCGGATTTAGAATTTTTAAAGTCCCTTCCCCGAGAACTACCTGCCCGACACGTAATCCTCGTGCTCAAGTCCCTGCATCCTCACTGGGATATGGAGGGTATGGATCGTCTCGTTTTTAACTTATATTTGGAATCAAGTTGTATTGATTTGACTTGTTATTTTTAATGCAGGCTTAATGGCTCAGCGCGATGTTGATGTACCGACCTTCCGTCGTACTCTAAAGCAGAGAATACCGGAAGGGACACCAGTTAAGGAACATCGTCATCCTCAAATTAATCAACTTCTTGAAGTACCAGAGCCTCGCCCTCTTCCCCGAGACCTTGTTCTTGCTGAAGGCCAATCCAAGAAACGCAAGGACAAGGGTAAAGGCAAAGAGCCTGAGAGGGAGAGACAGAGAAAATGTGCCCATTCGAGTGGGCTGAGCGGTGTAGAGGGGGCGCGCAAGCAAACCCGAGTCGCGGCTACCGAGGGCAGAAGCAGTTCCTCCAATCCTGTAATTCCTCTGGAAATGCTTGCCGAGGGCTTCCTGACAACCGAAACTTATACCGGTCGGCTGGCTGCTCCCAATTTGTTGTCTGATTCAGGGAAAGAATTAGTCAACAATATAGAATATAAATCGCTCTGGCGCTGCTATGCAGAACTTCATGTACGATCAACAACGATGCTCTGAAAGCTAGTTGTGGATCCAATTCTTGAAGTTAAGAAGTTAAAAATTGCCTATTCGGCTTTTGAAGAAGCTTTGGCAGAGAGCAGAGAAATTCAAGCCAGTCTTAACGAGACCATTCAATCCTTACAGGGTCAGGTTAATCAATATAAAGAGCACTTCCGGGTAGTAGAAGACTAGGTTCAAGCGGCCGAGGAGACTTTGAGGGTAAGGAGGAGGAAATTGAGGCGTTAAGGGTGAAGTCTTGTCAAATGGAGGAGGCCCTACGGGCCAAATCTACTGAGATGGAGGAAGCCATGGCATTTGAAAAGCAAAGGGCTGAAACCGAGATGAAAACCTTTGCTGAGAAGTGTTCTCAGCAAGTGGCTTATGAACATGAGTCCGGTTTTAATCATGCTATTCGCCAATGCCATGGGTTCTGCCAGGTTCTGGCCGATTTCCATTTTGACATTACGAAGGACTTCTTTGGCGGCAGGTTTATTCCTTACAACGAGGTTGATGATGTTGTGGAGCCTGACGCCGAAGCCCCAAGACGAATCGCCGCTAATGAAAATGCTACTAATCCCGAGGTAGCCTGTCCTAATGTCGAGGAAGGGGAAGAAAATTAGATTTGTTTTCTTTGTATTCATGAGCCATTAGTGCTCAAATTTTGTAGTCATTAATTTTGAAATAGAATCTCTTTTTTCTCCTTCTCTTGTACTTTGTATTGAAAACTTGGTCATAAGCGTTTTAATCTTGACCGAGTAGGGGTGCGCGAGAGGAATTTAACTAATTCATCTTTAGCGAAGTAAAAAATATTTGATTAAATTTTAATAGCAATTCAACCTTAACCGAATAGGGTACTCGGGAGGTGATTTAAATAGCGATTCAACCTTAACCGAGTAGGGGTACTTAGGAGGGAATTAATTAATTCGACCTTGGCCAAGTAGAAATACTTGAGACGGAATTTTAATAATGATTCAACCTTAGCCGAGTAGGGGTACTCGGGAGGGATTAAATTAATTCGACCTTAGCCAAGTAGAAATACTTGGGAGGGAATTTTAATAATGATTCAACCTTGGCCGAGTAGGGGTACTCGGGAGGGATTAAATTAATTTGACCTTAGCCAAGTAGAAATACTTAGGAGGGAATTTTAATAATGATTCAACCTTGGCCGAGTAGGGGTACTCGGGAGGGATTGATTAATTCAACCAGGTGCTTGAAAGAAATACTGATGCATTAAAAACCGGATAATGGAGAAGAAGTATTTTATTGATTAGGTACCTCGTTAAAAACCTTCCCAGAGAAACTCCTTTTTCACTTTCTTTTAAGAGGACAAAACCTGGGAGAGGAAAAGAGTGCACCAATTACAAATTACAAGCAAGTCTTCAACTATAGTAATGCTTCAAATGTGTAACATTCCAAGTTCTCGATATAAGCTTTCCTTCCAAAGTTTCTAACTTGTACGCTCTATTGTCTAATCTTGCTATTACCCGAAAGGGGCCTTCCCAGTTAGCCGCTAATTTCCCTTCTCGCTGATCTCTTCGTGCGTCTCCGGCTACCCGCCATATTAAATCATTCTCATAAAATTGTCGCGGGTTAATTTTGGAGTTAAATTTTCTTGCCATCACTTTTCTGCTAGCCTCGGTAATGATGGCTGCCTGGCCACACACCTCATCTATCAAATTTAGGTTGATGCCAGAGTCTCGTTATTAGCTGATTCCTTAAAATTCTCCTTTCGGAATGAAGGCTCTCCAATTTCTACCGGCACCATGGCATCAGTACCATATGTAAGCCGAAAAGGAGTCTCCTTTGTTGTGGTTTGGGGCGTGCACTGATAAGCCCATAATATCTCGGACAGTTCTCTGCCCATTCTCCCTTTGCCAAACCCAATCTCCTTTTAATTCATGTAAGATCACCTTGTTTACGGCCTCAGTCTGGCTATTAGTCTGAGGGTGTTCAACAGACGTAACTCTATGCTTGATATGCAGACCTTCCAAAAACTCATTGAATCGCTGATCTGTAAATTGAAGCCCATTATCTGCAACTAATGCATGAGAGAGGCCAAAACATGTAATGATGTTTTTTCAAGTGAAATTCTGTACGTTGTTGGTCGTGATGGTGGCAAGGGGTTTGACTTCAATCCATTTGGTGAAGTAGTCCACAGCGACAAGGAGAAATTTACATTGTCTTTTTGCTAAAGGGAAAGGACCGAGGAGGTCCATTCCCCAAATAGAAAAAGGCCAAGGAGAGCTAATAGGGCGAAGGGTATCGGCATGTTGGTGGAGGTGAGGACCGTGTTATTGACAGGAAATGCATTTCTTCACAAACAAGTGGCAGTCTTGAGTGAGTGTTGGCCAATAGTATCCGGCTCTGAGTATTTTTGCTACCATAGTTCGTCCGCCCGAATGGGTACCACAATTACCTTCATGGATTTCCTTTATGACGTAGCTAGCTTTGTCGTCGTCAAGGCATTTAAGCATAGGTGTTGAAATTCCTCTTCTGTACAAGTCCTTGCCGAGAAGAAGGTACTTAGCTGCATGCATTTTTATTTTCTTAGCTGAAGCTGGATCCTTTGGTAAGCTGCCATCGATAAGGTACCGGATAATTGGGGTCATCCAATTATGAGATGAATTTTCTATGTCCATGCATTCTTGTTTGGTGATGCTGGGTTGGAGGATTTCTTGATGAACCACGCTTTGCAATTGCCTCGGTTTTCTTTGGCTAGCTAGCCTAGCAAGCCTGTCAGATCGCTCGTTCATGTTTCTTGGCGTGTGCCGAACACATACCTCATCAAATTCATCTTTTATTTTCTTGAATTCTTGGTAATATTTAAGCATAACCTAGTCCTTAACCTGATATGTATCTTTAACCTATTCGGCCACAATTTTTGAATCACTCCAACTAGTAATGCGTTTAACTCCCATATCCTTTGCTAATCTGAGACTAGCAAGTAAAGCCTCATATTCGGCTTGATTGTTGGATGCTTTGAATCCAAACTGAATGGATTGTTCAATAGCGAATGCGTTCGGCCCTTCAAGTATGACCCCAGCTCCACTACCTAGTCGGTTTGATGATCCATCAACGTGCAGATTCCACATGCTCGAAGTAGTTTGTCGATGTACAGTGAATTCATTGACAAAGTCGGCTAACACCTGAGCTTTAAGGGGGCGTCGGTTCTCAAAATGAATGTTGAATTGAGATAGTTCAATTGTCCATGCTACTAGCCGACCAGCCAACTCTGATTTCCTCAAAATTTTGGCCATTGGGCAACTGTACGTACGAGTACCCGATGACTTTGAAAGTAATCTCTTAACCAACAAGCTGTGTGGATTAGGGCAAACACCACTTTCTCCATTAATTGATACCGGGATTCGGGACCTTGGAGTGTTCTGCTGACGAAATATATAGGAGCCGGTTCAGGTATTTCTTGAAGTAAAACTGAACTGATGGCGTTATCTAATACGGCCAAATAAACAATCATGTCCTGATCAGGTTTCGGTTTTGTTAACACAGGCGGTGCTGCTAGCATATGCTTGTATTGGACGAAGGCGACCTCACATTCGTTGGACCAAGTGAATTTTTGGGATTTCTTTAATAATTCAATGAAAGGCCGAGACCTCTCTGCCATTATTGGAAAGAATCTAGCAAGGGCTGCAATCCGCCCGGCCAGTCGTTAAACCTCCTTGACATTCAGAGGGCTGGCCATTTCGATGATGGCTTTACATTTATCAGGGTTTGCCTCAATCCCCCTTTCGGATAACATGAAACCCAAGAATTTACCGTCGGCTACACCAAATGTGCATTTTTCAGGATTGAACCTCATACCATGCTTCCTAGCTTCGCCGAATACCTCCTCCAAATGGTCGAGATGTTGCTTCAATGCGAGGGATTTAACCACCATGTCATTCACATACATCTCCATGCTTTTATCCACTTGTTTCTCAAAAATTTTATTCATGAGTCTCTGGTATGTCACCCTTGCATTCTTCAAACCGAATGACATTACACGGTAGCAAAAATTTGCTGAATTTGTGATGAATGCCGTTTTCTCCTCATCCGGGGGATACATACGTATTTGATTGTATCTAGAATAAGCATCCAAAAAGCTTAGTATCCTATGACCAGCTGCGCCATCAACCAGGGTATCAATGTTTGGTAGGGGGTATGCGTCCATTGGGCATGCTTTGTTGAGGTCCGTGAAGTCTGTGTACATTCGTCATTTACCATTGGCTTTTTTAACCATGACCACGTTGGCTAACCATGTTGAATACCTGACTTCTCAGATAAAGCGGGCCTGTAGCAGCTTACCCGTTTCTTCTTCTATTGCCTTTGCTCTATCACCGCCAATCTTCCTTTTCTTCTGAGCTATCAGTTTGGCCCCCTTATAAACCGATAAGTGGTGACATAGAAATGCCGGATCGATGCCAGGCATGTCCGAAGCTGACCAAGCAAACAAATCGGCGTTATTCAGCAATATTTCCTGAAAAACTTGCTTTTCTTGTACATTTAACCCTACCCCCAAATAGGTTACTTGTTCCGATTTTGATCCAAGTTAGAAAGGTTGCTTATTTTCATTGGGCTCAACCCGACACCCCTCATCCATTCTAGGATCCAGTTCCACATCCAATTCCTCTCCCAGCCGAGGGGATACAATGTTGATATCTCGGCTGCCCCATGGAAAGGCTTAAGACATAGACTTGCAAAATAACATTCTCTAGCTGTCTTCTGATCAGCATGAACTGTAACTATTCGGCCTCTTTCAGATGGAAACTTCATGGCCAAGTGTAGAGTGGATACTATAGCCTTCAACTTATTTAGGGATGGTCTGTCGAGTAGTATATTATAGGAGGTATTCGCATGCATCACAAGATAAGTGACTTTTACTTGCTTTCCCTCGTGCTCTGACCCGAACGAGGTATACAGGTCAATGCAGCCCCGAGTCTCCACTGTTTCTCCAGAAAAACCAACCAACGGTTCATAATATTCTCTGAGCTCTTCTTCTGGGATGCCTAATTGCTTAAACGTATTCCAATATAGGATGTCAGCCGAGCTCCCCTAGTCAATTAGTGTTTTTCGGACGGTGCAATTAAGAATATCTACACTTATGACCATGGGATCGTCCTGCACCGGATCGACTCCTTGAAAGTCATCGTCAGTGAATGTAATAGGGGGATCCAGATTCTGCTGCCCAATGAAACATTATTGACAGAACGGACCTGCCTGAGATGCCTCTTCCTGGCCGAATGAATGGGTCCTTCACCTGCAAACCCTCCAGCTATGGTATTAATGACCCTTTTAGGATACTTCTCACGTTCGTCGTATCTTCTAGCTGGGGGTTCCCTGGATCTACTCCTCTGTCGTTCAAATCTTTTGTCATCGGATCTCCTCGGCAGTTCAGTGTATTGATCTCTTCCTCTCTTAATTTGACCGATGGGATTTGTTTGTACAAAATCTTTTAAATGTCCTTCCTTGATTAATTCTTCAATCTTATGTTTCAGCGTTGTACACTCCTCAGTGGTGTGACCCCTGTTCTGGTGATATCGACAATACTTGCTTTTATCTGCCCGAAGAGAGGTGTTGGCGCGTCTAAGCATTCTCAATATTTCTGTGGCCAATGCCTGATCAAGTACTTTGGACCAATTAGTTGGATACTTAGGTCCCAGGGGCGGCCTTTCAAGTTCATTTCTTCTCTCATTTCCCTGCCTAGCCTTGAAAGCTTCTCTCCTGTCTGTATTTTTTGAATTGGACCCTTGGTCCATCCGTACCTGGTTTCGGTACTCGGACAATTCTTCCATCTGCATATACTTTGCAGCCCGACTTCTTAACTCGTCTAGGTCGACAGGTGATTTTTTACGGATGCTATTAACGAAAGGTCCTGGCTTTAAGGCCGTTGTGAGGTGGTGCATGGCCACTGCTGGCTCCAAGTTATGAATCGAAAAGGTCACTTTGCCAAAGCGTTCCATGAACGCTCTAAGTGACTCTCCCTTTTCTTGGCGAATGTTGACTAGCGCCAAGGATGTTAAGGGATGAGGTCGGCTTGTGGCGAACTGCAAGTTGAACCGTCTTGCGAGTGTTGCAAAAGAGTCGATGGATGAAGGGGGAGTCAGGTGAACCAACTGAGTGCAGGCCCTCTAAGTGAGGTGGGAAAAATCTTACACCATAAAGAATCATTCTCGGTGTACATACTGACTTGGGTTGTAAAGATATTCAAATGTTCCCCAGGGTCCGATGTGCCATCATATTTATCTATTGTTAAGCCTCTCCAATTATCAGGCAGCTTAGCCTCCAGTATATGGTGAACAAATGGGCTTCGGCTTATGAGATCGTCTCGGTCATTTTTAGCTTCAGATTGATAAACCTGCTTTGATTTCTCTTGCAGCATCGAGGATTCCCCCTGATCTTGGATGATAGGTGTATTTTAGGAAGGGATGTGTGTTCTGATCTCTCCTCTCAAGCTAGCATTTTCCCTTCTCAGAGCCGAGAGCTCTAGTGCATCCTTCTCTCTCTCCCTTTTCATCTCTGCTATTTCTGCTTTGAGCTGTCTTAGTACAGTTAAAAGGCTCTCATTGGTCCCTCCTTGCATCAATACTTCAGGTGTCAGTTCATCTGGTGTAACATTCTCCAACTGTTGCCGAGAGGTTCTTCTCTGTTGAACATGTCCTTCCTGCTGGCTTCTTGTTAGTACCATGTTTAATTCTGAAAAATGAGGCTAATCATGCCTCATGGTGGGCGCCAAAATGTTCCTGTTAAGGTAACACATGTCTTCAAGTCTCTGCTCTGACGTACTGACGTTTCTCTAACCGTTGCTGACATGGGAGGGTACTTGCAAAAGGCACTCCGATGCTGAAGTCAGGATTCGGTTCTGAGCAATAAATGCTATTTAATAATGAAAAGTCAACCTTTTACCTGTACTTTTACCTTCCTTATATAGGCACTGTAATGGGCCAATGGGCTTGTCGAGTTAGTCTTCATTTTAGCCCTTTATTTAAAGTAAATAATATCTTGATTATTACCCTTAATTGGGTTAATTACCTTTTAATCCTGACGAGGGGTATCCGGCCTATTATGCCGAATAGGTACTCGATTTCCTTTTCCTACAAGTAGGACCGAGTTGATCTTTATCCAGTACATTATACATTACACAGATAATCACAGTTCCTTAATTTTTTAATTAACAAACATAATACTAAACTTTTTTAATAACTTCATTTTAGGAAGTTATATTAAAATTACATATTTAGTTTTTATAAATTAAGGAACAAAATTTTACTTTCTCACTTTATATTTCTCTTTACATTAGAAGAGTTAAATCCAATAAATTATTTAACATTTTGTAAAATTTCCTCCTCTCCTTTTCTCCTTATTAGATTTCTTTTTAAGCATTGAAACATTCCCTTATCTTGCTAATCCCTTCCACTTTTATATTTAGATTTGTCTAAATTACCCCACATTTTAGGTGAATTAATAAGGTCAAGATACTATATTAAAATTTATATTTATTTAACTTTTTGTAGATACCATTTTATTAATCCACTTAAAATGGATTCACCAAAGCCAACTTAAGGTATAGATCAATAATTTCTAGGCATATAATATACTTTCATGATTCTCCTAAAAAAATTACTAATATATGTATTTATGTGTATATATATAAACTAAAAAAGTAAAAATTTTTTGTATAATTAAATTTTTTATCTTTAATTAATTTTATAAGGCACGATTTTACAAGACATTTTATAATTCTTATTTATTCACGATAATTAAAGTTGGTGAAAATTAATTTAAATTACAATCAACAAAAAAAATAATGTTAACCTATTTTTAATGATATGTATAACTTAATTATGAAATCCTTATAAGAGACTTAGAAAATAAAAATATCGTATAAAGAGTTGTTTAGAAGTTAGATTTTGGGGAAAAAAAAAGAGAAAGTAAAATTTATATTTTAAATAAATATATTTAAAATTAATATTTTTAAAAAATAAAAGATATAAATTAATATATTAATAATATATCATCGTAAATAATATATAATTTTTTAAATTTAAAATTAAAAAATATGTCCTACTCTCTCTTCTCTTTCAATAATTTCGTCTCAAATATACCTTAAGTATAACATTAAAACACTACAAGAAATATCTAAATTTAGGCAAACTAATACTTACTAATTTTTTAGCTGGTTTCGCAAATTTCGTATGCTTCTTTCGTAACATAACTTTCAAACTTCCAATAATTTGATTCTTTCGATTAGTTCCATCCACAATGCTATGTTATCCTCATGTTTGATGAGTTAATGCAATTTTTTAAAAATTCTTTTAGTTTTTAAAAGTCAAATAAAATAATCACTTTATTATATTTTTGTTTCTTTTCTTTTCTGTTTAGAAGAATTTATTTTTTTTAACTACGAGTTGAAATCAAGGGTAGTTTTAGTCTTAAAGGATGAACCAATGGATTCCACTAAAATTGTTCTGCATTATTCCAAAACAATAAGAAAGGGCATCAACTGTAACCATTTGACTATTTCTTGCTTATTTTAGTATTTCATTTTCATTGCTACACATTTCTGTAAATGTGTAATAAGAAATAAAGGATTAAATATTCATATGTAACATGGAATTATGACTAAAATTATATCACTATGAAATCGATGGATCATGGGGTGGGTTAAAGTTATTTCTATAGCTTTTAGAGGAAATTAGTACTAGTTGAAAGCCAAAATGCTTTCGGTGATAGCTGTTTTTGTATCAACTTAAGCATGTGAAAGATCGAGACAAAAGATGAGATGCATGCAGAAGTTGCAACTTCTCTATTCTAATTGTGATTGATTTTTAGTTTAAGCTAATGGACATTGCTCAACAAAGCATATGATAAGGGAGGTATAGTCAATGTGAAGAACACGGGTCAGTACATCAGATAAAATGGTTTAATATATATAGTAAACATTTGTTAAAAGAAGGCCAACAGAGCCACACAAATTCTGCTTCAAGTTATTCTGTATAGCAAACCAATTATCGTTTTCATACAAGGAATAGAGAAGATGACAAACTATTAGATTTAGAACAATGCCAAGAACTAAAGTCAAAATCCTTAAATGGTAGAATGAATCTAATATTAGTTTATATCTACTTTCCCTTTTGACTATAAATAAAACATCAAAGCTATGAAATCTGATTTGGATTTAGGGTGGTTTACTTTGTCCTTCTGCCTTTGTCAATTAAATAAAAAGGATAGACGTGCAAATTTCAAATGAGAAAAATACATCAATGTGGAAAAAATATATATCAAATTGTATGATAATTACATAAATTGATTATAAAATTTAAATAAAATTAATATAACGAGTAAATATTTTCTTATGAAAGCTTTTTATAGGATTATCTTTGTTGAAAGCCTTTTTGTGTTTCAATCAATATCTTTGTTGAAAGAGTTGAAGTTAGTATGGGGAAAGGACAAGTAGATGGCAATAAAGGCCCATATGGCCCCAAATGAAGGATGGGTAAAGCAATTGGCAATGGGTAACCTCTTTTCTTGCTTCCCTTAAATGAGGTTGAAGAAGAATAACACTCCTTGATGCGTACTTTTGTCATGCAATATCTAAGCAACCTTAGGCGAAATTAAAACCCTAACTAACCTGTCATGCCATGTAAAATAAAAGTATATGCCTTGTCAAATTCTCAAACATTCCACTACCTGATTAAGACATGTTAGATATGTATCTAATACCCACTTTTTACTATGACGCCAAGTGTGGAACCATGTACATGACCCATTAATTTTTAGCCACATTTTAAATTTTAGCATTTGAGTTTAATCTTCATGTATTAAGAACAGTTCAAGTTTCCAGACGATAAAGGTGACCAAGGAATAACCTCTAGAAAATAATGAAGTATTAAATATATATGATTCTCAATTTAAAAAAAAAATAGTATTTAAAAATTATGTGAACTTAGTCTTGTGAAAGAGGGAATAGAAACATTTTTTTTAAAAAAAAAACAAATTTTGTCTCAAAATATGAGGACAGTTAAATTTGATTCCAGAAAGGGAAACTAAACAGTTGTTGTAAATAAAATTAGAAGTAGATACCAACTTTATACATAAAAATGGAATGAAGATCAAAAGAGATTTGACCTCTTGTGAGAAGTTTGGGAATTGAAGTTTTTTCTTTGACCGATAAGTTGAAGACAAAAACAAATTGAAAGAGGGAGGATGTAGCCAAAAAATTGGAAACAAAAAACAGAGAAATAAAAAAGGGGAAGAACTAAAAAAAGAATGACTAACAAATAGAACCAAAAAGAAGAAAGGAGAATATCACCAAGAGAAACATTGAAAGAGAAGAAAAAAAAGGACAAGCACAAAAAAGTCAAGAACTTTTTCTACTTATTTTAGATTAATTGTATACTCTTAATTTTAGTGTTAACATTGAATCTATCTTACGTATCATGCACCTTAGACATAAGGTATTCATTAACACATACACACGCACCATAAACACAAACAAAATAAATATCAAAACAACAAAATTAGAATTTTAGAATCTCCAAAAACACAACTCATAGAATATCTTGTACATATCTCGATCTCAATCACCAACAACGAGCTTTGTTCCCAACTATGCTTGTTGTGATTCCTTTCCTTGTCAGTAGCACCATAGTTATATGGAACTATGACCACTTATTTTTAATGAGGCATCCTTCTAGATATAACAAGGCCCGCACCATGTGTGTTAACTCACTAAAGCCATTTATAGCCTTAACCAGGCTCCAAGGTCATGGTATGACAAAGTGAGAGTGACCATCATCAACTGAGAATTCAAAAATACAGGAAGTAATTTTTCTTGACATTATTATTACTAAAAGTTATAAACATTTTTAAGCTCAATCATACAAACACTAAATGTTATGTATGCGTTGAAAGACTTCAGAAATCTGTTTTAATTTGTGGGAATAGAAGTAAGTAGAGATGCAAATAGTATTTATTTGAAATAAACTATGTGTTAGACTTCTTAAAGAGGTTTAACACAGAGAATGTCTCTTCATGTCTAATAGTTAAGGTGACTGAGAAGGTCATATAACTAAAAAGAGATTTAATAAGAAACTCAATTGAGTATATAAAGGCAATTAGCTTTGGATAGTACATGATAAACACTAGGTTAAACATCTTTTACTTTGTAAATCTATTAAGTCACTACATGCAAGTTTCAACAACACTTCATTGGTAGTGTATAAAGTGTATTCTTATATATCTAAAATAGATAATATATTTACATAAAATTCGCCCCCCCCCCCCCACCCCCCAAACTTTGATATTTACGAATTCTTAAATGCAATTTAGGCCACAAATTTAAATGATAAAAAGTCTGTAGTAGACTACTGTATATTCATAAGGGAGAATTTAGTAAGTTGGTCATTTAAACAACAATAAGCAACATCCAAATTAAATATTAAATCATAGTATCATGCACTTGTTGATTTTACAGCATAAGTGACTTGGATCATGTCCTCATTGCAAAAAAAAATTAAAATATCTATACCAAGAAAACTAATTTTATGGTGTGACAATTTCATTGAAAGGTCCTAACATCTAATTTAGTTAATCACTCGGGACCAAAAACATAAAGGTAAACGTCCATTTTATACAAGATCAAGTATTGATTGAGAAAGTCAATGTTGTCAATGTTTGAATCTTATATATTGTCTTATTAAGCTATTAACTCGCACACACTTTAATCAACTACTAAATAAGTTTAGGAGTAGTAAAGTCACCGTTTATTTTGAAGGAAAAAATTTAAAAAAATTACTTAAAATTCATAACATATTATTAGAATATACTCCATTCGGTTCTTTTAATAAAAAAAATAAAATAGAGCATTTTTTTAGTCTTTTATTATAATAAACAAATAATAAATTCAAGATGCATTAATTGTTAAATTTATTTTATACCTTTCTTTTATTAGTATTATTAAATATACAAATTATTAACTACATCATTTAATATCATGAGTATTCTTAGAATAAAATTTATATTTATAGAAAATATAACTGACTTAATTATTTTTCTTAATCTTGATAATTTAATATTTTATTTCTTATAAAAAGGATAAGAGGAAATAACATAAAGTAATTTTGCTATTCATTATTATTTAGTTAGTTTCTTTTTTTTTTTCTTAAAATCACTCTTTACCATGTACTTAATCTTCTTCTAGAATCACTCTTATACGTGATTTTTTTAAAATCATTCTTTTATAAATATGTACTCAACATTAGGAAAAGATATTTAGTTATTACTTTTTTAATATTATTTTTTTATAATGATGCGCAGAAAGAATGCATGTTTCCTTAAGAAAGGTTGCAGACTACTTCAATGGTCTCTCTATTTTAAAAGGAATCTATCTTTAATTATTGATAAAAAAAAAGATTAATACCCTTAGTATATCCGTTAAGAAAGAAAAACTAAAAATACTTAAAATTATAAAAATATACATGATTAATAAAAAATAAATAAATTTAAACTGAAAGAAGAAAAGTTAAAATTGATAGGCGTAATTACTTAGAAGAATGATAAAAAAATTTCAACACTTTTGTTACTTCTCGACTGACTACATATGACTAACGTCATAAATTTAGTAGCCACAAAAGAAAAACACCACGAATCTAAAATTATCATTAGTTTTTCTGATTTTGCTCCTTTTATTTCCTGTTCCCACTAAGCCCACAATTTATTTGGTATGCTTTTTCTTTTTCTTTTTTTGTCTCTCAATAATCATTACCCCAAATCCTATTCGAAGATGATGAAAGAAATAGAAAAGCAAGAAAAAGAGGAATCCTTTTTGAAGGAGTGGGTCGTATTGAAATGACAATCAGTTATGCTAAATTTGTGGTAAAATCGAACGTGGGATTTGAAGATTAACGGTAGCTGATATCACAAACGCAAATTTGGGTTGTGTCAATAAAGTCCCATAAAAGGAATTGACACCATCATCCATTGTCGATTCTGCAATCTCAGAATTCAGAGTTTGACACAAGATTAATACTGACAACATATGTTCCTACCCTTTTTCTTTGCCTGGATTAATAGTTTCCTTTCTCTTCTTACTATCATTATGATTACAAACATTTCAAATCAAACAATATTCAACAGTGAACACTGACTATCTACACCTTAATCCGTACATTCTTTTTATTTATTTTTTCTCAACTTGCACATAACATGTGGGGTTGTGTTGTACACTTGCTGTCTTTATGACTAAACCATACTGTGCTAAGTGGTAATTAATTCTTATTTAGTGCCTATTTATGTAAAAGTTTGGTAAAAATGACTTTAAACTGTTAAATGAATTAAGTTCAACGATACATTTTAATTAAAATATGTGTACAATGAGAAGAAAAAAAAGTTTAAAAAGTAAGCATACAAGTCCTAAATTACTTATTAATTTTTTTTATTTGCACTACGTGTAATTATGTGTTATTTATTGATTTTTATCATTTTTGTTTATGTTATCATAAAAATATTCTCCTAAAATTAACAACAACAAAAAACACAACTTGCCTTACTTGTAAAACAAAAAAATTTCCATTACTCATTTCATTTGAGTTTTTATGATTGTTGCCACTTAATTTAATGAAGATGGTGTAAGGAGGAAATGGGTAATAAATGTACATGACAATTCAACTGTAATTCCCTGAACTCTTGCGATTTTCAATCGCATTCTTAAATTATATAGTTTCAGGAGACAAGCAAGAGGGTGCTCCTAACTCCTAACTCTTACTAGGAAACAAACCATTAACATAACAAAATTGCATGGAAAGTATTGATGATAGAAGGAACATGATCTAGCACTCCATCCCAAACCCAGAAAGATTTGGTTTCCTAAATTTCATATTTATCTTCAAACTTTACTATATATATATAACACGAACTGAGGAATAAGTGAAGCATTAAAGTCTCAAAGGGGTAGCAAAAATAAAGCATCAAAATGTCAAACTCTATTCTATATATAAAAAATAATAATAAAACAAATTCCTTGTGAATAAAGGTTAAACCACAATCACATAACAAGCACTAGCCCTCTAAGGGATTTCCCCTTCAAACCCTCTTCTTTTTCTATCACTTTGTTTCCCTTGCTCTATAGAAAGTCAAACCTACATTAAAAAAAGTGCACTGTACAAAATGTACAGAGAACCAACTTCCCCCCTCCCTCCCTTCCTTTCCCTAACACAAGAGAAAAGCCAACTTCCCTATTTCCTTCAAATTCAATTCAATAATCTCATTCTTAAAGCCATTGTGACAAAGTGAATTGAATCCATGAAAATTAGCTGAAGGGTACCACAATGGGAAATCATTGTCGCACCAAATTTGGTTTCATTTTTGTCCACTTTTCCGTATATGGATTGGAGGAGCACCACTCTTGGTACTAGTATGACATTGGGCACATGTGTGATGGCAGCACAAAATTCCCCCATCTCCACTGATGCATACATGTTTATATTAACCTTAATCTCTTCTTTCTAGAGCCTCTAATTCAAAACTCAAACCCTTCATCATGAATTTGAATACTGTGGCACATTAAGTGAGAGAGCAAAAGCAGTGCTATGCTTTGCCTCAGCTTTCCAACACCGTTCAATATCTTCAGCTATTCTCTTAGCATCCATGGATGCACCAAGTATTCCACGTTTTGTGAAACCAACTGCATAGAGCCCATTTTCACCCTTCCATCCATTTGGAAATGGCTTCGTAGGGAACCCATCTTCCTTGGAGAACATATCCCCTTCCTGCACATATGCCATTTCAATTATATTAATTGCTTTTCCTTTTCTTGCTTTATACCATTTTCAGAATTCAGATACAAATGGTCTTTATTCCATTCTGTATCTTAAGTTTATTTGAAAAATAAAATTTAAGTATTCAAAAAAATGTAATGAATATTAAAGATAAAATTATGCATATATTTATTAAAACTTAATTTACAAAATCATATAGAAAATACAGTATAATTTAATAAGTAAATTTTCTAAGTTTGTAATATATAAAAGAGATTAAACAAAACAAATATTAAAAATTTACTTTGCGAAAAACACACCTTTCCCTTTATGTTTTATTGACTGCAAAATAAAAAGGAAGAGGAACTTATCGTATTCATACCTTTAGCCAATGGGGTACATTGCTTTTGTAACCAGTTGCCAATATGATGGCATCAAAATTCTCTATCCATCCATCAACAAAGTCGACTGTGTAACGTTTTAACCTCTTGATGCCTGGTCGTACCTGCAGCAATTGTGTTTGGGCATGCTCATTGCTCAGTGGACTATGGTGTTCAAACAACCAATCTAATGAAAATAATTACGCTCCCCAACAACATGATTGAAATAATGATAATTCTTTTGTCCATTAGCTTTTGTAAAAATCTCATATATTATAAAACTTGTGATTCAGGAACGAGTTGATTGAAAGCACAAGATGATGGAAAACAAATTAATTAGGGGTCATCTCACTGAAAATAAAAAAAAGGAGCTAAAAATTGTAAGTTGTGCTTCACAAAAAGGAAAAGGAAAAGGAAATACAGCACTTAACAATTATTTTATGAAAAACCGTGGATTGCGGTTATATTGTGGGCACAATGACGGCACTGAAACATCTTATGATATATTACAAACTAACTCAACCTCATCTCATAAGTTAATTACGTGAATTTTATAACAAGTTAATATATATTTTTACGTACGTATCATACATGTGCATTTAAAAATAAGTTAATAAACATGTTAGTCCTTAAAATACCAATGAATTTTGTTTCTGAAAATACACGTTTATACCTATTGATATTTAAAACATGTTAATCTTTTAATAAATTCATCACTCAAAGATTGACAAGTGTTAGAAACATATTAACTCATTTAAAATGACACTCTAACATACTCATTTTTAAAATATATATTAACTCATTTAGATGTTAAAATAACACAAGTAGTTTTATTGAATGATCAAATCATACATTAACACAACTAATGTCCTTAATTATGACTCCAAAACATGGTATTTTGCCTTCTCAAAAATAAAAGTTGTATGAATGTGATTGTAATAAGGGTATATTTATTGTTTTAAAGTAAAAGTAAATGAATTTTAACATATCTATTTGGCAAAAATAATCAGAAACAGGAGGGTTAAAAGGAAAAGTTGAATTTAACTTGATAAAAAGGAGAAGTACCTTAATATGTCTACTTTTAATCTTGGCAAGAGTACCCACATCTAGCACCGGTGTCTTTCCGGACATGTTTTTCAGTTGAAGGGGACCCAAACGTGGTCGATCCAATCCAAACCGAGCAGTGTCACCCAAAATCAGCCATGACACCATCAGAAGGAACCGATCCACAAACCGTATGGGCAGCCAATTGAGCAACCACATAGACAGCCCAAAAGTTGATTTTCCCAACATCTCTCGTGGTAAAATGTGTACCTTCAACCAACACATACAGAAAAAAGAAAACCCCCCATCATTTCAATATAAATCCTTACATTATTTCACTATTTTACACTCATCAATAATAATTTGATGCAAGAAGAATATAATATTGATATATATTTGATTTTTATAAGAAATACCACGTGTCTATAATTTAATATGTTGTTTCATTCGAAAGGATGGAGAAAAGAGTTTTGCTTAAGAATAGGAGAATATATACCTTATTTAATCAATTTATATGAATTTTAGAAATATATTTTTTCATAAAATCTTTTTAACACTCTCTTAGTTATTAATTAAAATTTATTTAAAACTATGAAATTAGAAAAGATAAATAATAAATTAGAAATGAGAAAGAATAAGATCTATATAATTTTTAAATAATTTAACTAATAATTAAGAATATGTTAATTAGTATATTGTTACCATTTCTCTTTGATATACAAAAGAAAAGGAGAGACGAGATAAAAACAAAACAAAATAAATCTATTATCATATATTTAAGATAATCAAATAAAGTTATTAAAATTATGGATAATTCTAATCGATTAAACTTTAATGAAAATATTCTTTCTAAATTTTTCAACTTTAGAGGAGAACTAAAACTGAATACATGCATCTCTTTCCCTTTTCTTCCCTCAAAATTTATGCAAATTCTCTCTCCCCCTTCGTTTTACTTTAACTAAATACTATATAAGGAATTTAAGTATATCATTCACAACAAAATTATTTATTACATTAACATATTTTAATTTTAAACTCTAAAACCTATGTATGGTCTAAGTACTTTTTTTCTTACCCATCATAACAGCTAAGAATTTTAGTATCTTGTAAATGGGCACAACTTCCCTCTGAAAAAGAGTAGAAGAAAAAGGAGAAAAAGGGAGCCTTTAATTGTGTGCATGCCATGCTCTATATATAATAGGGGAAGAGTATCTCTTGCTAAGAAACCATAGGAAGGAAAAGAGGGGAAAAAGCAACTGGGTGTAGAAAATCAGTGGCCATCTTATGCTTCTTCTATCCCATGCTGCGCATGCTTGAGAATCCCAAGAAAATGAACTTTTTATAATATTTTGGTGTTCCCAAAATTAAACAAATATTTAAAAGCTTCGTTATATTCGAGTATGAAATGAAGGTTTTCTATTTCCCCAGGCGTTTATTTAGAAAATCCAAAGTTTGATGATGGTGAATTGCATATTTGCCACACAATTCAATTTCTCTTTTTCGAAATGAATAGAACAAAAAGGCATGCAATTTCCATGTTTCTAATTGGGAGAAAGTGATTAGTGACATGGAATTTCAAATCCCTACTTTGAACAGTATTTATCTAAATGTCAAACTTCTTGTATGAAAAAAAGAAAGAACGAAAGACAGAAAACTGTCATCTTTGTTTTTTACATAACAAGTAACCTATATTCCAAAAATGGATAAAAAAAAGAAAACCAACAAATAGAACTAAAAATTAATGTAAAAAAAAAAAAAATGAAGCAAAAGTAGGTATCTTGTTGCCTGCTTAAATTACCCTTGTTAATGTTAATCAGAAATTCCAAAACAGGAAGGACGTGTAAACTTCTAACAAAAATACACAACTTCACGTATTTAATTTTGGTGTATAGCTATGTCTTTGAGAGGTAGAAAGAGAGAAAAGTAATAGATAGGGAGAAAGAGAGAGTGTTCTTACTGTATCTCTAACCACAAGAGAAGGAGTAGCATTATGATTACAAAGATCCAAGCACACTTCCATGCCAGAATTGCCACACCCCACCACCAACACTTTCTTCCCTCTAAACTCTTCACCACTCTTATACAAACTAGTATGCTTTATAACCCCACCAAACTCCCCCATTCCTTCAATCTCAGGCACCACAGCCTCAGCATTCTCCCCAGTTGCCACAATCAACCACCTACACACAAACTCTGTTGACTCCTCCTTCTTGTTGAAGCTCCTCACCCTCCAAAACCCAAGCATGCCATCAAATTCAGCATGTTTCACGGTCTCATTGAACCGTGGCCTAATGTCAAACCTCTTAGCATAGCTCTCCAAATACTCTATGAATTGTTGCTTTGATGGGTATGTTGGGAAGTCACAAGGGAACCCCATCAAAGGAAGCTCACAAAATTGCTTTGGTAGATGAAGGCGAAGACGATCATAGGTCTTAAGTTGCCATAGAGAAGCTATGCAATTGGATCTCTCTAGGATTAAACTTGGAACACCTTTTTCTTTTAGATATGCTGCTGTTGCAAGCCCTGAAGGCCCTGCTCCTACAATTAATGGCCCTGGAACCCACACACTTCTCTCACCTGATGATGAATTCCTCTTCATTTTCTCTATCAATAAAGGGTCATGTGCTTGCTTCCCTTCAACTTCTCTCAGGCAATAATACTCCATCAAAAAATGCAAGCAAGAAAATGATATAAAACAAAAAAAAATTCAGGACTTAGGATATTGGGATTGTGAAGAAATTCCTTGAATTTTCTAATGGATTAAAAAGGGTCTTATCCGCTATTGTGCAAGGTGATTTTTTGTGTGTGTGTGTGTGTTTTGTTGCTCAATGAAGAAGGGTTAAGTGGAAGGATGAGCACCAACTACGGGGCAAAATCAGCATTCATCACAGAGAGAGATTGAGAAGGATGGTGATGTCTCTCTTTGTTCGTTTGTGTACATATATATACATATATTCCTGTTGTGCGTCGTTGAAGAATTTATATGAGCCAAAGCAAGTGGTATAATGAGAAACATAACTAGTGGGGACATTTATAATATTTATTAATTAATATTATTAGTATTTTTAACTATGTGCTAAACACGCATGTTATCAAAAGTTCAGAATTCGTAACATATATCATATATTCAACCTCTTGTATTGAAGCGTCACTATGTATGTTCGTCAACATCTACGAAGATTACGAGTTTGAAATCGTGAGGTAGATTAATTCGTTTGAAGACTTCAATTGGTTTAGAAATCCAAGAATGATATGAATTAAAAGAGGTAAATTTAGCAGAAGATAGCTGGTACGTGATCATTCGCATTGGACAATGTGGAGCAGCTCAACAACGTGGACCATGAATTGTATCCAAGATGTCATCCACATTTGTGGGATATTTATTGGAATATTTATATACATTTTATTTCTACTCACTTTCTTCATTAATCAAGAAATGCTACACAAACACTCTTTTGAATCTATAACACATTTTTTATAGTTAATTTATTTTTTAATTAATAAATGTATTTCTATACAATGGTTTATTCTAATTGAGTAGCAAGGCATTATTAGAATATAATATATAAATTCTTAAATTGATAATACATTAAAATTAGTTTGTGAATGTATATATATTTTTCTTTTGAAATTAATTTAAATTATTGTGAATAAATTTGCATTGTCATATCCCATGTCATGCGGTTTGACTATGATAATAGTTATTGAATTAATTGAAATACGTTAATAATACAATTTTTTATATCCTCGTATAATTATGAATTGTTATATAATTAAAAATTCTTAATTTGTATAATATATTTATAATTTAATATTAATTGATAGTGTATTTTTTATATAATAATACATTAAAATTAAATTCATAATTATTTAAAAAATTAATTTAATGACATAATAATATAATCCTCAATGATTTTAATTTTATGGCAATGATTCTTTAAAGCAAGCCCTTAGCGTGGTGGAATTTTAAAAAAATATATATATAAAAAATGAATTATAGTTTTTAAATTCGAAAATCATATTCTTTTCTCATGAAAAATGAAACATGTTACATTTTAATCATTGTGAACAACAATGAATAAGTTTCAATTTTTTTCTCTGTATTAAACTTTTAGCATCACCTTGATTGTTTACTGTAAACGACACTTTATTATATTTTTCAAGACATTAAAAACTTAAATGAACTATCATATTATTACCTCCCTCAAGTTGGAAGGTAAATATCGAAAACGCCAGACTAAAACATGAGTACTTTGAAGGAAGCTTTAGGAAAAGGCTTGGGCAGGATATGTCTACGAGTTGTTGCCGAGAAGGGACATGAACTAATTGGATGAATTAGTGCCAATTTCTACAAAAATTTGCTAAAAATATCTTTAACTAAAATATGTAAACAATGAGAAAAAAAATTTATGTTAAATGAATTAATTTTAACTATAAAGTTTAATTCAAATATGTGTACAACGAGAAAAAATAAATTTAAAAATAAAACAAGCAAGTCCTAAATTACATATTAATTTTGCTATTTGGCATTATGTATAATTATTTACTATTTATTGATTTTTATCTTTTTCATTTATATTATAATGAAATATTTTCCTAATTTTTTTTTTTAAAAAAAGAAACTTGCCTTACTTTTCTTGTAAAAGAAAAAGTTTCCATTAGTCATTTTATTTAAGTGAGCTTTTATGATTCGTGTTGACACTTAATTTAATGAAGTTGGTGTAAGGGGGAATATGGTTAGTAAATGTACATGACAATTCAACTGAAATTCCTGCAACTCTTGTGGTTTTCATAGTCACATTCATAAATTAGTTTCAGTGGAAAAGCAGAGGGTGGTCCTTACTCCTAACACCTACAAGGAACAAACCATTAACTTAACAAAATTGCATGGAAAGCAGTGATGATAGAAGGAACATGATCTAGCACTCCATCCCAAACCCAGAAAGATTGGTTTCCTAACTTTCATATTTAACTTTAAACTTTACAAAAATTATATAAATAAAAAACAAAAACCGAGGAATGACTTAACCATTCAAGTATCAAAAAGGTAGCAAAAAAGCATCAAAATGTCATACTATAAAAAAATTTTAAAAAAATTCCATGGGAATAAGGTTCAGCCACAATCACATTCTTAAAGCCATTGTGACAAGTGAATTAAATCAATAAAAATTAGCTGAAGGGTACCACAATGGGAAAAAAAATTTGGAGGAGCACCACTCTTGGTACTAGCATGACATTGGGCACATGTGTGATGGCAGCACAAAATTCCCCCATCTCCACTGATGCATACATGTTTATATTAACCTTAATCTCTTCTCTCTAGAGCCTCGAATTCAAAACTCAAACCCTTCATCATGAATTTGAATACTGTGGCACATTAAGTGAGAGAGCAAAAGCAGTGCTATGCTTTGCCTCAGCTTTCCAACACCGTTCAATATCTTCAGCTATTCTCTTAGCATCCATGGAAATGGCTTCGTAGGGAACCCATCTTCCTTGGAGAACATATCCCCTTCCTGCACATATGCCATTTCAACTATATTAATTGCTTTTCCTTTTCTTGCTTTATACCATTTTCAGAATTCAGATACAAATGGTCTTTATCGCAATTTATTAAATTATTTTGCAAATTATGAACATAAGTCAATTTAATTTTTCAAATTATAAAAACATTATTGTGGTTCTTAATTATAAAATGGCAGTCATTTTAGTTCTTAAAACTATAAATCAAAGACTAAGTAATCATATTTAATAATTTTAGAGACTAAAACAATATTTTTTTAACCTTAAAACTAACTCAGCTACTATTTATACTTTTAGGAAGTAATGTCATGTACTGCTTGAAAATTATAAATTTAATTAAATCTGAACAAAATTTTAATGAATATCAAATATAAAATTAAGTATTTATAGATATTTACTTGTAAAGAATTTAGTTTACATAATCATGTAGGAAATACTGTATGATGCACAGTGCAGAATAAAAAGAAAGAGGAATTGAGGGAGGCAATGGGGTAGAATACGATAGCATGAAAATTCTCTATAAGAAATTGGAGGGTGTAACGTTTTAACCTCTTGATGCCTGGTGGTACCTGCAGCAATTGTGTTGCTCAGTGGACTATGGTCTTCAAACAACCAATCTAACGAAAATAATTACGCTCCCCAACAACATGATTGAAATAATGATAATTCTTTTGTCCATTAGCTTTTGTAGAATCTCATATATTATAAAACTTTTGATTCAGCCACGATTTGATTGAAAGCACCAGATGATGGAAAAACATGATTTTTCCAAATAATAAAGAAAGGTGCAGAACAAATACAAGTTAAAATGAAATAGCACTTAATAATTTTATGATAAACCATGGGTTACGGTTTTGCTGTGGGCACAATGACGGCACCGAAATGTGATCTTATGATATATTACAGACTAACTAAACCTCATGTCATTATTTAATTTCTAATTGCTAAAGAAAAAGCTTGGTCATTAATATACAATCTCCTCCTATATAAAAAGTATTAGTTTGTGCTGCTTTGGTCTTTAACTTTTATTCTATATAGATTAGTCTTTTAAGTAATAAAACTATTCATAACTTAATTCCAATTTACTGTGGTTTCTAAAATTACCAATTAATTCTCAATTTTACAAATGGATATTTAAAAAGTGTTAACTTCTTCGTAAATTTATATTGTTATGATATTATTTTATAATCAATAATTTTATCTTTGAATTCATATAAATAGATGAGGAGGATTATATATATACTTCTTTTTATTATAATTATAGCAATTAGATAAAATTTATTAAAAATTATAAATTTGTAAGAGAGAAAAATTAAGATTGACATTATTTTTATAATTTTTAATAAATTTTAACTCATAAGTAAAAGTGTATTCAAAAGTACATGTGAAAAATGTGTCAAGATATAAAAATAATAAATTTATTTAAGACTTTAATGAGATTTAAGTACTAGTGAATCAAATCACTTTAAAGAAATTGACATATCTTTCTCAAATACTAGAAATATTTTTTAGAGGGACATTTAATTTAAATGAGACTAAAAAATACTAGAAATCAAACCACTTAAATGAAATGTATTTGTTGTTTTTTTTTTTTTTGAAAAATTTGAGCACAATATGTCTAATATAATCACACACAAAAAAGTTTGGATTAATTAATTGTTTAACAAATAAAGGATTAAAAAGATATTGATACATAAATATGAAATAATTTCAATTAGAGACTTCAAGAAAAAGTACTAGAAAGTTAGTAAGTGAGATTTCGATAGTGAATGATTATGACCGATAGAAAAATGGTTTATGTTCCTAAAATTAAAACCATGTGAGAAAGAAAAATGTTACTTTCAGTAAAAAATTAGAAATGAATAATTTTTTTATAAGAAAAGTAGGAAAAACCTCTCGGTTCATTATTGATAATGTGTTGTATGTAAAAGGATTAAAACATAATATATTTGATCATAAGTCAATTTTGTAATAATTGATATGATGTTATAGTCAATAAGTATATATAAATATATATTAAAAAATTATGATAATTTCATTGTTTTCATTGTGCATATGTATCATACTTTGTACAAAATAGATTTAAAAGAACTAAATAAATATAAAATTAATGTTTATTTTTTGAAAATGATGAAAAATAAAATTGACACAAAAAGTTTAGTTATATCAATTCTATTTTTTAAGTTTATAAGCTTTATAATAGAACTACCTTGAATATCTTTCCAAAATTATATAAACTATGTGAAATTTGTGAAAAAGAAAAATAGAGAAAAAGTTCTTTTAAAGTTAAAAATATAATTTCTAAATCAAGACAACTGAAATTACTTTACATAAA